TGGCCTGCCCTCCGGTGGGTCTCTGGAAAGCCTCCAACTCAGACCCCAGAAGCAACAGCAAAAGGCAGGTGGGTGGACAGCAAGCAGAGGGGCCTGGCACCTGCAAGGCCCCACCCGCGTGGGTTTGGGCCCACTGCAATTCAACACCCCCAACTTCAATCCCGACCCTCCTTCCTGCCCAAGGCTCCTGCTTAGATGAGAAGGGAATGAAACCAAAGAAGCCACAGCTGGGGTCACTGTGGCACAGCAGGTTAACCTGTTGTCTGTGATGCTGCCATCTCGTTGGGGACAAAGGTTTGTGTCCCAGCCGTGTCGCTTCTGATCCAGCTTCCTGATCATGGCCTGGAAGAGCAGCCGAGGATGGCAGTGCTTGGGCCCGCATCCACATTTCAAGAAGCTCCTGGCTTTGGACTGTCTGGCTCTGGCTGTTGTGACCTTTGGGGGAGTGAACCAGTGGGTACAAGGTCTCTTTCTCTGTAACTCTGCCTTTCAAAACAATAAAATGAATAAACAAAAAAAGTCACAAATGGCAGAATGGGGCAAGGGCAGCTCACTCTCGGGTGGCTGGGGCAGGGGTGACAGGTGTCCAGCGCTAAGGGGACGTGTCCTTGCTCTGATTTGAACAGCTATCCTGGGGGAGACGGGTGATAGCCAGGAACAGGGTGGAAGTGCTGTGCTGCCCCTAGGAATGACTTGGCATGTAACTTCGGCAAAATCGGCTCCTCGCTGGGTTGCACTTTCTTGCCTGAAAGAGGCGGGCTGCCACATTTAGCTGGGAGGGTTCGACTAGATAACGCTGAAGACCTGAGTCCATGTGGGGCATCTGATGAACTGCAGCTGTACTATAAGCAAAGTTTAAAAGGGGGTGGGGCATGCGAGGAGGCTCCACTGCTGTCTGGCCCCAGGACCTGAGCTGCACTTGTCAGGATGAGGTCCCAGGAGCCTGACGGCCGGGGAAATGATGCTTTAAGGAGAGACAGACCGCAAGAGCAGGAGCCCCAGCTCAGACCACGTGCGGCCCAAGCCCGCGAGCTGCCCGTGGCTGCTTTCCCCGGGCCATCAGCGCAGAGCTGCATAGGAACTAGAGCAGCCAGGACACAACTCGCACCCACACAGGGTGCCGGCATCCTGTGTGGTGGCTTTATTTGCTACACCACAACGCTGGCTCCAAGAAATACAGCTTAGAAACAAACAACTACAAAGGGAAATCAATGAAAAGATGAAGTAGGAGAGAGTGAGGGGGTGCCTGGGCTCTTCCTCCCAGGGTCTTGCTGGAGTTTGCAGAAACCCAGTGAGAAGGGGCTGCTGCCTGCGGGGCCTGGGGCACAGGAAGTCGGGAGGAGCCCTCGGAACTGCTGGCCTGCTCACACAGCCAGATCCTTTTTTGAGCACCGGGCCAGACAGCAGCATAACTTGTGTCTTCTGCTAATAGTTCTGGAAAGTGGGCCCGGCGCCGTGGCCTAGCGGCTAAAGTCCTTGCCTTGAACATGCTGGGATCCCATATGGGCAGTGGTTCTAATCCCAGCAGCCCTGCTTCCCATCCAACTCCATGCCTGTGGCTTGGGAAAGCACTCGAGGACGGCCCAAAGCCTTGGGACCCTGCACCCGTGTGGGAGACCCGGAAGAAGCTCCTGGCTCCTGGCTTCGGATCGGCACAGTACCAGCTGTTGCGGTCACTTGGGGAGTGAATCATGGGACGGAAGATCTTCCTCTCTGTTTCTCCTCTTCTCTGTATATGTGCCTTTCTCATGAAAATAAATAAAACTTAAAAAAAAAAAGTTCTGGAAAGTTCCTTTCTCTGGATGAACTGTGAAGGAAGCATGTTCCTGGAAGTGGGGTTGGACACTCTGGAGCTGCTGGGTGGGAGCAGTCAAGGTTATTGCCAACAGAGCAAAGGGACTTCTCAGCGTGGCCCTTCAGTCCTTTCGCTCTGGCCTCCTCTGCCCGGGTCAACACAGAGTCACGGCCCCACCGCAGGTGCAGGGCACAAGGGTAGCCCCTGCCCAGGTGACAGGCTGTGTCCCGGGACACCTGACAGCCAGGCACGAGGCGCCACCAGGCTGCAGCTGCAGCAGGTGGAAGCGAGGCCAGAGCTGGTGGCGTGCAGCAGGCCTCGCTGAAGGCTGCTTCCGCCCAGGCGCTGCACGTCCCACCTCATGCTGTGCAGATGCCCACGGAGTCTCTCCTGCTTTGTGTTCCACATCCAGGACACCGGAGGCCACGTGCTTTGCTCTGGCCACGGAGCTGAGGAAGGTCAGGGTTAAGCCCATCCCGCGTGGCTGTGCCCTGTCTCCAACTGCTGCTGACTCGACCCTAGGAGCCACAGGAAATCAGAAAAAAAGAAGCATCATGGCACACAGCAGGGCCGGGACAGCACTCTGGGCACCAGCTGAGCCACACCCACAAGCAAGGGGACTTGTACTTCTACCCAGATGAGGAGCGGGGCAGCCAGGGCGCTCCCTGACCACAGCAAACCCACCCCGTGCTGCCTTCTGACAGAGCGATTGTGGCCTTTGTGTCTGGGAGAGGCAGGACTGCCCCCAGCCCTCCTTTCCCGGGTTACACAGAAATCAGGGAGGGCTGGGATGCCCCCCGGGGGTCTGTGGCCCCTCCTCACCCCGACTCCATCTTTCTGCTGTCATCTGCTCGAGGCGTGCCAGCTGTACTCCCAGACATCCTGGCAGCTTGGGCTTCCGCGGATCAGGGCTGGCTTAGCTGACCCCTGCCACCCGCTGCTGTAAGAGACCCCAAAAAAGCACGGAGGGAGCTCCCATGCCAGCTGCACATTCCGCTCGGGTCCAAGTGTTATCTGGCTGAGCACAGCTGACAGGGCCTTACCGGGGCAGGGGGAGATGTCGCATGCCACCTCGACAGGGGATTAGCACAGAGAATGTGAGGTCAAGGGTTTAGGCCAGACCAGCTTCTATTTATAAAAAAGGACCTCTAGGGGAAGGAGGGGGTGGAAGACGGGCCTGGGGTGGGGGGCACTGGTGGGTAGGATGGCATGCCAAGGGCAGAGTTGGGATCCTGGCGGCTCCAGTTCCATGGCTCCCCTAAAGCCCGTCATGAGATGATCCTGTATCTGAACCGGCGAGAGCGGAGCCAGTGGGAGCCATGGGGACACTGCGTCGTGGCCAATGGCCTCAGGTGATCGGGGCAGCAAGGTGCCAGCTCTTCCATGTACATTGGTGCCCAATTTCAGTTCTCAGCTCTGCCGGCAGCTCCCGGCATCTGGCAGGGCAGAGCTTGCGAGACCACAGAGCATACTGGTCTCCCTCCCTGTGCCCCCTGGGTGTCCAGGCCACCTGCAGGTCTGCTGACCCAGCACTCCCGGATGAAGCCTGCTCACTCTACATTGGACACAAGTCCCAGGTAAGGCCGAGGCAGGTGCAGGATGGAACCCCACAAATCTGCCTAAGGAAGAGTGGACGTGTCACTGTGGGCCAGCCTCCCCAGGCAAACTGCCAAAACCAAGAATGTCTCATTGATTCAAACAAAAACCATCATGTGCCGAACTTTCATTGAAACAAACTTACCAATATGTGAAAATTGGAGCAGGAAATCCCACAGCAGATCCCATATGGGAGCTGGTTTGTGTCCTGGATGCTCCACTTCCCATCCAGCTCCCGGATTGTGGCCTGGGAAAGCAGTTGAAGGTGACCCAAAGCCCTGGGGACCTGCACCCGTGTGGGAGAGCTAGAAGCTCCTGGCTCCTGGCTTCAGATTGGCTCAGCTCCAGCGTTGCAGACATTTGGACAGGGGTAATCCAGTGGCTAGATCTGCAAATCTGCCCCTCTGATAAAAACAAACAGCTTTTAAAAATAAAAAAATGTTTATTTATATTGGAAAGGCAGATTTGCAGAGAGGGAGGGAGAATGAGATCAATCTTCCGTCCACTGGTTCACTCTCCAAGTGAGCGGAGCTGTGCCGATCCAAAGCCAGGACCCAGGAGCTTCTTCCGGGTCTCCCATGCGGCTGCAGGGTCCCAAGGCTTTGGGCCGTCCGCGACTGCTTCCCAGGCCACAAGCAGGGAGCTGGATGGGAAGCGGAGCAGCTGGGATTTGAACCAGTGTGTGTAAGGTGAGGATCCAGCCACTAGGCTATCAGGCTGGGCCCATAAATACAAATTCCAACATGGAAAGGTCTAACCAGGAGTAAGTGCTGATCTGGCCTCTGGTAACTGCAAGCTGGGACTTGATACTCACCAAACCTGCAGCAGGTTAACCTTTGAGCATCTTGTATGGCCCATGAATGACGTCATAAATACCCACATGGCCCTTAGAAGGGTCCCTGCTGGGACCCCCAGCCAAAGCGCCGTCACAGTGTGGGCCCAGAGCGAGGCAGGTGCTTGGAGCCACCCTGACATGAGAAGGCTGTTGTTTGTTAGCAACTGTCCAGGGAAGCCTGGGTCCCAAGACAGAAGTTAGGGCTCTTAGCAACCGAACTTGTGCCTATAGGCCGAGCCAACCCGCACTGGGCAGCGTCTTGCACCCCTTGCTGGCAGCAGCTGTAATAGCATGCCAGGGTCCAGCCCAGGTGTCAACACTGTGTTGAGCAGACTGGGGCAAATCGAGTGACCAATGGCACCTTCACCTATGCGGCTGCCTCTTCCGCAGGCTGGACAAGAGCCACGTCCGAGGCTCACACAGCCGTGGGAGGGGCTGCACCCTGCCATGCACTGTCTGCCTGCCCGTCTCATCCCAGGGGCACTGTCTCAGGCCCTACTGCCCCGAGATTCCAGTGGCTCCAGGCTCCTGCTATGTTGCCCACAGTCGGGGCTGGCCCACTGAGGTTCCTGACAGCCATGGCAGAGGGACACACCCCAGAAGTAGGCAGTGCTGCCGGCCCCTGCTTCCTCTGCGTGTGGCCCGAGGCCCACCAGGCCAGGCCAGGGGACGACTTCCAGTGCCATCCGTGAGCACATCCTGCAGTACGAGGCACCACAGAGAACCATTTCTCCAACCGCTCTCCTTAGCTGGACCAGAAAAAACCAGACACAGTTTGGAAACACAGTGACTTTAATTGCAGGGGCAGCTCAACAGAAAATATAAAAAACAGAGCCACGAGGCATCTGCGGTCCTGGCTCTGCAGCTCTCGGGCGTCCGTGCCACAGGGGACCATCAGCCTGCTCCGCAGCTGCTCACAGGAACCGGAAGGACACGATCTCCTAGCTCCTCCAGCCACCAAAGCCCTGGACGGACCTGCAGGGAGGCAGCGCAGAGAGGCGGTCAGCCCTCACCCCACCCAGACTCTGCCCTGAAGTGCAGGGGGACGTAGGGATGGGCCCTAGCCTGTGGCCAGCAGGAAGCTGCAGCCACTGACAGGAGCCCAGGAGAAGCACCCCCACCCCGTCCTTGGCTCTGAGCCCTGGACCCCGAGATGAGGCCCGGCACCTGCTGCCTGCATCAGCTAGCACGCACCCTGCCATTCTTACTCAGTGCCTGAACTTCCCAAGTGTCAGAACCAAAAAGGGACAAGGATACTTACGAGCTGGATGAGCCAAAGCTGAATCCTGAAAGAGAGCAGAGGGTCAGTCACATGGCAACACGAGAGCCCAGAGCCCTGGTGCCTCCTCGCCCTGGTGCCTCCTTGGCCCCAACCCTCTGGGACATGCAGGAGCCATGTCCCGCCCTGCCCTGTCCCCACGCCCGCTGCAGGCAGAGGGTCTCACACCCATCTCCTTGGGAAGACCTTGGCTGTTTGCCCTCTGTCCCTTTGCAGGGACCTCAGACAACTCTTGGCAAAGGAAGATGACGCCGAAACTCTGCACCCCGATTCTGCTGCAAGGACAGGACAGGCACACACAGCCGCTGTGCCCGCACAAGCCTGCTGGTTTGGATTTTAAAACAAAATGGTGCCTGAAGTGGCTATGAGCTGTGAAATCCACTGTTCCTGACCTGCCTGCTTGGGCTCTGCCACTCTGCTTCTGTTGGCGCTTGAGTTGAGCCGACCAGCAGGACGGGCAGTTCCACGCCTGGCTCACCTCCTGAGCTCCCAGTGAAACCCCCCCTCTACCTGGTAGAGCTCTCAGATCGTATGAAAAAATCAAGTCAGTCATTTCTTTCAGTAAGAAATAGCATAATAGTACGAGTCTAATTAAAACCTAAAAAGAACATTTGATTTTTTTCAATCACTTTTAGCTTTCAAAAACCTAAAATGAGCAGTGAGGTGAAAACACTCACTCCTTTGGGGAGGCAGCACTTGCTTTTGTTTAAAGGGCTGGGAGCCTGGGCCCTGCCAGGGAATGCCACCCGCTGCCTACCTCCTGAGCCGGAGCCGAAGCCGGAGAAGCCGCCACTCTGGGTCCCAAAGCCAGGGGTCTGCTGCGACAGTGACCCGAAGGTGGGAGCGTTCTGACTCGCCAGCGTCCCGAAGGAGGCCGTGTTGCTGCTGCTCCCAAACCTGGGTTCAAGAGAGGAACGGACAGTGAGCCCCGTGGCCTCCCGGCCGGGCCTGCCATCCCGAGCCTCAGGAAGCCTGCCACACGTAATTTGAGGCGACACCGGGGGAGAAGCAAGGCTAGGACCTTGAGCAAACTTTTCTCTGGGCTTCGGGAGGAAAAGCACAGGATTGCAGCAGGCTACGCAGCCAGGCCAGCAGTGGCCGTCGCAGGCCAGCTTGGGCTCCGGGGCGTTTGCAAACGAGGTGACGGCCTGCCTCTTGGCCGTCTGCGACAACTCTTCAGTCCCAGGATTTCTCATTTATCCACCATCCTTTTCCAACTCAGAATGGGAGCCCAGACTCCAGGGGACTCTCAGTGCTGGATTAACACTGCCTTCCTACCATTCTATGTCCCGCCCTGCCCGCTTTCCCCTCCAGTTCCCAAGCCTTCTCATTCAGAGTTGTGTGCTTAGGTCCTGGCACCCACGCAGCAGACCCAGGTGGGGTTCCTGGCTGCTTCGCCCTTTTGGGGAGACAATCAGTGGATGGAAAATCTTTTGCTTTTTCTTTCTTTCAAATAAATAAAACAAATTTTTAATATTTTAACATTTTTTAAACTTAAAAACAGAAAGAAAGCTGCCCGGGGCTGCGCTCAAGCACATGCTCCTCAGGCCTGGGCCTGTTCCTTCCTGCTCCTGCCCCAGCCTGTCATCAGGCCTGAGGCCCAGCATGCTGGTTCAGAGGTTTAGGAAGCCAGCCAGTCCTTGCCAGCCTCGCTCCAGAAAAATGGAACCCAGCAGCATGTCAGGGTACAGAAGGGCGAGCCAACTCGTGGAAGAACATGGCGGCAGAGAAGCGGGCTGTGGGCTTTCCTGGGGCCGCCGGGCGCACCAAGCTCTGACACTAGGTCTAGGTTAGGCAGGCCCTTGGGGCTCCTTTCCCAATTTCCCTATCTTGCTTTACTCCCTTAAAATATCCAAGCCTCCTTGTTTTTTTCTTTACTTTTCTAAAAATATGATTTGTTTTTTGGAAGTCAGAATTGCAGAGAGAGAGAGGAGAGACAAATCTTCCATCGGCTGGTTCACTGCAAGCAGGAGCAATGGCCACCGCTGGGCTGGCCTGGGGCCAGGAGCTTCTGGGCTCTCCACGTGAGCGCAGGGACCCAAGGCCTTGAACCATCCTCTGCTGCTTTCTTAGGCCATCATCAAGGAGCTGGGTCAGAAGGGGAGCATCGGGACGTGAACCAGCACCCGTTTATGATGCTGGTGTCACAGGCCGGAGGATTAACTTGCTATGCCACTGTGTCAGTTGGCCAAGCCTCTTTCAGGGAGAGGCAAGGTATGAAATATCACACTTCATTTTCAAGATAAAGACGCTGCCATCTTGCCAACTACACGACTGATTCCCCCAAAATGAAAAGTTACTCCATCCTGACGCTAGTACTGGGGGTCAGTGTCGGAGTCTCCTTCAGTGCTGACACAGCCAGCAAAGGAGGCATGCTGTGGTCGTCACCAGACATTCTGGGGGACTTGCTGGCATGGTCGAGGCTGCTCTGAAGTCCCAGAGCCCCTCACGTGGCACTCTCCATGAGGCTGCGCACGGGCAGCAGGAGCGGCCTGGACGGCGGAGTGGCCCCACTAACCCCTCTGCCTCCCAAGCAGGGACATGTTGTTGGTGTCCAGCACTGCACCCGGCCTAGCACTGCAGGGCGGGACCCCCAGGCAGAAGAATCCCAGCAGACAACAAGGTGCTCAACGTGTCAGTACCTTTCCTTCTTCTCCCCAGGGTCTCTATTTACACGGGGGCTCTTGAGCAGTCTAACTCGGAGAGACAGAAAGGCACCAGCAGGACCCTAGGACTTGGGGGGTGGGGGAGGAGAGCGGTCTAATTCTTCAAGATGGCAACGTTCTGGAGGTATGTGTCACAACAACGTGAATCCACTGAAATAACTTATTTGAAAGGCAGAGCTACAGAGAGAGGCGAAGAAGCAGAGGAATCTTCCACCTGCTGGCTCACAACCCAAGTGGCTGTAACGACTGAGCCTGGGGCAGACCCAAGCCAGGAGTCTGAAACTCCACTGGGTCTCCCATGCGGGCAAACGGGCCCAAGCACCTGGGCCATCCTCCACCGTCTTCCCAGGCTATCAGCTGGGAGCAGGATGAGAAGTGGAGTAGCCAGGATAAGAACTGGCGCCCAAAAAGTGTGGACTGGGCTAGACTCCAGCACCAACTGGTGCTCTGGAGGACCAGGGTAGGTGTAGGATGGGCTAGTCTAGGTCTCTGCCCATATTGAACCAAGTGTGAGCTGTGTCTGGGTGTGGACCAGGCTTGGTTTGTGTAAAAGACAGGGCTGGAGACAGAACTGACCCAGCCATTGCAACTACGAGCATATGCACAGCTGATTGGGGTGATGGACTGTGCCGGACCCTGTATTGGTGAGCACACATAAGCACCAGGTCTAGAATCACCTCAGATGAAGTTTCTATGGAGATCCCTCCAACTGAACTGCCAGACTCAGAACCATGAGAGAACTGCAGGTTCCATGGTCTGATTGTGGAACGCATGGGTCAGAGCTGGGTCTCCTCAGTGGCTTAAATGGAGCAGTGGACAGCATATCCAGGTGCACATGGAGGATATGGCAGTCCAGAGGACACCTGGTACCACAACAGAGGATGGAGGACAGAACAAATCGATCAACTACCCCAGCCACCGGTTGGCAGTGAAATTCTGGGCAAATGGAGACTCTAAGGTGGACTATGTCAGCCAGTGGATTCTGAAGATTTCATCATGCTTGGAATGGTGAGACTGGTAGCAATTCAGAACTGTTGAGCTATGAAAACTACTTGAGCAGGGCCCTTGGAGCATGTCCCACATCGCGGACCTGGGATGGGTGGGGCTTCTCCCTTTATCTCCTCCCTTACCCCAGATGGGGGGGGGGAGAGAGAGAATGTAGAAGCAATGGTCTTCACCCACTTTCCTGTAGCCCTTGACCCTTTGTGTTCTAATCAACTATGTAAATATTATCAAAATAAAACAATAGTAAAAGGTTTAAAAAAAATCTAAAAACCTGGTGTCCATAGGGAAGCCAGCACTGCAGGCAATGGCCTAACCAGCTATCCGTGTCTTCTGAACTGCATGCCTGAAACACGAGGAGGAAAGGAGTGGGTGCTGGGCACGGCGGTCGGGGTGTTGCCTGGTTCTGGTCTCGGCTCTGCTTCCAAGTCCAGCTTCTTACTGACTGGTGGCCCTGGGTAGCAGCCGGGACAGCCCAAGCACCTGGGGCCTCCTGTTGATTTGGGAGTCCTGGTGAGTTCTGGGATGCTGGGTTCAGATTTACCCAGCCCTGGCTGATGGGCATTTGAGAAGTAACTAGCAGTCTCTAATAAGTATTTTAATAGAATGGTCAATTTTACATTATATATATATATCAGCTTCATAAAATTTCCTTGGAACTGGCACTGTATAACAGCAGGTTAAGCCTATTTAAAGAACCACGATCCCACATGGGCACAGGTTCATGTCCCAGCTGTTCCACTTCCCATCCAGCTCCCTGCTTGTGGCCTGCGAAAGCAGCAGAGGACGACCCAAAGCCTTGGGTCCCTGCACCCACATGGGAGACCCAATGGAAGCTCCTGGCTCTTGGTTTCAGACTGGCCCAAAGCAGCTATGGCTGTTGTTATTTGGGGAGTAAACCAGCACATGGAAGAGCTTTTTCTCTCTGACTCATTCAAATAAAAACAAATATTCAAAAAAGTGTAATGAAAAAAAAAATCCTTAGTTCCCTTAGGCACAAGCCCAGGAGGTTTTGAAGGGGATGACTTGTAAGAGTGGAGCCTTTGGCTGAATGGGGTTAGCGAGGCCAGCGCACTGGCTGGGCGCTCGCCTCTGCACCCACTTGCACTCTTTGTCCAAGCTCATCCGGCTGCCGGCATCCCTCCTGTCTTGCGCCACTGCTGTGAGGTACATTGACATGGAGCACACAGGAACCTGTGGCTATCTGCCTTCCTTCAGCCCCAGCAGGACAGTACGGCGTGTGATGTCCAGCGTGGCTCAATGGCCAACCTCACCTTCCACGCGCAGCAGGGCCTGGCTTCCCAGGAAAGGACCAGGAGACCCCTCTCCCCGAGCCTGGCTTGCGGACCTGAGCAGGAGCTGGGGAAACTGAGAACTCCTCAGACGAAAGCACTGCTCCGGGGGGGACCCTTGGCACCCCGTCATGGCTTACCCGAATCCTCCTGCGCTGGCGGCCGCAGTGCCCTCTCCGAACACTTTGCCTCCCGTCGAGCCCAGAGGGCTTGTAAAGGCTGGGGCTGAACCGAATGCTGGCACCCCTCCAAACCCAGGGGATCCCCCAAAAGTAGGAGGGCTGCCAAACACTGGAGCAGCACCGAAGCCACCTGAGCAAAACAGAGGCAAACAGAAATAGGAAGAAAGGAGAGAGGAAGACATTGAGCAGTGAGACCGCATCACAGGAGGGCAGACAGGCTAGACACCCCGACACCGACCTTCAACCAACCACGGGAATAAAGCCAACCCAAAACTTTTAGCAGAGGAGTCTGGGGTCTGCTTGGGAGAGCCCCAAATCCCATGTGGAGGTAGACTGGCCAGTCTGTGACACCTTGAGCGAGTGGCCCACCACGGAGGCCCCTGGTGCCTGGCAGTCCTTCCCCCCACTGAGCTGTTGGGGACTGCTCTCCAGACGCCACGGTTAATGTGAGGGTACAGGATCTGGCTGTGGAGAAATGCATACCACAAATCCGAGGCTCCAGTCTGCTCTGGCACCTGTGAACGGGGTCACAGCAGAGACAGCAAGAGGCACCTGCAGGTACCCAGCCAGGAGCTTTTATTTATTTACAGCCTGCTGGCTGCACATGGCTTCCACTGGCCTCTACCCTCCCTCCCTGTGGGGGGGACGGCCTGCCCCAGCTGTCCCCAGCGGCTGCATAAATCTCACACAATCAGCTGGCACCTGCAAGAACCGGCTGACAGCCACAGGCTGGCCAAGGCCTGGCACAGGTGACTGCAGGAAAGGGTCAGGTCACGGTCATGGTCACAGACAGGGTGGGAAGTTGGCCCTGGGGCAATTCCTGTTTGAGAGGGATCCCAAGCCTCCAGGGTGCCGGGAAAAGCCCTGCCAAGGCAGCAGGCTCTGGTGACCGTGCACCTGCGGGCACACCTGCACGCCCTGGCAACGAGTGCTGGGCTAGCGACCATGCTGAGGGGCGTCCAGTGGCCAAGTGACAATCAAGGGCACGAGAGCTGTTCTCCCGCCGCGGGACGTGAGTGTTCCGAGAGGCTCATTATAACCACACTGCCAGTTTCTGCAATTGGAAGGACACAGAGCTGCGGCGAGTCCCCAGACACCTGCATGTCACGACCCAATCACGAGCTTGGTGGTCGCCAGCAGCACCTGCACAGCCGAGGACGGACCTTCTGCTGTCTCACGTGTGGGTAAACACTCAGCATTTTAAAACCTTGAGTGAAATTTCAGCCATGATAATGAGACTGTTGGTCGTAAATATAACAGACTGGAAACAAAAAAGTGCTAAAAAAGCCTTGCAACTGAATTATTGAACGCTCATCCGGATCTGGTTGCACTCTCTTCCTGGACCTTGGGGGTTTATCTAGTGCCGGACCCAGTATCGTTTAGTCTTGCTGGGAGGTGAGTGAAAAGTGAGCAGTCAGTGTGACACAGAGTCAGCGGACAGGGCACAGCAGGGTCAAGGTGCACAGAAATGCCCAGGCCAGGGATCTGGGTCACAGCTAGAGGAAACCAGAGACCGCCTGGTCTGGGCCTGCTCCGGGAGACAGGAAGTACCGCCTGGTGCTGGGAGGAGCTGCGTTCTACCCGCGCTGTGCTGCGCGCATTTTCTTCTCTACAAGAGGCAACCGCAAACTCTCTCCTGGTCCCCCGCGTGTCAGCTGTGGGGAAGGCTCACTGTACGCGTCCCCCCACATGACTTACACGCTCCCTACTACCCGTTGTGTACCCTCTGTCCCCTTCGGTGTCACCAACTGACAGGACGGGGGCCCCGAGGGCCAGGGCCAGCAGTGAGGTCCCCAGGACCTGTCAGGTCCTCCGCCTGCAGTCCTCTCCTGGCTGACTTCTAGCAGATGAGCGCCTAACACTGTTTTCCTGAAGGAGGTGATACCATGGGTATTTTGCAAAGATCCTGGCGGACCACCTGACTGAAATCCTTGCTCCACGATGCTGGGATTTCAGGCAGTTTGTCCTCCTTTGTGGTGCTGGCGGGGCCTGGGGGAAAACAGCAGCGCGTGGACGGCCCGCGCAGCTCTGCAGCAGGGCACGTCCCTTGTACCGCCTCTGCAGCAAGCCCCCCGCTCGGGCACGCCGGAGGCAGGGTGCTCAATCTGGGGGCTTTTCCTGGGGTAAGTAATCTGATCGGAGGACACTGAAAAAAACAAAGGGTGGGACTCTCCAATCCAGGGCAGCGTGATGAACCCAGGGTGGGGGCCACAGACGAGAAAAGCAGAAGCACCAAGACAAGCACTTCTAGGGCTGGGACAGATAAACACAGGACAGGTCTCAGTGACGCAGGGAGCCGACTCGCTCAGTCCTTTCTGAGGGCTCCGAGCCGCGGGACACACTGGTGCTTGTGTGTTCGGGTGTGGGGATGGCGAAAGGAGGGTGTGGCGCTCACTTGCGGTCTATTCTGTGGAAGGTGTGGTACACAGTGCGTCCTTGGGGGTCCTCACAGGGGAGCTCCTTGGCTAGGTGTGGTGGCACACAGCCTCATTTCAAAGTGACCACAAGAAGAGGCAGGCCACCTGCCACTCGCTCACAGGGAACTGGCGTTAACAGCTGACTTGTCCAGTAACGGCCTCTCACCACTCCCTTTCCTTAGAAGACAGTCTTCCGCACACTGTCTCCATCAGGATCCAGAGAGGCAGGCCATCAGCCCGTGCGGGACAGAGACACGGAGAAAGGCCCCTGTACAGACAGGCCTGCCAGAACTTGTGCTGCCGGGCATTCACTGGCAGCAAAAAGGAAAAATGGCCATTTGGAAAAAGGGACAGCGCATTGTATGCTGGACCAGCACGGCAACGGGCACCTGGACGTGGAACACCGAGCTCTCCTGCTCCACCTCAGTGTCGCCTCCTTTGCTGGTCAACAAGTACCAGCAAGACTAGGTGCTCTTCAGCAGCAGTGTGTGCTCTGTGCACCTCCCAAGCAGGAGGAGACCTCCAAGGTGACGCAGTGAGGGTCAGTCTACGTGGGCAGGACAAGCAGCTTTGTCCTCCCTGGAGAGAAGCATTCAACAGCCATTGCCTCGCAGGTGCTCACACTCAAGTGAACACGTACCCACCCACCCCGGGAGACACACAGGGGAGATTACCTGTTTTGTTCGGAGTAGAAAACCCGAAGCCTTGGGATGCCACGCTGCCTCCGCCCGAGCTGAAGGTGCCAGCCGGCTTATGCTCACCAAACGACGAGCTCGCGAAGCCTCCAAACGCTTTGGCCCCACTGTTGCCAAACAGGTTCGAGGTATCTGGAGAGAGGAGGGACATGCGTGCTTAGGCAGAGTGCACCCAGCACCACGGAGCGACACGGCAGCCCAGCTAGGGAGGCTCCACCATGCACCCACGCGCAAGGCTTCTGCCTCTGACTTTCTCACCCCGAGAAGCTTCAACTCACGCTGGTATCCAGGGTCATGGATGCTGGCATGATATGACAGGCAGGGAAAGGCCTGGCTCACAAAGAGGCTCTGGGTGAAAACCCACCACGTGTGTCCGTGGCCTGGGCTGACCCCACACCAGGAGTGAGCCACCTGCTCTCCTGTGCAGGCTTCACAGGAACACCAATTAGGGAAATCAAGTCAGCACAAATCCAAGCCAAGTACAATGCTTCCGGTAGAAAGTGTGGCACCACTGCTGGCACCTGGACTGGCCAAGCGAAGTCCCGCTGCTCCCTGCAAGATGCCCCCAGTGTGTGGGCCCTGCCACGCACGTGGAAGCTCTGGCCAGGCCATTGCTGCTGCTTGTGGAGCCCACCAGTGGGATGAAAATCGGCCTCTCCCCCTCCACTTCTCAAATTCTGATTTTCAAATACAAAATCTTTTCCAATACCAACATGCTCCCCCTTACTGCTAGCCAACAGGAGCCGGAGTGGCTGCAGGAGGCCGCGAGGGCCACGAACCCCCCAGGCAGCTTCCCTCTTGCCAAGAGGCCGTGTGAAAGCCCCGGACTCGCTGTGCTCATCTGGCAGGTCACCCCTCCCTCAGCCACACCCCGAATCTGCTCCAAGAACTGAAGGACAAAAACAAAACCAGCAGCTACAGACCAAGATGAGGTAGGAAGTATGTATTTTTTGCTTATTTTCTTTTGTCTGTTACAAGAAACGCAAGCCTGGCAGAAAGCACAGAGCCAAGGCCGTGCCGGCTGAGCTGTCCCTGAGCTCAGTGAACAGCGCTGGGACGCGGCTGACTGCAGGGTGACTCAGTACAACTGACTTGTGCTCCCTGCCACAGTGGGGCAAGGCCGTCCTGAAACGGGGTGGATGCTCAGACACTGGCTAACGGGAAGGGAGATGTGTGCTGAGCTTGCCGCTGGGTGGGACAGAGCACAGCCTATCGGGGTCTGCACACTGCCAGATGGCACGCTCCAGGAAGATGAAAGCAGAGGAGGGGAGCAGTGTGTGTGGGGGGGCCTGTGAGGGTGGGGAGCAGTGTGTGTCGGGGGGGGGCCTGTGAGGGCGGGGAGCAGTGTGTGTGGGGGGGGCCTGTGAGGGCGGGGAGCAGTGTGTGTGGGGGGGGCCTGTGAGGGTGGGGAGCAGTGTGTGGGGGGGCCTGTGAGGGCGGGGAGCAGTGTGTGTGGGGGGGGGCCTGTGAGGGCGGGGAGCAGTGTGTGTGGGGGGGCCTGTGAGGGTGGGGAGCAGTGTGTGGGGGGGCCTGTGAGGGCGGGGAGCAGTGTGTGAGGGTGGGGAGCAGTGTGTGGGGGGGCCTGTGAGGGCGGGGAGCAGTGTGTGGGGGGGGGCCTGTGAGGGCGGGGAGCAGTGTGTGTGGGGGGGCCTGTGAGGGCGGGGAGCAGTGTGTGGGGGGGCCTGTGAGGGCGGGAGCAGTGTGTCCGGGGCCTGTGAGGGCGGGGAGCAGTGTGTGGGGGGCCTGTGAGGGCGGGGAGCGTGTGTCCGGGGGCCTGTGAGGGCGGGGAGCAGTGTGTGTGGGGGGGCCTGTGAGGGCGGGGAGCAGTGTGTGGGGGGGCCTGTGAGGGCGGGGAGCAGTGTGTCCGGGGGCCTGTGAGGGCGGGGAGCAGTGTGTGGGGGGGCCTGTGAGGGCGGGGAGCGTGTGTCCGGGGGCCTGTGAGGGCGGGGAGCAGTGTGTGTGGGGGGGCCTGTGAGGGCGGGGAGCAGTGTGTGTGGGGGGCCCTGTGAGGGCGGGGAGCAGTGGCGGCTGTTCAGGGAGTGATATGGGAGCAATGGCTCATCAGACTCCAGCACCCCCAGGACCCCCAGGTCGTGAGCTCCTTCTGGGTACAACACTCTTGGATCCACAGCACCTGACGAGGAAAATACATGGCCTCATGTCGGGGACTTGGCTGCCAGCAGGGCCCCAGCACGTCATCATGACCACTGCAAAACAGATCGCAGCTGCCAAGGTGAGCCTGGCAGCAGGGATGCCCTCCCTTGACCCCACACCTGCAAGTCGGGGTCCAGGATGGCTTCTCCTCCTGTGGAGCTGACCGAACACTCCCCTGAGCGAGCTGGTCTGAGGCTGGCTGTGACCCCAGCAGTGCCAGGTCCTATGATGTGGGCTAGAGGCTTCTCAGCCAATCCCTTTGTTTGGTCTGGTCGGCTGTGTTCCCAATGCCAAATCCCAGAGAGCAAAACAAATGCAAGTTCAAGATTAGAGGCTACAGTTTCTTGGCACAATCACAGGAAATGAAAGGTAAAATGATTCTATTGGGGAAATGTCGGCAAGCACAAACTCCTGGAAAGTCAAAAGACCACTTGGACTCTGGGACCCTGTCCCTCTGTCTATAAGATCCTCTTGGTCTGGCACAGCAGAATGAGCAGCACGTTTGCAGACGGGCGATGGACAGGTAACCCACAGGGAACAGGCAGGCTGTGTTCTGTCCCACCCAGTCAGGCATCTCTGACCCTGCAAGGCCGTCTCTGTGTGGGGAAGACACAAGGAACAGAGTGAGTGCAGGGCACAGGACTCAGGAGAGACCACTCCCTGGGGCTGGCGTCGCGGCATGGCAAGCAAAGCCACCACTTGCAATGCTCACACAGGACTAGTTAAAGTCCCGGCTGCTGCGTTTCAGATCTAGCTAACTGTTAATGGCTAGAGGAAGCTGTGGAGAATGGTCTAGGCGACAGGGGCCCTGCATCCACATGGCCGATCTGGCTGCTAGCTTTGCCTTGGCCTAGCCCTGCCTGTTGCAGCCATCTGTACCAGCGAATGGATGCTCTCTCCACAATGCTGCCTCTCAAACAAAAGGACAAAATAACTTCCCTTCATCTCCCTGAACTTTTTCCATGTCATTCATGCCCCGAATAGTTACACATAGATCACTGGTTAAAAATTACACAGTCTTCACTGGCACAGACTCCGAGCACCACACCATCAGCTTCATGGGCAGCACCCTGCACACGCTGTCCACTCCAGGTGTTCTGGAACAAAGCGGCACTAACTGATGTCTGTTTCTCCCTAGCTGTCTGGTGGGGAACATTTCTCCATTCTCTCCTGATGGACCTAAAACGGCCTCTGGCTGCTGAAAATGTGGGAAGATAGCCCCTGGGCTGGCGGGACAGTGGTACACGGCAGAAGAGCCTACTTCACTTATGTTTGTCTTTTCAGAGCTAGTGGACGACTCCCACCATGAGGGGAGGAGGCAAGTGCAGTTCAAAGCAGCATCTTGTGTGCGCTCCCACAGCCCACCCCTCTCTTGTGTGGGCTCTCATTTGGCAGAAGCACCTGTCACCAGGGACTGACGCCTGATACAGCACTGATATGGATGAGATACAAGTAGTGTCAGACAGCAGGCCCCACTCACTGCAGCTATAAATCACTGAAATGAGAAGCTGACACATCCTCAGAAGGTATACTGTCCACGACACTTTGTTCAACAACAGCTCCAGAGACAGCTCTGGACACCTGCAGATGATCGCCAGAGAGCTTGTGCATCCGTAGTCCCACATGTCTTTCAGAGACTGACTCTACAGTGCCAAGACCGAAGGAGGCAGCGGGTCCTTCTACGAACGGTAGAATTCACAGAGGTGCCGAGTTTTAAATGACGCCAGGGGCGAGTAGCTCTGAAGATGAGAGAAGCAGTCCTGCCAAGGCTGGAATGTGGGCACAGAACACACCCACTCCACGTTCTGGTGCCTCTGGCTTGTCTTGCTTTGGCACTGCCATGTCCTCAGGACATGCTGAAGAGGGCAGGTTCAGAACTAGGCAGTCTGTGGCACAAACGCTACGAAAGGAACTACTGGTTCTATCTACGAGTCAATGTTCCAGGCCCCGTGGGAGCCGTCAGGCTGGCCGTGTGCAGGTCAGTGTGAAGGACAGACCTGGCTTCAATCCAGCCGTGCAGCTGAAGCCCGGGGGGAGGGGGCGACAGCTGCCACCCAAGCTGGTGACTCCCTGGGATCTGACATGGCCCAGAGGATGAGGGCGGTTTCAGCTGCAGGACCCCAGATGGAAGACGAAGGCCAAGATGCTGCGCGCCACTGCCATCAGCAGCAGACGAGCAGAGAAGCTAACAAAAAGGCTGCTGAGCTGAACAAGCACACACAGCTTCAAGAGAAAGTCAGACCCAACTGCAGGGACAAGACATGAAGCTGGCTGGGGTGTGGCCTAGCGGCTAAAGTCTTTGCCATGAATGCGCCAGGATCCCATATGGTTGCCAGTTCTAATCCCAGCAGCTCCACTTCCCATCCAGCTCCCTGCCTGTGGCCTGGGAACAGTCGAGGACGGCCCAAAGCCTTAGGACCCTGCACCCGTGTGGGAGACCCAGAAGAGGCTCCTGGCTTCGGATCGGCATAGCATCGGCCGTTGCGCTCACTTGGGGAGTGAATCATCGGACGGAAGATCCTCTCTGTCTCTCCTCTCTGTATATCTGACTTTCCAATAAATAAATAAATCTTAAAAAATAAAAAAATAAATAAATAAAAATAAAAAGACGCAGTGAAGCGACGTCACTCTACGTGCTCCCGAGCACCCTGTCTGTCCTGCCGGGCTCACCAGGCCTGCAGTCTCTCACAGCCAGGAAGGAGACAGCGAGGCCTGGGAAAACACTTCCTGTCCTCCGTGCCTGCACGAGGCAGCTGACCAAGATAGCAAAAACAAAAGGCAAGCGGCGAACAGACGCTCTAGGGCGGGAGGGACGGCCGCCTTCCGCTCCTGCTTTGTGTTTGCCCCTGAAGCCTTCCCAACACCACGCGGATGACGGCGGACTGGGAAGCACGCCTCTCCACTTACTTGGGGTGGCTGTAGATCCGAAGCCCCCGCTGGTAGAGCTGAATGGGTTTTTGTTGGCTGCGTCCTGGCTGGGTTTGCCTCCAAGGCCACTGAAGAAACCGCCCCCTCTAGTAGCACTTCCAGAGCCAAACAGGCTGCCGCTGGAAGACGAGGACTGCTGCAAAACAAAAGGGGCAGGAAGCAAGACAGGATGAGGGTCACCGTAGACCAGCAGGCCGCATCCGGGGCCGGAGGTGCTCAGAGAGAAACAAGCAACCCCGCCGAGTTCTGGTGTGGACTGAGCCATGTCGCACTGCTCTGCAAACGTGATCCGTGTGGATGGCAACTTGTGTTTATCTGCCCTGCTGCCTGCACTCTGTCTGGTGTAACGCCAGGGACACGACAATCAACCCTACAAGAGAGCTACCAAATCGAAAGGCTGAAACATTTGGAGTGTGAGCGCTTTGTAGTGTTTTTTCTCCCAATTCGTGCATTTTTATTTACAATGACTTTCCCAGTGCTGCAGGAACAAGCTTAAATTAGCTCCATTGTTGAAGTGATGACCATAGCTGAATGCTGTCCAAGCTGGCATATCTTAGGCTTTGAGGATGCTAACTTCGGGGCATTTGCTGAGTCAAAGCTGGAGCAGCCACCACACACTAGGTTTTCTCTGTTTGGAAATTGGTTATTTAAGGACGACCAGTGGGTGGCCTGCCAGGCCATTCACATTGGTGACAGGTGATGCCTCCCTGGTTGATAACCTAGGAAATGACAGGCGTTGTACATGGGTCACAAGAGGGCCTGGCATTGTGAGGCAGAGTGCTGGTTCAAGTCGGGATGCTCCACTAGTGACCCAGCTGCCTGCTAATGCGCTCAGGACGGCAGTGGAAGCAGGCCAAGTGCTTGGGCCGGTGGAGGTCCTGGCTTAGCCCTGACTGGTGTAACCCTTTAGGGAGTCAATCAGTGGATGGGAGATCTCTCCACTGCTCAAATCCACAACTCCTGAAACAAGCCAGTAAGCGAGCAGTGCTGAACAGAGCAAGTTTACAGGAGCTTCCTTCAAGGGTGGAGTGGTGTGGTAGGCCCCCTTCTACAGAACACGGACAACACGCGACCCCTATGAGTGGCAGTTAGAGTAACTGGGACACAGTGCACTTTGGAGTCATGTACTCTTACAGAAGGACTGGACCACTGCTGAAGCATCTTCTCTGTGCCAGGCACTTTCTAAGTCCCCTGGAAGCAGCCACTTCATCTCCACGGAAGGCCAGTCTCAGGGCGCCACTCCCACAGCCCCTCAGTTGAGTGGCTTCTTCTGGACACGGGTTCAGTTCCCAACCCTTGCTCTTTAATTATGCAAAAACTGAACATCCTGCTTCCAGGGCACTGGGACTAGTCTAGTCACTTCACCGTTTCTCAGCTCTGACAGACCTGATGTGGTCTGGCCCCGCCTCTCTCCATCACCCTCACCCATCCCCCTTGCTGAGCACTCACGCAGGGCTGTCACCCTAGAGCAATGTCCTTAACACACTTCTAGTCTGTCTGTTTGAACTGCTCAGCATCGATGTAACGATCCACTACAACCACTGAATGACAAGGACCAGCCTGCCAACTAGGAATCCAACCAGCTAACTGCCGAGCTCTGGGACCTGTCTCCAAAAGGGAGGACACGGTTTCACCGTTCAGCTGACTTCCACAGCAGGCTGGAACACACGCGGCCCTGCCAGAGCTCAGCATTACAGACGGCTGCGCTTTGTAGGACATGGCTGCCAGACACGGCCAGCAGCGCGTCACCAGCCACCCTGGCTGAAGGGAACGGCGTCTCCTAGTTGTTATATCCTCAGACGGCCTTAACAGAAATCCACTCACTTTAACTGAGACAAATAGCAGGTCTTTCAAACAAAATTTGAGAAGTCTTGAGGTGTACAAAAAAAAAAAAAATAGTATACTGGTATCCCAAGGCAGCCGCAGGCTCAACGTCCATCACCTTGTGGCCAGCTGCATTTTGTCTTTGCCCCAAGTACTCCTGCAGAATGAGTGAATTTGACACCTTGTCATTTCACTCATTGATTCACAGGGATAGATCCATTAAAACAGAAACCATAACTACAAGACTACGTGTCTTAAAAACTTAACAACTGCTTACTACAACCGAGTAGGAAGTGTTCAAGACCTCTAGAACCAACGCCACTGCACAGGGAGGACTGAGGGTCAAGTGAACTAGGAGGTCTTGCCACAGAAACGCCGCCAACACCACACCCTAAAAAATGCAGGGGACAAAAGACTAGCTTTGTTTTAGGAGCCGAATGACAAGGAATATAAGAGGGAGAGACTCATCCTAGTCTCTCAGACCAGGGTGCTGCTTAGTGTCCCTGATAACAGCCTGGGGAAAGCGGCGGAGGACGGCCCAAACGCGGGAGACACGGACGGAGCCCTGGGTAAGTCGTGGCTGGCCACTGCAGTTATCTGGGAAGTGAAGAGGGATGGAAGATCTCTCTCTCTCTCTCTCTCTCTCTTCTACTCTCTGTACTTCTTTAAAGAGATAACTGAGAGGCAGAGCCACTGGACAGACATGGAATCCCAATGCTTGGTCCCTGTTTAATCCTGGTCACATCCTGCTTTGCTGTCACAGGATTTAATAGTCGTGCAAAAGCACCACCCTCCGTCAAAGGCCGGCTACGTGGAGCTACATCCTCCCCTCCCCGACAACCCCTCCGTGTGTGAAGGTACTCAGACTCTGGGTTCAACGCTGGTTCACTATTTATTACCCTCTTACTAACGCTTTTAAGTATCTAGGAGAGTGGAGACTCTAGGGGGGACTCGGCCACTATTCCTCAACCTTGGAATAATGAAACCAACAGTATCTCAGAACCATCATAACCACTTGGAACACGCTCCACATAGGGAACTCTGGGATGACACTGGGTGGCTAGCCCCCATCTCCAGGCAGGGATGCGGTTGGGCTGTTGGGAGCAGCCCTCTCCCTTTCTATCCCCCCCCCCCCCCCAGACACAGGAAGTAAAAAAAAAAAGGAAGCAATTGTCTCACAAACCTTCCCTCTCGCCTCTGCTCTCCTATCCTAATCGACGGTCCCCATGGGTATACATCCTTCTCAATTATGAAAACATCAAAATTAAAATGAATTTATTATAATATAAAACAAAACAACCCCTCCCCACCAAAAAAAAACCCCACTAATGCTTTTAAGATTAAGACAGAAAAAAAGAATTCTCTCAGTATCCTGGAAAATAAGTCTTGATTTCACTTCACCCTTCAAAGGTATTTCTGGCTGGGTTTAGAAATTCTAAGTAGACACTCCCCACCAGACGGCAGTCAGCTGGTGCCTGGCAGGCTCTTTCCTGCTGCTTTCAGCACCTTCTGTCCCTGCCCTGCAGCTTCGCTAGGACACACCTCAAACCCGACCACACGCATGTGCTTCGCACCTCGTGTGCTTTCCAATTTCTGCACGACCATTACCCATCAGTCTTCCTTCTCCTGGGTCTCCTCCAGGGCTCTTACCTGGTGGCACGGACCCAGGCACCTAAGCCACCACCTGTTGCCTGCCAGCATGCGTTCACAAGATGATGGACTCGAGGACACTGACACAGGACGCAGAGGTCCCATGCAGCGACCATCCTGATCTCCACAGCACCTCCCCTCCTACAGACTCCGGCTCCAATCCACCTTCTAGTTAAAGGGTCGCTAAACTACTCGGGTAGTAGCTCATGGGCCAAGTCCAGTTTACTGTCTATTTTTGTAAGTGGATAGTTTTACCGGAACATGGTCACGCACACACATCTGTGTGTTGCTCACAGGCACCTCTGTTACATGGCAGAGCTGAACAGCTGCAACAAGAACAGGCCTGTCAAAGCCTCAAACACGCTCTGACTCCAATCCTGGAGTTTACTACAGCTCTTATCACCAAACTGATGTTAAACAGATCCATTCAGCCCTACATGTCCATTAGTCCATCTTTCTAAAAATTCTGTTTTGGTTTTTATAGAGCTGCTATATAGTACTTTGCATAATTCCCTATTTCTCACTGGTGTTTTCAAGTTTGAACATCTTATTTCTTTAGGCCTGGTGCTGTGGTATAGTACATGAAGCCACCTTCAACAACGGTTTTAATTAATCTGTACAGCCACCCTAAAGCTAAACTCGGTACAGATAGCTCCCAGCTGTACAAAGTGGAGCAACGTGCAGCTGCTACAGTGGTGTAGTGCGCTAATCACATGGATTCTGATTCTAATTCTGGCTGCCCCACTTCCGATTCAGCCCCTGCAGGTGGCCTACGAGAGTAGAGGATGCTCGGCCAGCAGACAGAAGATCTCGCTAACTCACTCTCAAGTAAAAATAAATAAATAAATAAATAAATAAATAAAGTCTTTTAAAAAGGGGGAAAAAAAAGTGCGGACCAACTCAGTTCACCCTTAGGAAGATCTAAACTACAGGAGCTTAGCATGTATGGGCTCTGGGGCATTTTCTTTTATTCAAAGCACCATTTAAAAATGTAAAATCTATTCTTGCTAAACCAAACCAAACCACACAAGGCTGGGGGCGACCAGAGACCATGGATCATATGGGGTGCATAGTCCCATATGGGGTGCAAGGCAAGGACTTCTAGCTCTTGCTGTTTTAATGTATTTTTGGTCCATGGTTGGTTGAAACCATGGATGACTAGCCCAGATACAGAAGGCCAGCCACATTTCTATTTCCAGGCTTGCCTGATTCCCATATCCTGCCAACTCTTAGCAAAGATTCATGGAAACCAGGCAACACGCTTTCCAAGTGTCTGGCGGTGCTCTGCCATCACACACTGGGTCTCTCTGCTGAACAGCCCGGCTGTGCTTGCCCGGTGCGCTCGCACAACACAGACCGTCAGACCACACGGGGCAAGTGCACGGCTTTCATGCATGTTGACATGAGTACTTACCTGGCCAAACACTGTTCCACCAGTACTGGGTGCCTGACCAAACACAGAACCAGTACTGCTAGTCCCAAAACCTAAAAAAAAAAAAAAAAAAAAAAAAAAAAAAAAAAAAAGAAAAAAAGAAAAAGAAGATGAAGAAGAAGAAAGGTCACTTTGAATAATTTCTTTACAGTAGCAAAGTGGCAGTCTTGTCTTCAATGGCATTCAGTTGAACTAACGAATAAAATATTTCCTTATCTAGGAAATGGAAGAAATTCCTGAGCAAATGCTCTACAGTTTTCTTTATTGCTACTATTTTAAATAATACAAATTTCAGTCTCACGGATTTGGTCTTTCTCTCCCACCAGAGCCCGAGTGCTGGCTTTTCCCTAGATTGCAACTGCCCACAACCTTCCTATGAGAACCGCCGCTCCTTGGCCACAGGGGACGGGCTCCAGGAGTCCTTGCAGATCCCCCAGCCGGGCCATGCCCAGGCCCTCCTACAAAATGGTGTGCTGTGTACATATAAACTACACATCTTCCCGAACACTTTTAAGTCATATCCCCATCATTTATAATAATATCTAACACAACACAAGTAGGTATTAATACTGGATTTTTTTTTTTCTGTTGCAGACAGAAAAATTTATTTGCAAATGGACCAGGTGAGCAGGGAAGGGGGAAGCACCTCCGGAGAGAAAACCGGGAGGTGGGGTGCCTCTCGAAAGGGGGAGAGAGAGACATCCAACACTGGATTGTATAGGGAATAACAGCAAGAAAAAAGTCAGTACTAGTTCAGTGCCTACACACTTTGTTGTTGCTGTTTTTATTTATTTATTTATTTTTAACTGGAAGGTCAGATATACAGAGAGGAAAGAGATAGCCCTTCCTTCTGCTGATTCACTCCCCAAGAGTCTGCACCAGCCAGAGCTGAGTCCTCTGCCGAGTCTCCCAAGCAGGTGCAGCGTCCCAAGGCTTTGGGCCATCATCGACCACTTTCCCAGGCCATAAGCAGGGAGCTAGATGGGAAGCAGGGCACCAGAACAGGAACTGGCGCCCATACGGGGTCCCGGAGTCCCATATGGGGTGCAAGGCAAGGACTTCTAGCTCTTGCTGTTTTAATGTATTTTTGGTCCATGGTTGGTTGAAACCATGGATGACTAGCCCAGATACAGAAGGCCAGCCACATTTCTATTTCCAGGCTTGCCTGATTCCCAGGGCAGTTTATCCTCCATCCAGACGGCTCAACATGGACACATCAGGTTGTGGGGCCAACATGATGGCTTCACTGGCTAATTCTCCACCTCCAAGCACTAGGATCCCACATAGGAGATAGCTTGCGTCCCGGCCGCTCCACTTCCCATCCAGCTCCCTGCTTGTGGCCTGGGAAAGCAGTGGACAGCCCAAGTCCTTAGGACCTATGCCTGTGTGGGAGACAAGGAAGAAGCTACTGGCTTCAGATCAGCTCATCTCCAGCCGTTGTTGCCATATGGGGAGTGGACCAGTAGAGGGAAGATCTTTCTATCTCTCCTCTGTAAATCTGCCTTTTCAATAAACAAATCTTAAAACAAAACTACACATCGTAAGCAAAGGGCACAATAAGAGGCAGGAAAGCCTGAGTCCCATTGTTGTGTGTTGCACTGATCCGGCAGGTGAGCCCGGGAGCAGGAGGACAGCTCAGGGTCCTCACGCAGTCTGCCCAGCAGAATCTTCCCGACACCGTCTGACTTCAGAACAGATGAAGTCATGTCAGCTCCCTGGTCTTGTCTCTGCTCGTTCTCACCTGTCCCTCCCTGCACTCTGGCCCAGCCTTCCCACTCCAAGGCACTCCAAGGCCTTCCCACATCTCACCTGTGCGTGTCTGCTGCTACCGCGACCCGAGAGCTGCACTTGGGAGGCAAAGCAATCCTGTCTAACAAATTACTGGCCACTTCGAAAAGATCAGAGACTCGAATGTGTACTTGTGGGTGTGGCCCTGACTGGGTCTCTCTGGGAACCCGAAGAGCTGCTTCCAACAAGACAAGCAGCAGAGTAGGATAGCATCTTGGGCAGCCTGTCAACACTTAAAAGTAGGCGCTAAATCAAATGCACAACAGTGATGGATTTCCTTTCAAAACAGCACAATTTAGAAATAAAACCAAAACATCACAATACTGAACAGACAGAGGCCTGCTTCCTGAAATGCCGGTGGCTGCCCCCTCGGCAGGCTGGCATGGGGGGTGTCCTTTAGCTGGGCTTGCTGTGAGTGCTACCTCACTCCCCAGCAGTGTCCTTGAGGCTTCAAGCTCTGCACACAATGACCCCAAAAGCACCTTCTGAATGAGACATGAAGTTAGCCACCACGACCTCAAATTGCAGCCACTTGCACCTCCCCTGCCATGGAATCGGACTGATGGTACCACCAGGAAACCTGGTGAGAGCTCCGACTGTGGCTCCAGGAGGAACATCAGGCCTGCATGGCCAAGCGAATCCTAAACCACGTGCTGCAAACCCAAGCGGCCAGCCTACAGATTTTTTTACTTTCCCTTTAATTACGAAGGTAATACATGCTTCTTGCAAAGGTTTCAAATATCCCACAGGGGTCAAAGCAAAAATCTCCCACAAATGTCTTACCTGAAGCTTGACAGAAGCTAAACCCCGAGGGTGTGGCTGCGGTGCTTGCGGCCGAGGTGCTACCGAACACAGAGCCAGCCTGCCCAAAGCCAGGACTTTGTCCAAAAGCGGGAGTGGGGCTCTGTCCAAACAGCCCACGGCCTGCGTTGGCAGAAGACTGTCCAAACGAAAAGGAACTGGAGCTACTGGTATTGGAGGAGGCGCCGAAGACACTGGCACTGGTGGGGGTGGGGGCCGAGGATGTGGCCTGGCCAAAGGCGGGTACAGAGCTAAAGCCAGGCTGACTGAAGGAGAAGCTGCTGGTGGGGCTGCTCGTGGCCTGGCCGAAGGCTGGGGCCTGTCCAAATGTTGACTGTCCAAAGACCGCTGGGGCCGAGGCGCCGAACGCTGGGCTGCCAAAGGCCGAGCTGCTGGCCTGGGGCGTAGTGGTCGCCGTGCTGGTCACACTGCTTGTCTGCTGCCCAAACAGGCCCGGGGCCGTGCTGGCCGCCACCTGTCCAAACACGGGTGCTGCCGAGGGCGTAGTGGCTGTGCTGCTGGCGAGCTGGCTGAACGCTGAACTAGAACTGGCAGCAGGTGGCTGAGTAAAGACTGAAGGGCCAGAAGTGACTGTCGCAAACACAGCTGTCTCTGTAGCTGGGCCTGGAGCACTGCTGGGGACAGTGCTGGAGGAGGTGGGGGTACCTGGGATCGCGCTGACTGCGGTGGCAGTCTGCTCAGGGACCGAGAAGGAAAAAGTGGGGGGTGCCACCTCTGTCTTGACTTCAGGGACCGCAGTGGTTGCTGCAGCAGCCTCTGCAGCAGGGGCCATGTGGCTGGCACTGGAGCTGGGGCTGCTGACTGCCGGTTGGACAAGAGCAGGTTCTTTGTTCCCAGAGTCCGGCGTCGGCTGAGGAGCCTGCGGAAGATGGGCTGACGGCTGCTGCCCTGGAGGCAGGGCTGTGGATGCTGAGCCCTCATTACAGCTTGTCCTCTCCGGTGGAGCCACAGCCGTCGGGGCCTCCTCCGCACCTCTGCTGGAAGATGCGGGCAGGGAGGAGCCAGCTGAACTCAGGAGACTCCCAAACGACAGTGTCGGGAATGCCGCTGGGAGGGATGAGGTGGTTGTGGTGGACGCGGGGGCAGACAGGGGCACTGTACTACTAGTCTGTGAGCTTCCAAAGGAAAAGCTGGCTTTGCTACTACCGAAAGAAATCCCACCGAAACCGATGGCCCCTGAGGTTCCTGGGCTGGGCAGGGAGAGGCTGCCGGGCACAGCACCCGAGGAACTGCCAGAGCCTGCGCTCGCAGCTGGCGGCAGTGCTGCCGTGGGAGCAGTCGCAGGGGCGCTCACCGGGGGTCCCACGTGCTTCCCGGGGGCTGCAGGGCCACTCAGAGTGAAGCCCGAGGGCACGCTGGAAGCCTTACTGGCTGGTTCTGCTGCGTCGTCTGCCGGGCCCACCCGCAGCCCGGAGAAGCTCCCCAGAGTCTCCCCAGCCGAAGGCCTCGGACACAGAAGCTCTCCCAGCTTGGCCGGAGCGGTTTCCAGCTTGCTGGAGGTGGCAGGAAGAACAGTTCCAGAAGCTGCTCCAGGCCTGCTGTTCCCAGCAGGAGCAGACTCCCCCGCAGAGGAACTGGCAGCCCCAGGGGTGCTGGATGCTGAGGAAGAATTTTCAGGAATGGCTTCATAAAAAGGTTTGCCTCCGCCGCTAAAAGAAAATGTGTCCGGCTGGCCTGTCTCTTTGGTGGCAGGTGTTGCTCCTAGCAAGAAAAAAAAAAAAAAAAAAGCAGGAAATAGACTGACCCAGCAAAGCACTGGATCTCCATGGATCGCATCTCTGAGCCACAGTCTGTAAGGGACGGCTTGTCCTAACAGCTTCTCTTTGGGAGGACACACGCAATGACTCCATCACTCTTCCGAGTCACCTCAGTGAGGAGAAAAGAACCCAATATTCCCTTTTAGGATCACTGAAGCACAACAAACGCAATCCTGAGAATAAGAGGGACACGGAGAAGCCACTGTCTGCCGACCAGGTCCTCTGTGGTGACAGGCTTGGCTCAGCGCTGCTCCCCAGACCTCCCGGCACACTAACATCTGATTCAAACTGCAGGTGCTTCCTGTGTTTTGCTGTGGGCAAAATGTCCACCCACAGACAATTCCCTTTACAAAGCACCACGGGCTGGTTATGAACGCTCTGTCAAGCACCCTCTCTAACAGGTGAGGACGTGGGTTGGGGTCTCCAGGCGGGGAGTCTGGCCCCTGCTGGCGATGTGACTCCTGCGCTGGACTTCACTTCCTCTCTGGAAAAGTCCAGAAAGTAACAGCACCTACCTCAGAGCTGTCAGACTGTAGGTGGTAAACATGAAACGGCAACTAAACTTTACTATTTGCAAATTAAAATCAGCCCACTGCAAATGGCCCTAGGAAGTCTGGCCATCGCAAACTCAGGGCCACTGTGCAGTCCCTGTCCCCGTGGCCTCCCAGGATGCCCTTGGTGTCCCCCGTGTTGGCCTGCGGTGGTCTTGGGCTGCCATCCTTGCTTCTGCTGATTAAACTGCTATTACAGAGTCAGCACTGCATTAACTCCTATCTCAATCTTCCTCAAGACTCAGGGCAATTATTTCATTTTTCATTTTTTTTTTCCTTTCATTGGTTTGTTTTACCCCTAAAAAGTGAGTCTGGGGCTGAAACTGGGCCTTGAAAGTGTTTGTAACATCCAAGGGGCAGATGTCGAAAAAAAATCTTTGAGGAATTTCTGTTCTGGATCAAAAGGAATGGACTCGGCAGCTCGGAGTGCTCGCCCCAAGGCAGGTTAGAAGTCCGCCGGGCGAGCCGGCCAGCCCCAGCCCTCACGCTGTGTCTGAAGATCCCCTTTATACAAAGCAAATGACACGTTCAGAACTAGATGAGAACTCTAGAACAGATGTGTTGAGTGAATAAAAGAAAGGCAGTCCCTATATTGTATATAACAAGAAAGACCTGGAAATAATCTCAATGTCCAATTGCAAATGATTAAATAACACATATCTGTAAGATAAAATCAGGAAGTAATCAAATGCTGCTTATGTGTTATTTTCAATAATATTGGAAAATTCACAAGAGACTGTGTAACATGAAGGGGGAAAATACAAAACTCTTGGAAGGAATTAAAGAAAGCCACGTGGTTCTCACGGGCGGGGGACGCCCTGCGGCTCCCTAGTAACCTCAAGAAGACACTGCCACACCACCCAAAACAAAGATAAAAGTAACCACCTAAACTGAGAGGGACTGGACAGACAAACGTTCAAGCACTGCCTTGACTTTACAGGGAAATCCCGGCTTCATTTCGACAGAACTCCTTCATCTCAACACGAGACTCGGTGCAGCAGAAATCGCCTGCCCTCGGGTCGGGGAGCGAGGCAGCGTGCAGACATACCTTGTGCAGCGGTGAAGCTAGACGACGGTGCTGGTGTAATTATCCCAAAATTAAAGCCAGTCCTAGTGAGTGAAGAGAAGTAAAAAATGAACAAACCTAACGCACAATAGCCCCCTTCACAATTCAGTCATCAACACTGTCCTTACAGAGTAAAATTACTCCATGACTTGTAGCAGCGAGCGGCCATGGCGGCCGAGGAGGGCCAGGGAAGGCCTGGGCAGGATGGCTGGGCTGTCCATGGCGCTCACTGCAGGCCAAGCAGAGCGGCAGTGCTGGTGATGAGTGGCTCCGGCACACGGCCTGCCCAGGGAAGGAGTGCAGAAGCCCGGCACTGAGGGGAGCTCACAGGGCGTGTCCAAGGAGCTGGACAGAATACAGCAACCACTGCCCCTCTCTTGGGGAGTAGACACTGCAGCCAAGGGAAAAATTCAGTGCAAGTGTAAACTAGAGCAGATTATTCACTGCGATGAAAGCTCATACAGTACATTTTGAATGAAACAATTTTCAAACTATAAGGGTCCAAACCATAGAAAACACAGTACATAATATAAGGATTTAGAATTGTTAAGCCCATCACTGCCATCCTTGAAAGAACAGACGATACAGAAGATGTGCTAAACATTTTATCATATCAAAGCAAACACAAAAAGCAGGGCTAGCACTGAGTTCCGGAGTTCCCTATGGGTGCTGGCTCACGTCCTCGCTGCTCTGCTTCTAACCTGGCTCTCTGCTGACAGCCTGGGAAGGCAGGAAGATGCCCAAGTCCTTGGCTCCCTGACCCAATCATGGACCATCTGGAAGAGGCTTCTGGCCTCACCTGGTCAGCCCTGGTCACCGCAGCCATTCGAGGACTGAATTTGCGGATGAAAACCCCTCTCTATTCATTCATTCTTTTCCAAATGAATAAAGGTAAATATCAAACAAAATGCCCATACCCTGTTTATTTATTTTTTACCCATAGCCTCTACGTCTGTTTTTCCCCTCAATGTTGACAGTCTCAACCTTCAGGAAGAATCTGTGCCTAACAGAATGAGCCACTGACATAATGACACAAACATTTCCAGCTCAATTTAAAAATAGTAATGAAGTGCCATTTCAGAGAAATAAAGAATTACTAGTATCGCAACAAGCTTCTTCGGCACTCATCTACTCTTGTTCCAAATTACCTTTGCAACATATAAATCACAATGATTCATAACATGCGTGACTCCCCCACCACCTCAGACTTGTTGAAATACTCTCCGTTGGAGTATTTATGTGATAATACGGGTACTGGCTCAGGTGTCTGGGAAAGCAGCAGGAAAGACGGCCCAAGTGCTGGGCCTGGCACTCACGTGGGAGACCCAGCTTCAGCCATAGGAGGAGAGAACCAATAGACGAAAGATCTCTACTTCTCCCTCTCTGTAACTCTAATCTTCAAATAGATAATAAATACATCTTTTAAAAAATGCATAATAATAGGAAAGACTGGAGTTAATACGCTGAAACGGCCTAAGAGCCCTTTGTTCGATTGACACTGAATACAGAACCCTTCAAGGGTGAAAAATCCTCGGACAGGCTTGCGCTTTTATTTAGCTGAGACAGAGCAGGCAGGTGCATGCCCAAGGACATGAACCTGCTTCAGAGGCTCACTCTGCAAATGCCCCCACGGCCAGGGCCGGGCTGAAGCCCGGAGCCAGCTCAGCCCAGGCCTTCTATTTGGCTGGCAGGAATTCAATGCCTTCAGCCACCTCTACTGTCTCTAAGCACTGTTAACAGAAGCAAACTCAGCTACTGAGCACGAGCCATGTCAGATGTGGGCATCCTAACCAGATTTAGTGCTAGACAAAATGTGCACCTCTTCAGCAGGCTTTATTTTCTGCTGTTTTCTTCTTGGTTGAAAGGCAGAGGGAAGGAGAGAAGGAGGGAAGGAGACAGAGAAAGATCTTCTAGGCTTTGAGTCAGCTAAGCCCCAGCCATTGTCTCCATTTGGGGGAACCAGATGCTTCCTCTGCCGCTTTCCCAGGTCATAGGCAGGGAGCTGGATCAGAAGTGGAACAACCAGGACACAAACTGGAGCCCACATGGGATGCAGGAGCTGTAGGTGAAAGCTTAGCCTGGTATTCCACGGCACTGGCCCCGCTTCCAACATGTTTAGGCTCACCTATACAAAATCAGACGTGTCCCCAAAGGGACACAACTTTAGCAACTCACACAGGTGTCACAGAGACCCAGACAGCAGCAGCAGCAAAGGTAGCTGAGAGCTCACCCTGGGCTGAGGTTCTTTATTTTCAGAAAATGACTTTGAAAGTGTTAAGTCACCATTATGTTTTAGAAAATGAAAGAAACAGATTCTTTCATATCTGCATACACACATTTTAAATAGCTGCCATCATCCATTTTATGTATTTTCTTTGTATGAGTTACAGATAGAGAAGACACAGAGACAGACAGAGTGTGTGCTAAGAGAAGGACAGAGAGATGTTCCACCAGCTGCTCTTGACTCAAACGGCTGCGACAGCCAGGGCTGGGGCCAGGCAAAGCTGGGCGATCCAGTCTGCTCTCCTGAATGGACACCAGTTGGGTCATTTTCTGCTGCTTCCCTGGGCACATAAGCAGCAGGGATTGGAAGTGGCACCCACTGGGATACTGGCTTTACAGGTTATGACATAGTGCCAGCTCCTTATCAGATATTCCTAGCTTAGTCTGCTGCATTTTTTTTTAAACAGTGGCATGGCAGCCAATTAATTGCTTGTATTTTTTGTTAAGATTTATTTTATTGGGGCCGGCGCGGTGTAGCCTAGCGGCTAAAGTCCTCACCTTGAACGCGCCGGGATCCCATATGGGCGCCAGTTCTAATCCCAGCAGCTCCACTTCCCATCTAGCTCCCTGCTTGTGGCCTGGGAAAGCAGTTGAGGACGGCCCAAAGCTTTGGGACCCTGCACCCGTGTGGGAGACCGGAAGAAGTTCTTGGTTTCCAGGCTTTGGATCGGCATAGCACCAGCCATTGCGCTTACTTGGGGAGTGAATCATCGGACGGAAGATCTTCCTCTCTGTCTCTCCTGCTCCTCTCTGTACATCTGACTTTGTAATAAAAATAAATAAATCTTAAAAAAAAAAAGATTTATTTTTTATTGGAAAGTCAGATATACAGACAGGAGGAGAGACAGGGAGAAAGATCTTCTGTCCATTGATTCACTCCCCAAGTGGCTGCAACTGGTGGATCCGAGCTTATCCAAAGCCCGGAGCCAAGAGCTTCTTCCAGGTCTTCCACATGGGTGCAGGGTCCCCATGCTTTGAACCACTCTCCAATGCTTTCCCTGGCCAGAGCAGGGAGCTGGATGGGGAGCAGGGATTAGAACTCGCAGTCAAACGGGATCCTGGACATGCAAGGCAAGGATTTTAGACGCTAGGCTACGGTGCAGGGCCAGTCCACTGCATTTTCAATGCAGGGAAATCAATGTATTACCACCTAGTTTCCAAGTGATATCTAAATGAAAATATATTATGACAAACTAGACACATTACACAACTGAGCAGAGACCCCCATATTCCAAGACCCAGGACCCTGGCTGAAAAACAAAACAGAAACAGATTCACATCGGGAAGTTGAGTCACTGTCACTGTCACTGTCATGGGCTGTGACACTGGCAACGATGCTGATTTCATGCGCGTTTCACAAGCACATAAACCCATCCCGATCCCAAGACTGAGAAACGGCACACATAAAGACACTGGTGTTCTGCAAGAAAACCAAGTTCACCACTGACCCTGCTGGAGCAAACGAGAAAGACTTGCTGAACTGTCCACCAGCAGACGGGCTGGAAGTCACAGCGGTTTCTGTCTTGGCTGTCCCCGGCCCTGAAGTCATGGCAGAAAATAAGAACATTACAGAAAGTCAGTAAGAAACATTAATGCAGGTTGTAATTCTCTAGCTTTTTGAGAGCTGCAGATTGATTTTGTGACTTTCATTCAAGCACACTTTGTCACACCTTAGGCAGCAAGGGGAGTGAACACGCTGTCTGATTTAGGGCAATGTCACTGACCCTGCTCTCTGTTGGGCCAACGTGAGTTCCATGATACCTCTCCTTTCCAGAAAAGATATCACAATAAATGTCAACACTTACACTTTAAAACATTTGTTATAGGCTTTAACGGCATGAGGAAATGCTTATAGTAAGACAGCAAAACCAAAGTAAACCAGAAACCCCCATGATTTGTAGACCATGTGGCTTCACAGTTATTTACAACTTGTGCTGCACAGAAACTCCTAACTAGCTGTACTCCTACTTCTCTGTACATTTCTACATTTTCCATAGTTACCATGTATTTATAAATACTTTTATTAAATTACATGATTGTTAAGACACAGATGCACATAATGTTCAAGGTAAAATTCATTTTCCTCAGGCCTGGCATGGTAGCCTAGTGGCTAAAGTCCTCGCTTTGCACACCCAGGATCTCATAATGGGCACGGGTTTGTACCCCAGCTGCTCCACTTCCCATCCAACTCCCTGCCTGTGGCCCGGGAAAGCCATTGAGGACAGCCCAAGGCCATGACCCTGCACCTGCATGGGAGACCCAGAAGAGCTCCTGGCTTCTTTTCGGCCCATCTCTGGCCATTGTGGCCGCTTGGGGAGTGAACCAGCGGATGGAAGATCTTCCTCTCTGTATATTTGACTTAACAATAAAAATAAATAAATCTATAAAATAAAAGCAAACAAATCTTCCATGTGTTCAATTTCACTCTAAGGACTGACAATTTAGGGTTCAATTTGCTCTACTGCTCCTTCTTAAAAGTGGAGTGGATATTAGGAAAACAGAGTTTAGAAAGCCCAAATGAAGCCCAACCAAAACCTAACGACAATTCTTCTTTTATGAATATGGGACAGAAACTGGTAAAGCTGCTTTCAAAGCTCCCAGGATACTGTGAGGGTCAGCTCCCATCAAAGTGCATCCGCAGAGCCGTGGAAGGGTCAGTCGGCACGGCAGAAGGCCACAGCCTGGGAGATGGCGGGGCACTCGCCAGCGGGGCTGGAAGCGTGACGAGATACGCACATACACAGGAGATCTGGCTCAGTTCAAAACACAGCAGAGGCACATGCAAAACATTGAGTATTAGTTTTGAAAAATGACATATACAGGGGAAGTTTCACTTTCTATGGTTCTATATCCCACCCACCTTTTGGGGCACATATAGTAGTTTTATAAACAGAAAACAATGAAAGAATTTCCATGATTAATAAGTATTCTACATAGGTGTCTGAATATAAATGCTTTCTCTGGCAAACCAACAGGCTTTTTCAGAAAGGTTTTCCAACCAAAAGAAAAGTTCTTTATACTCGAACTATCCAGCAGGTGGGAAGACAGGTGTGTGCCAGCAAGGAGAGCAGTTCACGGTCATTCTGCACCACGCATCTCGAGTCAGGCACGAAGTACTGTCCACTGGGCCTCCTTGAGCAGTAACTTCAAAAGTGACAAAGTGTTCCCCAGTAAGAGCTTTGAAATAAGCTAAACCAATTTTTAAAAGTATTTAAAAAATGTCAGCCAGAAACAGTCACATTTCCTAATTTGAATCTCAACCGATGAGGAAGATTTTGTGACTACCAACAACTTGTACCTGCAGCTGTGGGCCGAGCCGAGAAGTCTTACAAGATCTCCTTTACGAGGCACCATGGCCTCGCCCGCAGCTCGACAGTAACCCCACGAGAATACAACTGTAGCTTATACAGTAATGGTTTTCTTCTGCATACGAAGAACATTTTTCCTTAAGATTAGAAAGCTATGTCTTTCACAGACTGATTCTGAGTTGAGGTTATGGCAGGCAGGATGTGTACGTGAGGAGTTCAGTCTGTCATATAGCACACTAGACTCACTTGAATGAGTCCATCAGTTTAAGACCCCTGGAGCAGCAAGCCATAAAAGCTGAATGAGGTGAGCTACCCAACAAGGGGATACTGAGGAAGACGCATAGGAAATGCAGCTTAAAAAGCATCCAGGTGCAACAGTTAAGCTGATGCTTGGGACACCTTGAGGTCCTATCTGAGTGTTTTCAGACCCAGCTTCATTTCCAGTTCCAGCTTCCTGGTAATGTGGACCGTGGCAAGCAGAGGTTGAATGATGGGCGCGTTGCTACCCTAGTTCTTGGCATTGGCCTACCTGGCCAAACCCCAGGTGTTGTGGATATGTGGGGAATAAGCTAGCAGACGAAAGGTCTGTCTCACTCCGTCTCTCTAGTTTTCAAATAAAACTAAAGTATCCCCTTGTTTCACACTGGCTTGGACAAGGTTGAACCTGGTGAACACACTTGTGGCCCCCAAGCAACCTGCCTGAGTAAGTGTCAGAGAAGTACACAAAGCCAAAATCACCTTATAAGGCTCTTCCTGCTTCTGCTGCAGCTACTGTAACCAATTTGTTGCACTCTCTGTGCTGTCCTGGCTTTTGAAGGCTTACTGTGGAACCAATCCTCATTTTGACATAAGAAATACAGCGCTCAGCACCCTGACCCACTCTTCCGAAGTCTGAGCATCCAGCAAGGTGAAGAAAATACTACCGCTCCTTTTAGGAAGAGAAAGCACAGAACTCATAGCGAGTTCAACTTGAGAAGCCCACCTAGCTTCTCAAGGGCTTATTTCCTAGAAATTCTTCGTATGAGCAGGTCTTAAGAAGCGATCTCATGCTTAAGTTTCCAGGATCCAGAACACAAACTCTTTGAGGCGCTTCTGTCACCCTTAGAGTCAGAATGTCAACTGACCTGCAGCTTTACCCCCAGATGACACCTGACTGGACCCCGCTGGTGTGGGCCCAGGTGGCTTGAGGGAACTGATCAGAGACCCCTGTAACAGAACACAGGGAAATTCACGTTAAATTTAACCACCCATGGAATAAAGCAACAAGTAAAATGTAAATTGAAAACATAGTAAGTAGGGCTAAGCATTTGTATTTAGCTGAATCAGGAAAAAGTTTCAATTTAAGTCACCCGTGTGTAAAATCACATGTGAGCACAGAACCAAATACTGTGCATGCTCCAAGGCAGTCACGCCCAGCATGGAAAGGTTACTGATTAAATGAATTACTCCAACTCCCAACGAATTTACAATTTGGTTAAAGTGTAAATCCTCAAATTTCCCATTTCCAAGTCAACACTCTTCCAGCTAGATGTCACGGTTCATGCCACTCATGGATCTTCCGCATGCGCATGATGAACGTCAGCAGTGAGCCCGTGTGCAGCAGGTGCGCACTGCTGGCGATCCCCACATCCTGCACAGGTGCTCTGGTCACACGCTGGGAAGCAGCAGGATGGCTCCAGTGCTGGCATCCCCGTCACCCACGTGGGAGACCCTCACAGAGCTCCAGATTCCTAAACGACTGAGTGAACCAGAGATGGAAGACCAACCTCTCTCTCAAACAAAGGCGAAAACAAAATTTCGAAAATGTTTAATGTTAAATGGCAAACTAACGAACAAAGACATGTTGAGGTTCAAATGCTGATCTGACACACCTAAAGCCGCTCATCTCAGATCTAAGGATCGTAGAAAAAGTAGGACAGCTTCACCTACCTTCTAGGCATCTCTTCTGGATCAAATGCTTACAATATAACTGAAAAAAAGATTTATTTATATATTTATCTTATTGGAAGTCAGATTTACAGTTAAAAGGAGAGACAGAAAAATCTTCCATCTGCTGGTTCACTTTTCAAGTAGCTGCAATGTCCAGAGCTGAGCTGATCGGAAGCCAGGAGCAAGAAGCTTCCTCTGGGTCTCCCATGTGAGTGCAGGGTCCCAAGGCCTTGGGCCATCCTCAACTGCTTTCCCAGGCCAGAAACATGCAGCTGGGCAGGAAGTAGAGTAGCCAGGACATGAACTGGAGCCCATACATGGGAACCTGGCGTATGCAAGATGAGGACTCTAGCTACCAGGCTACCATACTGGGCCCAACAGAACCTATTTTTAACTGACAATGTCTATCAGGCAAGAACCTGAAGGTAGGCATATTACTGAAAACATGGACCCTGAAAACAGAGACTGTGCAAGAATGCAAGACAGACTACTCAGTGCTTGGCCAGCAATGAGCTGGAGGCTGGAGTCCCCCATTCAGTCCCAGCATCCACCTGCGGCATGAGCCTGCACTAGTCATCTGGGCGTGCGTATGTCAGTGAGATACCTAAAGAATCGTCCTGCCTCTTGCACACGGTGGCTGTTAAAGGTTAACTGTGACCATATCGACAGAGCAGAATCAAACCACAACACTTCAAACACAGCATTAGAATCACCCGTGCAAGGCTGACATAACCCTGGGGACCCAATCACAGGACATCACCATCAGCAGTGCGGCTTTTAATAAGAACCATGCTCAGAAGAGGCCAGCCTTCACTCAAGAAGACTGCCAAGGTTTGTTACCTGCTTGGCCTGGTTGGCAGCCACTGGGGTTAAGCCGGGGTGAGGTGCTCTGCCGGCAGAGTGCGGCACCGAGGAGCTGGAACACAGAGCACATGTCGAGACAGGCATGAAGACAAACGCACACCGCCCTGGGGTTCGTCTGCTGTCTAAAAACCAACCAAATTCATCTGACATTTTTTCATTCACAAATACACTTTTAAGTGTACTTGGATTTCTGGCACTAAAGTTCATAACAGTGATCCCAAAGCTCAAGATCTTTCAGCAATCCTAACAAAAAAATTTGTAGTTACTTAGAACAAGTTGTGTTGTCCCCACTCCGCCCGCACCTTTTTCCCTTACCCTAAACCCTGGGAAGAATCCAAGCCTGAGACGACGTGCAACAGGATCTACGGATCCATCCAACCTGCTGTCCCTCGGACATGCAGGTGCCACCAAAGAGGTCTCGCCTTCTCAGAGCGACTCTCCTCTGAGCCCAAGGGCGTCAGTGCCCCGCTCTGCCGCCAGCCCACACCTGCTCCAGAGCTCACCGTTCTGTGCTACGGTGCAGGCAGGGAGTGGCTATTGTACAGAGGAGGGGGCTAGATCACGTCAGGTGTTAAAACAACACTCATCATAATAATACAAGAACGCAGTCACAGACAGCAGTTCTCAGCTTCCAGGAGCCATTTCTGAATCACAGCATCTACCCCAGCCTAAAGCTGTTCGGATCCAGCATTAAGGTCTACTTTATTGTTTTGGATCTCCATCTAGACTTAGGGAGAGGTAATATTTTACTAACTCAGAAGAGGAAAGACAAAGACAGGCTCATATCTCGTAGAAGACAATCCCTGCAGACGCAGAGGGATCCTCCGCTGAGTCACAGACCTCGCCAGGCTTACGTCGGCTGAGAGAGCACAGACGCCCTTGGACAGTCTGCCAAGCGGGAAGAAACCTTTTATATTCACATACGAAAGATCAAATCTCAACGAAGTCACTACAGTTAATTATTTAAAGAATAAGACTGCACAGGTGAGACAGAAGAGCTTCTCAGGAGTAACTGAGAAAACAAGGAACTGAGCGGAGGGCAAAGCCAGGAGAGCGGGGAGCGGGCTGCGGGCTGCGGGCTCCACCTGTCACCAGCCTCCGGGGAGAGGACCGCTGGCGAGCGTTCTGGAAGATTCAAACAGTATCTACAACATTATCCAAGATTCTGCTAAATCAAGCTACAGTCCTGGAATTCATGTCTAGACACTAAGTAACTAAGCTGAAATTTCCATTAAGAGCTTTGAAAAGAACCACAGTGAATATAAAAAAAAAATTCTGTAAGGATTTTTAGTGATATAGAAAAAAGAAAAGAATTAAGGTTTACGATTAAGCTGTAAATGCAGAATTCTCTGCAATATGTATCAAAAAGAAAAAACCCTGCAAACAGCAATTATATACGAGTGGTTAACGAATAAGTACGCGAGCCGCACCCACTGAGACTCCTCAGTGAGACATGCTGTTTGGGATCCTGGCATCACACGGAGCACCAGTCGGAGTCCGGGCTGCTCCACTGCCCAGCCAGCACCCCAGGAACAGCCTGGGAGAACAGCGTGTGGCTTTGGCTCCTGCACCCACAAGGAGGGCTTGGAGGACATTCCAGATGGTGGTTTGGTTCAGCTCTGACCATTGAGGCATCTGGAGAATAAAACAGCAGATGGAAGACCTCTCTGTCTCTCTAATTTTGTGGCTCAGAGACAGTCAAATGCAAAGTTAAATACTTAAAATATATTCTAGGAAACTATGCTGAAAAGAACCTGAAAGTATCATTTTACAATGACCACAGTCCCTTCTCATTTGCTTCCTTGGGAGGTAGCAGCAAATACTATTAATACGTGTAAGTGAAGTCAGAGCACGGCTTTACTAAAAAGAAACTGCATCTTGGCTATCGTGTTGAACATTAGACTGGAGGTCAATTCTGGGGAATGGAAACCTTTCTTCAAGGTTCTTTTCTACCTTCTGTGTCTATTTTTTTTTTAACAAGTAAACAACATACTCCCAACAAATCCTTTATGAAAGATCACCTCAGCTAAATCATGAGGTCAAACCTTGACAAAAAGTAAAGTCTCCACGAGATATTTCATACAAGTGTTGATGAAAATCTCTGACACCAGACCATCCACCCTTCACCTCGTGTTAGTTCACTCTCCTAGGTTCGACTCTAATCAGCGGCTTTTTCGGCCTTCTCTGCTAGGAAACTGGCTGTAATTCTCGACCTCCAATGCCCAGCTCTTTCCCTTGGGAAGTTTGCAATAATCACTAATAACCCTTGACCTAAACAGCACCCCAAAGGCGAGCGAGCAGGCTCATTTATGTCTGTTAGTGTGGCCCTGAGTTCCCCGGAACATGGCTCGAACAGGCAGCGCTGACAAACAGACCAACAGAGAAGGCCAATGGGGTGATGAGGCAGGGCCACCAGCCGCGTACCCACCAAGCAGGGTGCAGAACTCCTCAGCAGGGCAGCGAGGAGTGAGTGTCTGTGCTGGGCTCAGCATGGGCACCAGACCCTAATGCCCCAAGCTGGCACTGATCTTCCCAATTCCCACACTGAAACTGGAAAGATGTCTCTCCGATCTTCCCTCTACCACTACCAGGTCAAAAGACGTAGAGACTGTGGCTGCAACCTATCCAGAGCACTGCAGGCCAGCAGCCATGCCCCACTGCTCAAAGGCTGGCATGGAGTGGGGCTGGAGGGCTGTGAGCAGAGAAGATGGAAGATCAGAGGTTGTGGCAGGGCAGACTGTCAACCTCTGGATCACCAGTTCTCAGAAGCAACAGTCTGCTTAGTCCTGAAGAATCGAATCTGGAATTCAGAGCCTTAAATAAATCGATTATCAAACAATTAAGATGCAACTCCTTCCTTGGCTCACTAGCCTGCCGAGTACCACATGCAGACCTGAGCCCACCAAGCAGCAAACTGAGTGTGTGTCATCACGGCAGAGTGCACAGCCTAGGAGCCAGCCATTCCTGGCTCAAGGAAAGGACAGTCTCCTGAAAACTCAGTGTGTGTGCAGTGACGGAAGCCAGCCGAGCCATTTCGAGATTCGTGAGCAAAAGTAGCCACACTCTGACGGCCACATGATGCTCCCCAGAGGCCGTGCGTGTAACACTAGCTTACACACACACACACACACACACACACACACACACACACACACACACACGAAGGTGGGACCTACCCGACGGCTGGGGAGGAGGCTGGAGGGTTGCTCTTCAACTCCTGCACATTCACCACCTGGGGGACGTTCTTTAAGGTTGATTCAGTCAAAGTACTAACAGCTATTTGGATACAACAGAGAAAAAAACCACATGAATATCAGCAAAAATAAAACATCTAGCCACATTTAAATGAATAACCAGGTTTTGAACCCAGGCAGACTGCAAGAGACAGCTCTGCAGCAACCTGCTTACTCCATCACGTTAATGGAGTTTCTGCAAAGCCACGGGGCTGGCTTGTCCTGGTGAAGGGCAGCAGGATCACAAGGATCGAAGCCCTCGGACTCAGGACATGGCCACGCGCGCTGTTCTCGCCCACGGGCTCACTCCATGCTAGGATCTGTGCTAGGTGCTGGGCAGATACAAGGTGTCTGCAATACACTAACACTCTGCTCAAAACACGCTCACCGTTTACGTGAGGCGGACAGAGAGAGCAACGTGCAGAAAGCCAAGCTTGGGCAAGAAAGCAGATGTCAAGAAGTCTACAACAACAACACTAAGTCACTGTTTACTTCCTGGTATTTTAAGTTTAGACTGTATTTCAAAAGACACGACTATCCTGTGTGATTAACAATTAAGCAGGGGCCCGGCGCGGTGGCGCAAGTGGTTAAAGGTCCTCGCCTTGCACCCCCAGGATCCCATATGGGCGCCGGTTCTAATCCCGGCAGCCCCGCTTCTCTTCCAGCTCCCTGCTTGTGGCCTGGGAAAGCAGTCGAGGACGGCCCAAGGCTTTGGGAACCTGCACCCGCGTGGGAGACCCGGAAGAGGCTCCTGTCTTCGGACCGGCATAGTATCGGCCCGTTGCGCTCACTTGGGGAGTGAATCATCGGACGGAAGATCTTCCTCTCTGTCTCTCCTCTCTGTATATCCGCCTTTCCAATGAAAAAATAATAAAAATAAATCTTTAACAATTAAGCAGACCAGGGCCCCACGCAGTAGCCTAGCGGCTAAGGTCCTCGCCTTGCACGCGCTGGGATCCTATAAGGGTGCCATTTCTAATTCCAGCTGCCCCAGTTCCCTGCTTGTGTCCTGGGAAAGTAGTCAAGGATGGTCCAAAGCCTTGGGACCTTGTACCCACATGGGGGACCCGGAAGGGGCTCCTGGCTTCAGATTGGCTCAGTTCTGACTGTTGCAGCCACTTGGGGAGTGAATCAGCGGATGGAAGATCTTTCTGTCTCTGGCTTTCTAATAAATAAATCTTAAAAAAAAAAAAAAGGTTTTTTGGGAAAAAAAAATAAAAACAAACCCTAAGCAGACCCACACACAGCTTCCCTGGCTCGCCTCACCGTGTCCTCGGGCACGGGGAGAGCCGCACCCCTGCAGCATGGCGCACCCGGGCCAGCTCTCACCCCTGCACGGAGGCAACAGGGGAACTCCGGCCCACAAGTGGACATACTTCGTTTTTCACATTCAGAGATTCTTACTATTGCTTGCAAATGGAAATGGAGGTCATACCCCCTCTTACTGGGAATGGAACAATCCTTAGCCTAAGTTTACAAAAGACCAATTCAAAAAGCTCATTTTTTGGCATGTTGAGCAGAAGGCCGATATTCTGTTTGATTCCAGTACTATTTAAAGAGTGCGACAAGGAACTGCATGTTCAGAAACCTCAAGGGGATCTTAAAAAGCTTTCTTTTTCTGCTCTTCAGCGTCCATTTCTCAGGTGCCTTAATAGGTGTTTTAACTTTGCTTACAAATCTTGATTTGCCTTAGGTTTTTGGCTCATCAGAGTTTAATACAGCACTTATGGTTGAGGAAGGGAGAAGTGCAATGGCTCAATTAATTAATCCTCTACCTTCAAGAACTGGCATCCCAGGTGGGCCCGGTATGCATCCCGGCAGCCCCTCTTCCCATCCAGCTCCCTGCTTGTGGCCTGGGAAAGCAGTCGAGGACGGCTTAAAGCCTTGGGACCCTGCACCTGTGTGGGAGACCTGGAAGAAGCTCTTGGCTCCTGATTGGCTGAGCTCTGGTTATTGCAGCCATTTGGGGAATGAATCAGCAGAATGAAGATTTTTCTGCATCTCCTCTCTGTACATCCATCTTCTCAATCAAAATAAATAGATCTTACGGAAAAAAAAAAAAATGAAGCGACCACTTGGGATGTCAGTGCCCGTTCGAGTTCCCGCTCCACTCCCAATTCCAGCTTTCTTGCTAACATCCGCCCTGGGAGACAGCCTGTGATGGTTCAGGTACGTAGGGCCTGCCACCTGTGTGAGACTCAGCTTGAGCTCGAGGTGCCTAGCTCTGTGCAGTGCAGTTCTGGCTGCTAAGAGGCTCTGAGAGGAAGGCATGTGGTGGAGCTTAGCCCAGTGCTACCTGCACTGTCAGCATCCCCATCAGGGGACGGGCTCAAGTCCTGGACCTTCTGCTTCCAATCTAGTTACTGGCTAATGAGCCCGGGGAGCAGTGAGGGAACCAAGTATGTGGGCCCTTACTCTCCATGTGGGAGACCTGGCTGCAGCTCGAGGCTCCTGGCTTTGGCCTGGCTATTCAGCAGGTGAAACATGGATACAACAAGAGTTCTCACTCCACACTGCCTTGCCTTTAAAAAATAAGAGTATCTGACAAGGGAACAGCAAAGGGAAGATTCTTCTCCATCTCTCAAATAAATAACAATAAAGAAATAAAATGTTAAAAATCCTTTATCATCATGTAATTTTTTTTGTTTATTGTTTTTTCCCCCTAAATCAAACTACAGTATGTATTTAGTCTTAAAAAGGAACTCTCTAAATGGGTAAGTTTTAAGGCAATACTGAATAATTCCATTCAGCTAAAGCAGAACACTGGCTTATATCAGAGTTACCCAGTCCTGGCAATACTGACATTTCAGCATTAAATAACCTTTTGTTGTGGGAAGAGCTTGTACATTTTAAGGGCTGTTTTGCAGCATTCCTGGCTTCAAACCACTAAATGCCAGCAACACTGCCAACTCTTTGGGAGTGGGGACAAGTTTCTAAAGCACCAGTGGCTTCTACAGTTAACAGCTGGCAGCAACTCAAGTCTGAGGCAAACCACCTAGAATGTTAAATCTTAAGGTGGAGATCTGACGGGATCTCAGTGTTTTCATCTGTAAAGGTGAAATTACAACGGTAAGAAACGCTGTACAGAGCCAGAGGGCACGGGGCCGGAAGTGGGTTCCACTACTTGCTGGTCAGGTAACCTTTAGACCCTCAAATCTTACACTACCCAAACACAGCAAAGCACAATCCCAACCCACCAACAAACATCAGGGATCCTTCAGTTACTGTACTATGACTCTAATATCACCGGATAATTTAACTTCAAAAAGTAAGTTTAGACCTCAAAGCAGATATTATCCAACAGTAGGAATTAAGAATTTCACAAAAACCACCCTGACTTCCCACCCAACTAAACATGCTGACCTGATCCATTCCCTTAAAAACACCAGATTTCAGACCTCATCCCTACGAAGGAGAGGGGCCACTGTACCCACCTCCGCTCCTGCAGGGCAGCAGGGAACTGACAGGCTCCCAGCCACTGCTGCCTGGCCCATGACTCGGTGTCCCCCAGTGAGCCTCCCCAAGAGGTGGGAGCCCAGCTGTCACCTGGCATCTGACTGGCCATCTGTCGTCTCATGGCTGCAGCAGCTGCCGCCTGCGATGCCGAGACCGGGTGCGAAGGACTCGGGGCGCCATGTTTCACGGTTTTTGTGGCAAGCAGTGTGCTGTCAGCCCCTTGAGGAACTATTTTGCCAGCAGATGTCAACACTGAGGGGACAAGAAAAATGAAGTCAGGAAGACGGTCAAAGAACACATAATTATGAAAATGAGAACCACCCCATGTTATGTCATAGGGACAGCAATAAACTATGAAACTTGAGCATTAATGTAGAAAAATACATCCTTCACAGCCATGTGACCCCAGCAGCTCGCGAGCCCACCTCTCTCAGCTCCAACACTTCATGTGATCAGATCCACCCCAATGCTGACTGCTATAACTCTATGGAACCTATGTCAGTTCCCTGGTGTCTCATGAAATCCATTCACTCCAGGCCTCCATGTGCCCTGGTGTTCATCACTACCAGGCCACCTGGATCCTTGGCACTGGTGTGAGAGCACACTGCAGGTCATATCAGCAAAGTGACAACAGGCTTTGGAGCTCGGGAACTCGGAGCAGACCATGCAGGAAGGCTGAGAGGAGCTCAGGTCTGAAAGCTGCAGACAGGGCTGGCCACTGAAGGCAGCAGCCCTTCCTCCCTCTGACAGAGGCCAGTTGTAAAAACCCCAGCTGGGCTCAGCTGGAACACAGACCAGTGTACAACCCTGAAGAGAAGCCCCTTCTCCAGAAGGTTCCAACGGCCTCAAGGGGAACATGCAACTTACGCATTAGTCTCCTAATCTCTGGAATACTAGTAGAAATGCGATGTTGCAACCTTTCTGATGATACCCAGTTGCAGAGGCTTCATGAGCCAGAAACCTACTAAAGGAAAAAGATCCGTTCCTCTCACAGTCAACTTACGTGCAGGGGATAATACGCCAGGTGAAGCACTGGGGCTAGGAGGAGGTTTACCAAAAGGTATGGCCTGGGGCAAGAGACTGGGCTGGACAGAGGCAGTGCGGACCACGGGGGCATGCCGCGGGGCCTGGACCACTGCCTCCTCTTCTTTACAAGGGGCCCGGGCATCTTCACTCTCCAGAGACTGCGAGACAGATGAAGTCGAGCTAGCTTCATCCAAGTCTTCATAGTATCTTTGAGATAGGAAAGCTGAACGAGACAGGTTGGCTACAAAAGGCCCAAACAAAACACAACTTAGGGAACTCAAAGGAAGTCCAACAGCTAGTAATTTCTCCTGGCAAGAGAGAACAACAGCAATTGTTAAAATGACTTAAAATTATTACTTTTTTTGAGTGGAAGCAGCTGTAGCTGAATGTGAACAAAGATGCTTTGGTATTTGCTTAATGGGGTTCTGAAAACCTGGGTTGTGTAGCACATGAACATCTTGACTGTGAAAAGAATGTGAGAAAATGGCAAACAGAATTCGTACTAGTATAAAAGCAGGAAACCTTGAAGCCGCAGAGAAGTTCTCACAGGTGGAGTAAGGTGTCAGAAGCAGGAGACGAGCTTTCCCGTAGAGCAAACAGTCACAACACTGCAGTCACTTCCCACAGTCACACAGGCTAACACAAAGGGAGAGAGGAAAGCCCTCGTCCTGAATGTCCCAGACAGTTTTTCATAAACTGAATTACTCTTGAGAGCCAGAAAATTACTTTTGTATTTCTTTTGTTTTCTATCAAAAGCCTGCACTTAATTTCAACCTTCTATTTCTTCTAACAAACTGTTCAGCTGTGGCTCCAGGCTTGATGCCACGTGAGCTGCTTCGAGGAATTCAGGGGGAAGTAGCGCTGTGGTGCAGCACATTAGGGGCCTGCACGTGCTGTCTGCACTCACAGCATCAGGCTGCTGACTCACGCTGTGCTTCCTGCTAACGGGGCTTGGGACAGCAGCAGACGGTCTCCACCACCCGACTGGGAGACCAGGATGGGGTGCCAGGATCCTAGCTTTGGCTTGGTCCAGAGCTGATTGCTGAAGCCATCTGAGCAGTGAATCAGAGTACAGATCTCTCTAAACTGTGCTTTTCAAATAAATAAATAAATAAATAAATAAATAAATAAATCCTATTTTTTTAAAAAACAAAAATACTCTAAAGTAGGGTGGGAACTGTGAGGCATCAAGTTAAGCTGTCCCCAGCCAGAGTGCCTGGATCAAATCCCACCTGCCCTTTCAATCCAGCGTCCTCCTGATGCGTCCTGGGGACCACATGGCAGACATAGATGGCCCAGCCACAGCACATGCACACTTTTGCTTTATTTTAAAAAAGATTTGTTTTTATTGGAAATGGAAAAACAGATTTGCAGAGAGAGAGGGAGAAGACAGAAAAAGATCTTCCACCCACTGGTTCACTCCACAAATGGCTGGAAGCATAGGGGCTGTGCCAATCTGAGACCAGGAAGCAGGACTTTTGTCACAAGCGTCTCTCATGTGGGTACAAGGTCGAAAGGATTTGAGCCATCCTCTACAAAGCAGAGAGCTGGATGGGAAGTGCAGCAGCCAGGAAGTAAACTGGCACCCATAGCTGCTGGCCTTGCGGGAGGATTACCCACCTATGCCCCCACACAGGTCTCCAGCGCTAATTTTTCAATAGCACGTGACAGAACCTAATCCAGGCAAACAAGAGCCAGCTTCCCGCACTGGTGCCAGGGACTTGTCTAACTTTTTCTGTGCTGCCTCCTAGGGAGCACCCTAACAGAAAACTTAAACAAATCCGTCTGTGCTAAGTCTAGTGGCTAAAGTCCTCGCCTTGCAAGTGGCTGGGATCCCATGTGGGCACCAGTTCACATCCCAGTGTCTGCCTTCCCATCCGGCAACCTGCTTGTAGCCTGGGAAAGCAGTCAAGGATGATCCAAAACCCTGTACCCGCGGGGGAGGCCTGGGAGAAGCTCCAGGCTCCTGGCTTCAATTGGATCCGTTCAGGCCACTTGGGGAGTGAACCAGTGGATGGAAGATCTTCCTCTCTTTCTTTCCTCCTCTCTGTATTACTGTATTATCTGGCTTTCCAATAAAAATATGTAAATCTTAAAAAAAAAAAAGGGGGTGGGGGAACCCAGAAAGAACACACACACAAACACCATCATCACCAATGGATAACATAATCTACAACAAACATAATCTATGACAAAAAATTCAGGCTCAACTCCCTTTACCTGGAGCAGTAGATCTAACAGGTGGGGTCTTCCTCTTGGATAAGAAGTTTCTTAGTTGTGCCAGTTTCACAGGAGACAGTTTAGCTGAAACAAAATTAGGAGTCCATCAACAGAGTACATGAAAAAGTTCACAGAAAATACGTATTACAAAAAAAAATCTATGCATGGATTTCAAGACTTGAAAAAGATAAACTTATCTTTAATTTCATTTTCCATAAAGTTCTTGAAGAATCTCTATGCTTAAGATGAATATTTAAAAAAAGATATATATATGTTTTTATGGGAAAGGCAGATCACATGCACAGAAAGACCTTTCATTCACTGGATCACTCCCTAGATGTGGGCTGCCACAGCTGGAGCTGAGCTGATTCAAAGCCAGGTGCCAGAAGCCTCTTCCAAGTCCCCCACAAGGGTGCAGGGTTCCACGGAAACAGGCCATTCTCCACTGCTTTCCCAGATCACAAGCAGGAAGCTAGACCGAAAGTGGAGCCGTGGGACACGAACCAGCGCCCAAATGAGATCCTGGTATTTGCAGGTTGAGGGTTAGCCAATTGAGCCATGACGCTGGGCCCTAAGTTTGGTATTTACAATGTTAGCAGTTGGGAGAGAAATAAAGCTGACAGCCTAACAAGGAAGCACTTACCTGGCACCCTGGGCAAGGGTTTGGTGCGGGATTCTATGGCTGTCTTCAGCAAAGCATTGCGCAGACTCTCCAAGTCACTGTCAAAACTAAGAGAGGATCGAGTTAGACAGACCAGCCGGAGCTGTGAGATCGCAGGCTGTTCAAGAGACAAGAACATCCCCAGTACAAGTACCATGTGCCTATGGCAGTCTCACTACTACACAGCACCCTCACACTGAACACTGCACTGTGGGACCAACGGCAGATCATCCTGTGACACCACAGCTGAGCAGTGTGACTGCCAGGCTGGGCCTCCCTAGACTCCAGGACAGGTAATGTATGCACTGGAGAATGAGCAGAGTGCTCTCATCCCACCAGTTCATCATCAATAGTCAACATCCTTACTACTGCATCTGGTATGTGCAATGGTGCACAATTAGGCACAATCTTACGAGTTTTCTACCCACTAGGCAAATACTGTCATGTCCAGCCTTCAGGACAGCAGAGGCAGTCTCACAGCCACACGGGAACACCGCTTCCAGCCCTGTGCGGAGTGCGGGCCCTCTCACCTCTGAGGGCTGTCCGGGGAAGCGGCCACGCAGGGCAGGCTCCACTGGGACGTCTGGTTGTAAAGACGGAGATGCTGCAGACTGTCCACCAGCTGATTCAGCCTCTTCCTCTGCTGGTTGATGATCTCGCGGTTGTTGGCCAGCGTGTTGAACAGTGTCTCTCGCTCGGGCACAAGCAGGCGCCTGGGAAGAAATCGTCCCTTTACTTTTGTACAATTCTAATGGACCTGATTTTTTTCACTATCATAAATTACACTGCAATATAAATTCTTTAAATTGATGTATCATTTACTGTTTCTACAGAAAAAAAATTAATGAGTAAGCTGAGTATGTAAAAAATATTTATAGAGTTTTTACACAGCTTCTTCAACCATCTTTTAAGAAAGGCTACAGCAGTGGGCCCGGTTCATGTCCTGTGTGCTCCACTTCCATCCAGCCACCTGGCTGTGGCCTGGGAGAGCAGTCGGGGACGGCCCAAAGCCCCACATGGGAGACCAGAAGAAGCTCCTGGCTTTGCATCAGCTCAGTTTGGGCTGTTGGAGCCAGTTGGGGGTTGAACCAGTGAGTGGAAGATATTTCCTTCTGTCTCTCTTTCTCTCCATAAATTCAAATCTGCCTTTCCAATAAAAATAAATCAATCTAAGAAAAGAAAGGCAGGCAGCAGCAGTATCGGCTCTAGTCTCGGTGGATACAGAGCTCGCTCACTTCTGTTTCTTCTTTTGTTCCAAGTGCCGATCCCACTCGAGGTCAAGCACATCGTTCACATCTTGCACAGCAAATCTCACGTACTGATGAAGGCGCCGGATTTCCTGCAAGAAAGAAATGGAAGAGCAATGGCTCACTCTGGAGGGAAGACAAAAAGTTAAAATACTTCTGGAATATTTGTATACTGAAAACACTGAAAAGAGGAAAAGTAATAAATGATTTGATAAAATCATTAAAACTTTTTACTAAAATGAAAAACAAATTAGCTTTTTAACAGTGTGAGAGAAGAGAAAGGTGGTGGCTGCCTGGTCCAGGGCACAGGCGCTCCTGCGCGGCTCTTTGTTTCAGCTCCTGGCAAGTGTCCACTGCACTCCGGTCCTGACCGCACATGCACGAGCCGAACCAGGATACAAAATCGTCCTACTCCACCGAGTGCTGAAAGCACCTGAGCCCATCCACATCACAGTGCGAAGGAAGACCAACATCACCCCTGGAAACTCAACCTGCTGCTTGTAAAAGTTCTCACTATCTAACTCATGTTACCTAAGAGGCAATTTCTTTAAATCTTGAGTGACTATTAACATTCATGATTTTGCAACCTGACTCTCAAAAATGTAAAATGCAAAATAAAGAATTGTTCAACTCGGTTGAAACAGAGAGAATGCGCCTTGGGGGGAAGCTCTTCACATTTATACAGAAATGTTACAAACAAATGTATTTTGAAAACCAAACCATACATGCTCCAGGTGAAGAAAGGGAAAATGTGGCTTTGAGACAAGCTGATTCAAAGTAACCTTAGTAGCAAGCTGAAATTTCAACCAAATTCTCGTGCCGCACAGACCGACACTTTTTTCCCAGGCGGGTCCACCAGCCATGAATATTGAGCCTCTGGGGCTTAGCTGCCCTGCCCTGGGAGCCCACATTCACAGCAGTCAGGACCATGGGCCCCGGGCCTGAGGGCTGTGACTAGTGAGACCTGGGCAGTCTCAGTCTGTCTCGGTATCTATTTTATACGCAGGAAGCCCCCAACATATTCTACCTACTAGAATCTCCCTAGCACCATGAAAAAAGGAAGCCATTCCCTTAGAGATCTTGAAGGGAAGTCACGCACTCACACCCCTACCAGAGCACCTGGCACTCAAGAAAACTTACTGCTTTATTATTCATCATTCCACTAACCAAAATGATGTCTTACAAGAACGTCTATGTTTAAACAAAACCCACATCAAGTGGGAGAGTGCCATCCACCCGACGCTGAGTGCTGGCTGGCAGACCAGCGTCTTCCTGAGGCACAGCACAGCACAGCAACCTCCAGCTACACAGTAAGAGCCCAGAAGCAGCCCGAGCCATCAGATGGGGCAGACCCTCCTACCTGGAGCTGGGCTTCACTCTTGGGATCCAGGGGTCTTTTATGGAGCAGATGGCGATAGCCAGAATCATGGTTCCTTTCATTTTGTCCTCTGGCTTCTTCAACACCGGCAAAACCCTCAAGGAGAGTTGTTTTCAGGGTGCTTATGTCTCCATGAAGAGACTAGGAAATGAACAAGAATGCACTGAAATACAGTTATGGGCCTGGCAGGACAGCCTAGCAGCTAAAGTCCTCGCCTTGCATCCACCAGGATCTCATATGGACACCAGTTCTAATCCCAGTGGCCCCACTTCCCATCCTGCTCTGCTTGTGGCCTGGGAAAGCAGTCGAGGACGGCCCGAACGAAGCCTTGGGACCCTGCACCCATGTGGGAGACCCGAAGGAGGCTCCTGGTTCCTGATCAGCTCAGCTCTGGCCTGTGTGGTCACTTAGGGGTAAACTAGCAGATAGATCTTTCTTTCTGTCTCTCACTCTCTCTGACTTTCCAATAAAAATAAATAAATCTTATAAAACAAAAAAAATTAAAAAGCAATACAAAGTTACACTCCAGGAAATTTAGACCTTCCTGCCTGCTTCGAGGGCAGACTGAAACATTTCATCAGAGACACACCTGAATACATTCAGCAGCCACATAAAGCAGATTTTCACTGCTTAGAGAAATACTACTGCTCTGTTTTAAAAAAACACCTTGCTCTCAGTAGCAAAAAACTGACCATCTATAGGGTCACAATTCAGTGTCTGCAGACAGTCACTCTCGCCACGGAGCAGTGCTCCTTCACGGCCACACTCTTTAAGAGCAGAACTCTAACGTCAGGACCAAATGGGATCCTCGGTGGCTTTCGACACGTCTCGTCACCTCGGGTAGCATTAAGCACCATTCAGGGAGCAGACACACCCCTGACATGCTAAGCTCAGCACCTGGCCCACGTTGACTGGGCACAGTAATCCAAAACAAACATTTGTGCACGTTCTAAAATATTCCACTACAAAACCTAAGCCGGGCCCGCGCCGAGATAGCATAGTGCTTAAAGTCATTGCCTTGAAAGCACTGAAATCCCATATGGTCACCGGTTCGAATCCTCGCAGCCCCGCTTCCCATCCAGCTCCCTGATTGTGGCCTGAGAAAGCAGTTGAGGACGGCCCAAAGCCTTGGGACCCTGCACCCGTATGGGAGACCCAGAAGAGCTCCTGGCTTCGGACTGGCTCAGTTCCAGCTGTTAAGGCCACTTGGGGAGGGAACCAACGGATGGAAGATCTTCCTTTCTGTCTCTCCTCCTCTCTGTATATCTGCCTTTCCAATGAAAAGAAATAAACCTTAAAAAAAAGCCATTAAGGACTGCCAATTTTCAAAATATTTAAACTAAATGAACAACTATAATAAACTCTTAGGGACTTAACAGTAGTTGCCATAGATGAAAAAACAAAAGCAGGGTTGGCCCTGTCGTGTAGCAGGTACGTTGCCTCCTGCGATCCCAGCTTCCTCCATGAGCACTGGTTTGAGTCCTGGCTGCTGCATTTCCCATCCCACTTCCTGTTAAGGTGCCTGGGAAAGCATCCACTAATGAATGCTCGAGCGCTCGGGCCCGACGCTAGAGCGGGAGACGAGGACAGACAGCAGGATTGTGGCTCGACCTGGTCCAGCCCTAGCTACTGTGATCCTTGCGGAGTAAACCAGCAGATAGATCTTCCTCAATTTATAATTCTTTCCGATAAACACACACAGTTCATTAATTGTTCAGTGCAGGCATTCCAGGGTGAACTACTTATCCACACAAGTTAAAACTGGAGGTCTTCAGATCCAGCAAAGACATGCCTGGAGCACCAGAACACCATTCTACTCAGGAAAAACACCCAAGCCCACAGACCTCTGTGGTCTCCTTAATCTCCAGGAGAAAGGTGTGCAAGTCATCCGATTCCGTTCTCAGCATCTTCAGCTCCTCCGCCGTGCCCACCTGGAAACAGCACGTGGAAGTTCGGGCTTTCAATTCTTCTAGCTCCTTCTGAAAATGTGAGATCTGAAGAAACCACAAGAAGAAATAAGTCACTCCAAACGGCCAGCAGTACTGCCACAGCGACTGTGTGCGTGGCAGCACAGACGTCCAGGCGAGAATGAAGCGCCACGCGGCCGTGGGCACCCAGACTCGCACAGGTCTCACAGTCAGAGCTGCCTCAGGAGACACACTTACCTCCTCTCCGATCCCAGCCGTCACAGGATCTGAGTCTTTCCAGGAATGACCCTGCTTTTCTGCAGGAGGAGGCTGAAGCGGCTTCACCTGAAACACAGGCAAGCTTTCAAAGTGGGTCCACATGACAAGGTGGAGTTTCTAGAAGAACATGCCTGTTGTGTGTGCGGGGGGGACTCTGGTAACTGTGCTGCTGCACCAACGCTCGCTCCTGCGGACGCAGATTTATCTGGTTTCCTAGCCGGGGCGGGTTCCAGATAGTAAGGACAAAGATGACAAGAGAGACACGGTCCCACTCTCATAACTCACCTTCTACTAGGACAAGATGGATGACAGAGTAAACACACAGCATTCCAACGGGGAGTAAAGGGAGAAGCAGACTGCAGGAGACCGGGCAACACACGCCCTACCAAACACTGTCATCAGAACTGAGACCACAGAAACGGAAGAGCAGGGGACAGGAAGACTGGGGGAAAGGCCATCCCAACCCCTATGCCCAGCAGCAAGAGACCAGAGAGGAAACACTCAGACGCCGAGCCTGGCAGAGCCAGGTGGAACACGTGGGCTTGCCCCAGCCAGGGAGGGCGCCGGAGAAGGCAGGGTGGCAGGCATGGGCAGACCAAGTAAGCCAGAGCACAGAGTGTGGATGAATTCTAGGTGTTTAAGGCGAGTGTCAGCAGCGTGATTGACAAGGCCCTGCTGCGGCGGAGTGGGCAGCCAGCAGAATTCAGGAGCCGGAGCTGAATGAAGCTCCTGGCTCCTGGCTTTGTACTGGTCCAGCTCCGGCTTCTGACTCCATCTTCCTACAAGGGAGCACTGTCCATGCAAGCAGCTGGGTTCTTCCCACCTACATGGGAGACTTGGGTCCAGCTCTTACTCCTGGTTTTCAGCACAGCGATGAAGATGATGAAGAGGAAGTTCATTTGCACTATCCGTAAGTGTATTCAAAGAAGTAAGTCTCAGGCTGGGTACAGTGGGCTAGCGGCTGAAGTCCTCGCCCTCAACACACCAGCCCTCATATGGGCTCCGGTTTAATCCCAGCAGCCCGCTTCTCATCCAGCTCCCTGCCTGTGGCCTGGGAAAGCAGCAAGGATGGCCCAAAGCCTTGGGACCCAGCACCTGCATGAGAGCCAGAAGAGACTCTGTGCTCCTGGCTTTGGCTCAGCTTAGCTCCAGCCACTGTGGCCACGTGGGGAGTGAATCAATGAACAGATCGTTCTGTCTCTCCTCTCTGTATATCTGACTTTCCAATAAAGAATAAATAAATCTTAAACAAAAAATAAAGGAAAGAGTATTGGTAACATTCTTACAGTTGTGTGATTCAATGCCACGTGGCAGCGATGACACAGACAGATGTCACAAACATCAGTTAGTAAGATGGCCAGACAGGAACATACACTGCGTGGCTCAGTGACACAGTGCAGACAAGCTAAACTCTTCATGTGACGCCTAATTTTGGGGTCCTGATTATCTTCTGCTCATCGGATGCTGGTTACCACGCTGTGCTCAGGCTCACAGCTCACTGAGCCGTGTGGATTCCTCACACACACACGCACACTGGTATGACACAGCTCAATAAAACACCACAGCAGGGCAGCCCTGGGTACAGTTAGGGCGCAGACTGAGACACCCACAGATCACAGGAGAGCCTAGCACCAAGTGGCAGCTAGTGCACACCCGGGGAGGCACCACCAGCTCTGTTCCCGACACCCACGCGGGGAAACCAGATGGAGTTCCAGGCTCCTGGCTCCACACTGCTACCACCAGGTGACATGGACATTTTGGGGGTAAAAGGACAAAAGACGTCTGTGATTCTTGGCCTTTCTAAAGGGGGGAAGCCTTTTAAAAAAATCAATTGAAACACTAATTGATCATACGGTCCTAATTACTACTGCTACTTTCTTTAAATATTTATTTATTTTTATTTTAAAGTCAGACATACAGAGAGGAAGATCTTCCGTCTGTTGGTTCAGTCTGCAAGCGGCCCAATGGCCAGAGCTGAGTCAGTCCTAAGCCAGATGCCCTTCGGGCCATCTTCATTCCAACTTTGGTACAGGTGCTGCCGAAGCCAGCCCTGGGCCGTCCTTGACTGCCTTCCCAGACCACAAGCAGGGAACTGGATGGGAAGTAGGCCACCAGGACAAGAACTGGCACCAGAATGGGAGCCCAGTGCAAGCAAGGTGAGGGCTTTAGCCACTAGGCTAACGTGTCGGGCCCTCTAATTACTACTTCTAAGGTATGAACTCAAAAACCTGAAAACACGTTTTACTGACATGCATGCTTGGGGCAACAGGTTAATAACACAGTGTTGTCGACCTCAACATACCTGGGTGGGGCCCGACTTGGCCACAGGAGGGGTTATCCTGGGTGTCTTCTGTACCAGGGTGGGCGCCGGAGTGGGACTTCCCTGAGTGGACCGCCCTGTCAGGACAAGCAGCCAGTTAGGACAGACTGCACACACTCCCATCCAAAAAGCCTTTTCCCTAAATCTTTTTTTTTTAAGATTTATTTTTTTATTGGAAAGGCAGATATACAGAAAGAAGATACAAAGAGGAAGATCTTCCACCTAATGGTTCCCTCCCCAAGTGGCGTTAATGGCCGGAGTTTAGCCAATCTGAAGCCAGGAGCCAGGAGCTTCTCCTGGGTCTCCCTCGTGGGTGCAGGGTCCCAAGGCTTTGGGCCATTCTCTACTGCTTTCTCAGGTCACAAGCAGGGAGCTGGAATGGAAGTGGAACAGCTGGAATACGAACTGGCATCCATATGGGATCCTGGATACAACATTAGGATTTACCCACTAAGCTATTGCATCAGGCCCTTTTCCAAGGAATGCACTGTCTCTGATCCTGGTTTTATGATTTTCACTGAAGAGTGAAGACTACCAATCTTACCAGTGCTGGCTTAAGACAATGGAAAATGTAATGAAACTTTACATGTGAGGGGCCAGTCTGAGTCCCAGGCGCTCCATTTCCGATCCAGCTCCCAGCTAATGTGCCTCGGAAAGCACCAAAAAATGGCCCCAAATCTTTGGAAGCCCCACGGAGGCCAGTGGCCACCCAGCTCTGAGCAACACAGTCACCTGAGAAGTGAGGCAGCAGATGAAAGATTTTCTTGTCTCTGTTTTTCAAATAAACATATTGAAAAAGATGTATTCACTTGAAAGGCATAAAGATAAAAACAGAGGAAGACAGAGTTCTACAAGCATTTGGGGAATGAACCAACGGATGAAGAGTGTGTGTGTGTGTGTGTGTGTGTGTGTTGCTTTGCCTTTGAAATAAGACTCTTTTCTTAAAAATGTGAGGCAGGTGGATCCCCAGTAAACCTGGGATTCAATGGACTAGGGCCCTCCGACCTCGTGAAAGCAACAAAGGCAGGGAAAGCTGGGTGGGGAGCAGTGAGAAGCAAGTATACACTTTTCATGGTTCAAATTTTTTTCTCCCAAATCACATAGAATTAAGACCAATGCTTAACGTTTTGGGTCACTGAAAGATGGTTTCAGTTTGATAAAATGTTCTGGAATGAGGTGATCTTGTCAAACTCTACACAGATTTGTTGAATTCCCAAATACGTCTGACTCTATTGCCACTGGTATTTAGGGAAAACAGCAACTCAAAGACCAAGACACCCAACAGACAAACAGCATCTTCACAGAACAAAATGAACTGTTAATACATATCACCAATGTACCCTTCTCATGTGGAGACAATCCACAAAATGAATGACGGGCCAGCTTCATCAGCATCAGTGTGGTGACACAGACCCACAGGACAAAGAGCTGCTGCGTGCGCACTTATGTAAGACGTAAACACACAACGGTGACAGAGACCAACATCATGAAGAGCCACTGCGTGCATGCCTACGTCAGACTTACGACGCACAACGCCACAGCAGCTCTGGTGCCTGGCTACTGACCACGGACCATAAGGATAAGAACCAAACACCATTAACACAAGTGTTGCAATGTAAACGCGCTGTGGAGCGGCCTGGGTTTCATTCCTTGAGCCTCAGAATATACTACGTATCTTTCCTTTCAAAATATTTAAGGCTAAAATATTTCAAGATGTGTGCAAACGCAAAGGGGCGATCTTGCTCCCCAGGAACAAAGATTAGACTGGAAGGCAAAAACGCTTCCCCTCCGGAGTCTCTCCTCCCAAACATGCACTACTTGAACCTGTGAACAATGTGTCTTTTAAATAAACTTCCAAAAAATTATTTTAAAAATGTCTGCAAGTAGCTCTTTAATACTTCAGGAAAAATCTATATCTTAAAAACAAACAACAAACAACAGGTCTAGTGCGAAGGCCCAGTGGTTAAATGCTTGCCCGGCAAGTGCTGGGATCCCATACGGGCGTGGGTTCTAATTCTGGCTGTTCCACTTCCCACAGCTCCCTGCTTGTGATCTGCAAGCCACAAAGCCCTAGCTCTAAAACCGTAAAGCCCTAGGACCCTGCACCTGCACGAAAGACCTGGAAGACGTTCCTGGCTCCTGGCTTCAGACTGGCACAGCTCTAACCACTGCGGCCACTAGCGGAGTGAACCAGCAGACTCTTTCTGCTTCTCCCTCTCTGTGTAAATATGATTTGCTTTTCCAAAAAAAAATATTTTAGAAAGAATAAAAATTAAAAACCTCAAAAACAGTATTAGAAAGCAAAGGCAAGTAACTCTATCTCAGGAAAAATTTATATCTAAAAAATGTGGCAGGTGCAATGGCTCCATGGCTAAACCTTCACCTTGCAAAGGCCAGCATCCCTATGGAGACCAGTTCTTGTCCTGGTGGCCCCGCTTCCTTCCCATCCAGCTCCCTGCCTGTGGCCTGGGAAAGCAGCTGAGAACGGCCCAAGGCCTTGGAACCCTGCACCCAAGTGGGAGACCTGCAAGAAGCTCCTGGCTCCTGGCTCCAGATCAGATCAGCTCTGACCCTCCCTGGTGGGCACCAGGGAGGGACCCAACAGATGGAAGATCTTTCTCTCTGTATCTCTTTTCAGTAAAACTGATAACTTTTGTAATTTCTTTGTAGGTTCAAAAGGAAAATAGAAGACAGAACAGGTATATGTGTCCACTGAGTTTTAGAATAGACTTTAATTCAACATGCCTATAATGCACAGTGCTGGAACCACTAGCCTAAGAGCGAGTGGAGACTGCCTCTCTGTGTGTCTCTCCCTGCTGCTAAGGCCTCAAGGGGCTTGTCTCCTGAACGTGCTGGGAGCACAGTCCCCACTGTAGCAGAGTTAAGCTGGCAGAACCTTCAGGAGGCAGAGCGTGGGTGTATACCACCCTGAGAAGGAACCAACACTTCTCTCCCGAGGTGAGATGGTCCTCCAGAGTGGGTCATCTCAGATCAAGAGCACGTCACACCTGCGGGTCTTTTCTGTTTCTCCATCATTCTGTGTGCATCCAGGGGTCCCATCCGTGTGCCCCATCTCACTGCAGCCCAGCGGATGCCAGCACCGTGGTTTCCGTCTGCAGAAGTGTAAGCTAAGGAAACCTCTAGTTCTCATGAATCACCCCAAGTCAGGCATTCTGTCCAAGTTTCAGCTTCCACCTAGAGATGAATGTCCAGCAGCAGGACATCTTGTTGGGATCACCAAGTTCATGGAGCTCCAGGAGTGTCAGAGAGAAGCTGGGCAGCAGTGGAGCCCTGCAAGGCTCCTCACTCCTGGCACAAGGGACAGCACTTCAGGAGAGGCACAGGAACTGAGGAAGAAGCCCTTGTGCCAGATTCTTGACAACATGAAAAAAGCTCATCTGAGAAGGTGGGGCTCAGGCTGGAGGCTGTCGACTGGAAAGCATACCTGAGGGGGAGCCAGAACTGGAAGGCTTCAAGGACAGGCCAGCCGTGGATGCTGAGAGAGGTGCCAGGGGGCCAAGAGGCCCCGAAGCTGCTGGCTTCGAGGCGGATGAGAACGGCAGCACGGAGGGGGAGCTCAGGGAGCTACTCGCAGGGGCCGAGGCAGCCATGGCAGTAAATCTGGAAAGGCAGGTGGATTGCATCAGGACAGCGCTGCGTGTAGGGCTGCCCCGGAGCGACATCCTGTCTGTATGTGACAGCCTTTACTAAACATAAATGTTTACACTACTGCTTATAAAAGATCAAAGTTAGAAGGAACATTTGGTATTGTCTTTTTGCTAATATATCAGGTAAATAACTTGTAGATAAAAATGAAGTTGTTCATCAATGAACTAAAGTCTGCTCTATCAAGCTGACTAAAAAAAGGAGGACAGGGAGACCTGGTTGTGCTTTGAAGAGTTCATCACTTCCCTTTGATCAAAAAAATTACTAAGATCATGTCCTCTGGAGACTGAAAATGGAAAAGCAGAACAGGTCAGCATCTTCGTAACACTCAGGGCATGGAACACGGCTGCAGACGATCCCATGTCACGCATTACACGAGCGGCCACGCACATGCACTGCGGCACAGCCGGCAGAAACGCGAGGCTGTCCTGACAGTGGGCGTGTGCTGACAGAACATTTACAAGAGCGCTGGTGGCATCCCTCCAGAAGCTTGCCTTCTGGTACAGAATCAGCAAATAAAAAAGAAAATGTGGTGCAAGCGAGCAGGCAGCACCTAGATGTGGGAGACAGTGGACAGCACCCCAGCGCGTGGACTCTGTTCAAAAAGCCCCCGGGCCTGTCAGGTAGGGCAGTCACCGCACGGACTCACGAGAGCCTGCTTTGATGCCCGCGCAAAGAACAGGTCAGAGTGCAGAATGCTTATTAAAATAAGAAGTATTTTCTGTGCAATCTTTCAGAGCTTCTGTGGAAGTCAAAAAATGAGAATGTCGGGGCAGGTCCTGGATGCCCCATCTCACGGCAGAGCGCTGCCATCCTGGGCCAGCTTCCACCAACAGCCCCGGCACGTGGGCGCCTCTGACTGAGCTCTCCGAGCCTATGGGAGTCAACCATGGCTGGAGGACGTATCTATCTCCCACTGTCACTCTGCCTTTAGAAACAGACTGAAGGATGCCATCTGAGACCTATCTGGACTGGATCTGCTGACGGAAGCAGACCTTCAATATATCATTTGTGGGTATTCCTCTGCAAAGAAAACTTCAGCAACTTCATTGAGTAACTTCAGTCACAATGACTCTACTTCCAGTTAAGAACATGCAATGCATCTATCCACCCCACAGCCAAATCAAACGAAAAGCAACTTACTTTTCACTAAGGTTGGCCTTGGCCCCCGACATGGAGGCCGGGAAGGACTTGATTCCTGCATTTGGAGCAGACACACTCGGCATAGGTGTACTCTCCAGGGTAGGCTTAAAACCCGAGGATCCAAAGGAAAATGAAACAGCAGGTGCAGCCATGGGTGATGCTGCAGGGGTGGGTGCAAGCGAGGCTTTGGGAGGGGCGAAAGAGAAGGCAGGAACGCCCGAACCCAGGGTGGGATTGTCAGGAGCCTCCCCGGCCCCGGGGGCGGATAATTTTAAGGAGGCAGAGCCGAAGGAGAACACAGCAGGGGCTCCCCCAGCAGGAGGCACATGGAAGGTGGCGGTGGGAGCAGCAGGTGCCGCAGCCGGAGCAGAAGCAGGGGATGCCAGTGCTGAGGTTTCAACTTTTGGTGGGGTTTGGGAGGAGGTGGGAGTAGTAGGAGTGCTTCCTGCAACAAAAAACAAGAAAGGTGAAAAATGGCAGCCTGTGCACAGAAAGCAACTGACAAACGGTTAATGGACTGCAGCTGTGGCAAAGCCAGTGCTAAAGCCAGCCCTGGGGCCACTGCCGTCCTACTGAGTGCTCCACTTCCCACTGCCGTCCTACTGAGTGCTCCACTTCCCACTGCCATCCTACTGAGTGCTCCACTTCCCACCCATTGCCGTCCTACTGAGTGCTCCACTTCCCACTGCCGTCCTACTGAATGCTCCACTTCCCACTACCGTCCTACTGAGTGCTCCACTTCCCACCCACTGCTGTCTTACTGAGTGCTCCACTTCCCACCCACTGCTGTCTTACTGAGTGCTCCACTTCCCACTGCCGTCCTACTGAATGCTCCACTTCCCACTGCCGTCCTACTGAATGCTCCACTTCCCACTACCGTCCTACTGAGTGCTCCACTTCCCATCCATGTCCCTGATGACAGCCTGGGAAAAGCAGATGGGCTCCTGTGACCCATGTGGGGGACCCAGATGGAGACCCTGACTTCGGCCTGCCTCAGCCCTAATCGTTCTGGCGAAATAGGGAGTGAACAAGTAAATCAAAGATCTCTTTCTGTAACTTTTTCAGATAAATATAAACCTTAAAATTTTGAAAGAGAGAGAAAAGGTTTGGTATTAGTTCAAAAAGTTAAAAAATAAAAAGATGGAATGGAAGCAATGAAGCCATGTTGGACTGCTAGACTCACAGCAAACAGGTGAAAATATAAAACTGCAGGAAAACGGGGAGCTTGGATGAACAGCGCCTCATGAGCACTCAACCAAGTAACAGAAAAACAACACACTTTCTGGTGTTACCATGGCACCACACACCATACAGAATATGTCAGTCTAACATTTCATTAACAACCAGGGAAAAACAGATTCAGACACCTCCACCTCCTCCTTACTGAAAGCAACCCAGATGAGTACAGCAGTCAATATGCAGCCGGGGAACAGAGAATCCCAAGGCACAAAAATGCTCACAATTTAACTTTTTTTCAATTGGACAGATACACAAAGAGAAGAAGATACAGAAAGATCTTCCATCCACTGGTTCACCCCGCAAGTGGCAGCAAGGGTTGGAACTGAGCTGATCTAGAGCCAGGAGCTTCTTCCAGGTCCCTGATGCAGGTACAGAGTCCCAAGGCTCTGGGCCGTCCTTAACTGTTTCCCCAGGCCACAAGCAGGGAGCTGGAGGAGAAGTAGGGCCACCAGGACAAACTGGTGTCGATATGGGATCCTGGCACGTGAACAGAAGGACTTTAGCCACTAGGCTACCACGCTGGGCCCTACAATTTAAATTTAAAACAAGCATTCTAAATGATGTCCACATGATTACAACCGTCGAACAAGCTTAAAGAGCAGGCTTCAAGGGGCCAGTGTTGGGGTGTAGCAGGCCGAGCCTCAGCCTACAGCACCAGCTTGTGTCCTGGCCACTCCACTTCCCATCCAGCTTCTTCCTTTTGGCCTGGGGAAACAGTAGAGGAGAGCCCAAAGCTTTCTGACCCAGCACCTGAGTGGGAAACCCAGCGGCAGCTCCTGGTTCCAGACTGACTCAGCTCGAGTTATTCTGTTTGGAGGGTCAACCAGAGGATGCAAGATCTCTCTCTGTTTATCTTCTAAGTCAAAATTTCAAATTCCTTATATTAAATGGCCTTCATTTTTCCAAACTGGCTGAAATGACATTTATTTACATGGAAGACAGGGTGTAAAGCAATGAAATACTTAATTTACAAGTATGAAAACATCACTTTCTAAAAACAGACTCAGGACTGGCATAAGCCATGGCACCTGCATCCTCTGAGTAATGGTTCAAGTTCTGGCTCTTCCAGTTACAACCCCGCTCCCTGCCAATGCACCTGGGGGAGCAGGGCAAGATGGTCCAAGTGCCTGGGTCCCCACCAGCCACGAAGGATACTCAGATGGAGTTACTGGCTTCGGCCTGGCCCACCCTTGCCAATGCCGCCATCTGAGGAGTGAGCAGTGAGTGAATGAAAGAATTATCTCTGTAATTCTGCCTTTCAAATAAATAAATATGTCCTTAAGATTAAACAAGGAATGAAGTAAACTATGACTCTATGAGACCATAAAAATGCAAGCAAACCTGTTAATGCCTTTACACAGAAGATTATGGAGCCAATGAAAACTAAGACATTTACCATTTCCTACCTACCAGCCAGACCACAGAGAGTATTTAACCGACCCTAAGGAAGCCACAGGCAGTTCCTGCTGACAGTGGAACTGAACATACGACACCCATCATGCCCATCACGCTGCCAGTGTGGAACAGACACAAGCACCGAGGTTCCCTAAACTCAGACACAGGCCAAGTCAAAGGACATGTGACCGTCCCCTTCAGCAACATCCTTCTTGCCTGGGCACGGCATGACCCTTAGGCCAGCCAAGAGGAGAGGCTCTCCGGAAAGGTAACACTAAACTGACCTGTGGTTGTGCTCAGGACCAGAGCAAGCCAGCGGGAAAGTGCTACGCGCTCACATGTGTTCAGACACCAACCTCGAGCACGGGCCTCCCTGCCAGGGGGACAGGTCAGGCAACTGGGTGAGGGACTGCCTGGCACCTCAAATGGTGCACACAGCATGAGTGCCATCCCGACGTAGTAGTTTGCACAAGTACCAGGCCTCCCTGACTGGTACAGCACCCCACAGACTGCTTGCAGCCTGCCCGCAGAACGCCCAGCAGACCAGTGCTCCTGGCCTGCGCTGTAGGGCACCCCACAGACTGGTCCCTCCGCAGAGAAACAATGAAAGCACAGATGCCTAACTACTGTTCACTTTACTCAATCTAATTGCAGACATACGTTTTCTAGAATTGGAACTGGTTTCCCCATGGGTTTTGTTAATCAAATCAGACAAAAAGAATCTTACGCATTATAAACTCACAGAAATTTAAAAAAAAGAAATGGCAGCGAAGTTCTATACTCTTTAAAACCTGTCTCTTCCTAAACAGAGTGCATTTATAAAGGATGTGCGGATCATGGCTATTATTTATAGATTGGCTTTAAATGATTCTTAATTTTTCTATTTTTTTTAAATAAGCATATCCGCTTTGAAAGAGGGGAAATAAAACACTTAAAACAACTGAAATACAACACACAAGATTCCCACGCTGCCAGAACTACTACAGAAGTGTTAATATCATCTTTCAAGTATTTTGGCCATGTTTTTTTCCTAAGAGCTCACAGAGGACAAGGCATTTTTTTCACGACATATTTTATGTCAATAAATGCAACATCTTCTCATGTCAATAAATAAAGCATCCTTGACAGTTACACGTCATTCACTGCACGAATGGACAGTCACTTATCTGGCCACCAATTGAACAGTTAAAAGACTTGGACCACATAAAAAGTGTTTCAGTAAGCTCACAGAAAGTGGAAATAAAAGATAACTTATTTTGATGTAAAAAAGTTGGAAATCCAAGCAGTCTTTTCATAATGTACTTTCTCCATGAACATTTTGGAAGATCTGCTTATAAAAACAGAAGCTTGAGTTTCCATCACGGTACTGTTGATAAATGACCTCGAAGCAATCATCCAAGCAACTTTCCTTTTCCCTTAAGCAAAGCGCTGGCTGGGGAATAGCAGGCTGTGCGAGCACGGTCGGGTAAGATTCCGCTGCAGCCCGCCAGAATGGGCAGCTGCAGACCACCACCCTGGGGCCCGACGGCATTTCCATCCTGCAAACCTTCCTAGCCAAGCGCAGGGACTCCCTTCTGAACACAGCCAGCAGAGGTCCGTACCTGATGACTTGGGCTGCCGCTCTCCTTCCAACGGCAGCCTCTCTGGCACCTTGAGGAGGGACTTGACCCCAGGATTTTGATTGATCATGTAAAACGGACAGAGCACACCATCTGTCGACAGCAACAGGAGAACGGGGGCAGGAGGAAGAGTCTTCTCATCATCTGTTAAAAAAGAAAACAGAGGTGACAAAGAGCCACGTGCACTTTGGGGCCGGAGCCAGCAGGGCTCGAGGGCCTCAGCTCGACACCTGCTCAGGGCGGCTTCTCACACACCAGCCATGCAACGAGAGCTGCCCCCCCTGGAGGGACCCTCAGTCCGACTGCAGCCCCGGCCTTCCCGAGGCTTCTTCAGAGTTCACCACGGTGGTGACACCAAGAAGGCTCAGCATTTCCCCGACCACACAAGGTCGCCAGGAAATGCGTGGTCACCAGAGAAATGACAGGCTACACTTTCAGGAACATGCAGTGGGACACAGAATGCTGAAGTAAGCTATTTAATAGACATTAACAGTGGAATCATAAATGTGTATTTTACCAACTGCAGCTTCCACAGAATCAGGATAAATGAGCTAACAATCCAAAATATTCTTGCCAAAACCAGCACCAGAGAGGAGACTCAACGGAGCCTAACTGGACACTGTCCTAAACCAAGGCACCACAGAGCAGATCTCTCATTTCAGACTGCAGGCTCCCAGACAAGCAGCAGAGTACCCACCCAGGTCCATGGAGGAAGCCATGGCCTGAGGTATCCATGTCTGAGTCCTTGCTTTCAAACCAAGCACTGGCATGCAGGAGGCATTCAAGAGACTGGTCCCTAGAGGGTCACTAGGAAACGGAGACAGGCAAGGAAAAGAAGCGAAGAAGTTCCAACCCTGCAGTTCTCAACCAGATTCTGAAGCAGGCACAGACACAGTGCGTGTCTGCCCTTGGCCTCGCCAGCAAGCACCCAGCCAAACTGCCATCACGACGCACTCTTCAAGGAGAAGCACTCTGCCAGTGGCAGGGCTGCAGCTGCTACGTGCAGTGACCAGCAGCTCCGCACCGGGCAGCAGGCTGCACTTACTGATGGTAATTTCCACTTGGTTGGTATAGTCTACGGCGACCCCCACGGGCAGAGAGTCATCACTCTTGTCTGTTACGGGCAGTTCAGCTCGACTGGAGTCCTCCAGCACCCACAATTCCCAGTTAACCTGAGGGACGCAAGAGGAAAGAATGCCATGTTATTGCAGCTCTGCACTGCTCCCTGCCGGCATCTTCCCAACAGGCAAGGAGGTGGCGTCCCCTTGGTCTGCTCCCAGGTCGGGGCTGGGAGGATGAGAGCCAGGTAGATGGTCTCAAAGCTGAGAGGACAGCAGTAAGCAGTTAACTCTTCTGCTGTGCCACACCACTCTCTCACAAATAACTAATCAGGACCACGAGCACTTTCTGAAGGAGCTACCACCATTGCTGGGCAGACTGAGGGCCAGGAGGTGCTACTCCAACAGCTGCACCAGGCACTAAGCCAAACAACACTTATGCCTAGAACTTTGCGAACGGGGCGGGGGCTCCAGCCAATCACTCCTGGGGTCTCACAGAGAGCAGTCTAAAGAGCTAACAAGACACAGCAGAGCAAGTAACCTGACTCCTTATCTCCCCAGATCCTCAGTCGGGTCAGCCCTCCTGCTCCGAGCTTTCCTGGGAAACCTGTAAATCTTTCAAGTCAACTCTCCTTCATACTTCAGTTTGCTTGAATGGGCTCTATCCTTTCAACAAATAACTTGCGGTTTTAAAATATCACTAACATGGGCCTGGCGTGGTAGGCTAGTGGCTAAAGTCCTCGCCTTCCAAACACCGGCATCCCATAATGGCACCGGTTCCCGTGTTGGCAGCCCCACTTCCCATCCAGCTCCCTGCTTGTGGCCTGAGAAAGCAGTGGAAGACAGCCCAAAGCCTTGGGACTCTGCACCCACGTGGGAGATGTGGAAGAGGCTCCTGGTTCCTGGCTTTGGACTGGATCAGCTCCAGCTGCTGTGGACATTCGAGAAGCAAACCAACAGGTGGGAAACCTCTGTTGTCTTTCAAATTGCAAATAAAAATAAAAATTAAAACCGTACCTGATCACTCTGTCGAGCAAGGATGCTAACTTCCGTTGAGGCTGCAGATGCTGCCAACACCAAGTCCCTTGAAGACAATCAGAAGACGGCTAGGGTTACAGCACAGCGGCAGAATCCAGCACGAACACCCACCAGCACCACGGGCCGGCAGAGCCACGGGGGCCAACGCTCCCTCTGTGAAAGGACCCTCTGCTCTCACCACTCTTTCAACATTAGTATTTTCCTAAGTCATCAATGAAGTGTTAAGATCAGCAAATATCCCACGTAAATCAAGTAACTCCAGCTGGGGGGTGTCTGCTGAGCACGAGGCGTCAGCCGCAGGTGTCGGGGCGGCCCCTCCCTGGGAGAGCGGGGGTGGCCGCTGCTCACCACTCCTCCACGTAGCTGAGGAAGTAACGATGCTGCCTCTCCGTGCAGCTGCCGTAGCAGGGCTCCATGAAGTTCACAAACACCTCGGGGTGCTTGTCTTCTTTTTTCTACAAGGAAAAAACACCCGTGTGCAATTTGTCTCTAACCCACAGGTTAAACATCTCATCAAGACAATATCATTTGAGTTTTAGAGAAAATTCACTAAAACTCCAAGTCCGTGACAGGCCCACTATGAAGCACTGCGCCACGTAAGGAACACACACACAAGTCACCAAGCAGATGGGACCAACGCACAGGTGAAGGTGAGCCTCTCGCTGAGGCCAGGAAAGGCCAGGAGAGCTCTGTGGCCAGCACGTGCAGTCAACCCCGAGAGTCAGAACATTCTAAGGGCATCTCAGAAAAAAACATTGTATAAAGTCAACCTCACCAGTAACACCCCCCAAATTCACGCTGTGACACCTTTTTCACATACCCCTCTGGCAAGGATCAAGACGTCCCCAGAGCACAGGTACCTCCTGACTAGGGAGGCCCACTGGCGGCAGAGCATAAACTGTTACAACTTTCCCAGAAGAGGCATGGGTAATGTCTCCTATTGGCCCAGCCCAGCGGGTGCCATGGCCTAGCAGCCAGAGTCTTCACCTTGAATGCGCCAGGATCCCATATGGGCGCCAGTTCTAATCCCAGCAGCTCCACTTCCCATCCAGCTCCCTGCTTGTGGCCTGGGAAAGCAATTGAGGACACCCAAAGCTTTGGGTCGTTGCACCCGCGTGGGAGACCCAGAAGAGCTCCTGGCTCCTGGCTTCGGATCGGCGTAGTACCGGCCGTTGCAATCACTTGGGGAGTGAATCATCAGATGGAAGATCCTCATCTCTGTCTCTCCTCCTCTCTGTATATCTGACTTTACAATTAAAATAAATAAATCTTTAAAAGAAAAATCTTATCTAAAAAAGTATACAGCCCTCGCAGAGCCAGCAGGGGAATAAGGGAGGGTTCCTTTGCGGGATAGCTACTTCCGCAGGAGAGCATGGGCTGGGATGGGGGCAGACCAGACTAGGCAGAGCTACCACACCTGTGGGCCTCATGTGGACTAGATCAGGGAAAAGCCGGGCTCGGCGGATTATTCCTACTGGTGCAAACAGAATTAAAGTGGGTGAGGTTTGGTTGGGCAGCATCAACTGGAATCTGGGAGTGGGAGAGGCCTGGGAGGGTAATAGTGGGCTCATCCCTCTTGGGTTACCACTTCCACGGGAGGACATAAAACTAAACAGTGGCTGGGGTGGAACGGGGTGTGGGACAGACTGGATTACTGCTACACTTACTGGCAAACCAGGGTAGGGGCGGTCCTGGTGGGGGTTATTGTGGGTCGCTCCAACTAGGCTGCAGCTCCCACTGGTTTAGGTGAGGGCCAAATATGTGCGGGGCAGAACCAGGCTGGACCGCAACACCCATTGGTTCCAGTGGAAGTCGGGAGTGAAAACAGAACCAACCCAGCAATTACAACCACCAGCTGATTGGAGCGATGGACGGTGCCTGGCCCTGTACTTGTTAGCACATACAAGAAGTTTCTTTGGAGATCTTCCTAATCTAAATGCTGGACTCAGAAACCTAACGAAGAAAAGAGAGAAGACAGAACAGGTCAACCAACCATCTCAGCTATGATGGACTATGTCTATCAGTGGATTTTTCAAAGACCTCATAGTGCTTGGAGTGGCAAGATTGACAGCGATTCATAACTGTTGCAATATCAAGACCACTCGAGCAAGAACCTCAGAGCATGCCCTACACCCGGGACTTGGGGAGGGTGGGAAATTGGGTGGGCCTTCTCCCTTAATACCCCCCTTTTAAACATGAAGGTAACAATATGGAAAACATACTAGTATTATCCACTTTCCTGTAGCCCTTGAACCTTCTTACTCTAACTAAGTATGTAAAGAATGTCAAAATAAATTTCATTAATAAAAAAAAAAAAAAAAAAAAAAAAAAAAGTATACAGCCCTCAACCTAGCAAGTCCATCTGTAGGTATTTATTCTAAAAATCACCTAAAAGAATGTATCATAGAATTCTTGAAAATGGAGACTGGCGGGCCCGGCACGGTGGGCGCAAGTGGTTAAAGGTCCTCGCCTTGCACGCCCGGGATCCCATATGGGCGCCGGTTCTAATCCCGGCAGCCCCGCTTCCCTTCCAGCTCCCTGCCTGTGGCTTGGGAAAGCAGTCGAGGACGGCCCAAAGCTTTGGGAACCTGCACCTGCGTGGGAGACCCAGAAGAGGCTCCTGGCTTCGGATCAGCATAGTATCGACCCGTTGCGCTCACTTGGGGAGTGAATCATTGGACGGAAGATCTTCCTCTGTCTCTCCTCTCTGTACATCCGCCTTTCCAATAAAAAAATAATAAAAATAAATCTTTAATAGAAAATGGAGACTGGCATTGTGGAACAGTGGGATGCCAGGCAGATGCCAGTTCAAATCTGATCTGCTCATGGACAAAATTAATGACAGAATTTAAAAATCAGGTGGTCTTCCTGCCTTTCTAAAATCTGTTTTTTATCAGTGCACAGCTTAAACAAAAACAAACATTTTTATTTGTAAAGCAGAGAAACAGAGAACTCCTCGGCACTAGTGTACTCTCCCAATGCCCACAGCAGACTGGGTTGGGCCCACACCAGGATAAGGGCGGGCAAGCCAGGTCTCCTGTGTCCTAGCATCAAGGAGACCACCACAGCACAGGCCCCTCGATGCCAAATGACACTGATCCCACATTCAGAAGCCTAGGGTCTCCTAGCAGGAAGCTGCTGGAACCAGGAGCAAGAATCAGGAACTGAAGTCAGGCACTCCAACAGGTGACATGTCTTACCCACCTGGCTCAACCCTAGCCAGCACTGATGTTTTTAACCCTAAGAAACAGTGCAACACGCTGTAAGTGAATACCGTGATTTTGGTTCCCAGCCAATACTAAGCTCACACACCTGAAGTGGCATCAACACTACCAGTAAGTAAAGGAATCTGAAACCTACGTCACCAACTTGATTAGATTTCACTAATTTACACACACACACCGGAGCAGCACTGGATGCAGCATTTTAAGCCCCCGCTCAGAACACCCACCTCCCACATCCAAGCACCTGCTCTGAGCACCGTCCTCTTGCACTTCCAACCTAGCTTCCTGCTCGGGAGCCTGGGAGGCACCAGATGATGGTTTAACTACTCAGTTCCAGCCACCCTCATGACAAGCAGAGGGAGCTCCTGGCTCCTCGCTCCAGCCTGCTGTAGCACTGGCCACAGCAAACATCCGGGGAGTGAGTCAGCAGACAGAAGATAAATCTCTCCATCACTCTGTCTTCCAAACCAATAAAACAATGTAAAAACAGAACAGCACAAGCAAACAGGCACTTGTGGCACAGCCTACCGGCAGCAGCGCTACGACCACATCTGGAGAGGTTTCCAAGGTGCCGTCGGCAGCAGCGTACACGATGGTGAAGACGTAGGTGCCGATCCACAGCACATCCAGAACTGCAAGAGCCCAATCGGCGGGTGGTCAGCTCAGAGCAACAGACACAGCAAGGCATGCTGGCACAGCCACCAGAGTGCTAACGCCGGAACAACGGTCTAGATTCCGTTAACTAAATATAATCCACACATACAAAATACAGAAACCCAAACTCATTCAAAAAGCTTATCATTCAAATTGGTAGGCTTGTGATGAACAACCAGGGAAGAGCATAAAGAATTCCAACACAGAGCCGAATCACAGGCCAGTGCTGCGGCGTACAACGTAAAGCCATCGCTGTGGTGCCAGCACCCCACAGGGGTTTCAGCTGGAGTCCCAGCTGCCCTGCTTCCAATCCAGCTCCCTGCTGGTGTGCCTGGGAAAGCAGCGGAGGACTGTCCAAGTCCAGAGGCCCAAAGCTCCCGGCTCCAGACAGGTTCACTCATCAGGAGTGTGAACAAGCAAATGGAAGACCTCACCCTCTCTGTCTCTGAAACTCTGCCTTTCCAGTGAGTAAATAAATCTTAAAAAAAAAAATGTCTGGGGCCATGGCTCAGTGGCTAAAGTCCTCGCCTTGCATGTGCTAGGATCCCACAATATGGGTGCCAGTTTCTGTCCCAGCTGTTCCACTTCCCTTCCAGCTAGTTCCCAGTTTATGGCCTGAGAAAGCAGCGGAAGATGGCCAAAAGCCTTGGGACATTGTACTCACACCGGAGACCCTGAAAAGGCTCCTGGCTTTGCATCGGCTCAGCTACAGCCTTACTGGTTACTTGAGGAGTGAACCAACAGACAGAAGATCTTTCTGTCTCTCTTCTCTGTAAATCTGCCTTTCCAAGAAAAATGGATGAATTAAAAAAAAAAGTCCAAACCTATCTTTCATTCCCCATGTTCACCCGTTGCAACAGCTGTCTGAGACCCCCCGCAGCAATGTCCCAGGCAGGGAGGGAGGGTACATTCTCACAATCTAGAATTTCTGCACTACAGAGATCAGCCCATTGAGAAAAGCAGTGTTACCTCGGACAGGATGATCTGCCTCATAAAACGGAGGACATGGAATGACTTTTTTTTCCTGCAAAGTCTGAAAGAAATTTGGAAAAGAAATGTGTCAAATTAAACAATCCCCAAACAACACTGTTCAATCCAATGGGCTCACCAGAAAGTCACTAGTCCCTGGCCTGGAACAGCTGGAACACAAACTGGCGCTCGTCCAAGATGCCAGCGCTTGCAGGGAGGCAGACTAGCCAGCTGAGCTAGGCTCCTGTTTCTCATTGTTAGGACAAAACAATCTTTATTGCAAGCGCACTACTATTACGTTTTAAAGTTTGTAATGAGGGCACTAGAGATAAACACGCCGCAGCTGGCAGCGTCCTGCTGGCCCCAGCGCTAGGTTCCCGTCCCCAAGGCCTGGAAGAGGCGCCAGGCTCCCGGCTTCAGCCTGTGTCAGCTGACAGCGTCCTGCCGGCCCCAGCGCTCGGTTCCCGTCCCCAAGGCCTGGAAGAGGCGCCAGGCTCCCGGCTTCAGCCTGTGTCAGCTGACAGCGTCCTGCCGGCCCCAGCGCTCGGTTCCCGTCCCCAAGGCCTGGAAGAGGCGCCAGGCTCCCGGCTTCAGCCTGTGTCAGCCCTCGCTGGTGCACACATATGGGAAGTCAACCAGCCAGATGGAAATTCACTCACTTCTTCATCTCTTCCTCATTCTTGTCACGGCGCCTTTCAAATGAATCAATAAATCTTAAAGAGAACTCTACTTTTCAGAAAAGCACACAGGCAGTGAGGCTGTGCAGTGCAGCGCCCACACAGCAGCAACCCCACTCGCACTGACGCACTAGAGAGTCACCAAGGGAAGGGCCACCAGTGGACCAGCACCATCCACGGCAGAATCAAGTGGCTTTATACTTACCAAGCTGGAAAAAAAGACAACAAAGTCAAGGTTTTTCAAAAAGAAAGAGAACAAAGCAATAAAATTCAACCAACCACGTTACCTTTTAACAGGTAAAGAGCCACTCAAAGAGCAGCTACCAATGCTCTCATAACAACTTTTGGAAACTAAAAAATCAGAAGCCAAACTTTATCCTCAGCATCTGCACATGCATCAGACACCCCAGTCGGAGCAGTGTTGAGGAGAGGCACAGGACAGAGGTCACGGCCACCATGGCCCTCTCCCTCCTGACCAGGTGTGGACAGACGGAGGTGGGCTCTGACGTTGGAGGACACCTGTGCACGCTGTCCCCAGACAGACGGTGACAGTGTGCACGTGCAGGAGTGACCACCTGCTTCATCAAGAAGGCAGCTAGCAGTAATAGCCTGTCCACGCGTTCCTTTCCCTGCAAGCTGTTTTCATGAAATGGACTGGAAGTGTGAACTGGGCAAAGTATGTGCAGGCTGTGATCACACTTTATCCTCTCCCTCCCCCCAAAACAACAACAAAATCCCGCGAAACCAAACAATGCATTTACAGATAGTAATACTAGTACAATCACCCAGAAAATAGGTTACCCAGAATATAACGTCGTGGGCATCTCTTCACGCACCGACTGCCAGATGTGTTTAAACGAACAGGAAAGCACAGACATTCCTGCCCTTCCCCGAACACTGGGCCCAACTTCAGTAAGACAAGTCCTCAAGTCAAAGGCAAGAACTCACAGGGAGGTACTGCACCACAGTTCCGTTCTGTTTGCCCACTGCCAGCTGTTTTCCTTTGGGGCTCCAGCACACTGAGCAAGAAAAGAACGTTACCAATTAGGGACTGAAGAAACCAGGGCCCCCAGCGAGTTCTGGCATGTGGGCTACACAGGCAGCACTTCACCAACCACCCCAGAAACCCACGCAGGCTTTTCACTGAGTCACTGCAAGCCAGAAAGGCTTCTCAGAATAATTCCCCACAGTCTCTAGGACAGAGGAACCCCCAGTCTCTAGGACAGAGGAACCCCCAGTCTCCGTGTAAGGTGACAGGAAAGGTTTGCAGAGACTGAAAGCCATCCTTCTGCCCCATTTGCAATTTTCTCATGCTCTCCCAAACGGGTGGCAAATGAGCTGGTATTGTGTGATCCTTTTAAAGCCACAACTCAAAAGCACAGGTATAAATCACCTCTACCAAAATACCTCCTTCTCCAGAAAATCCAAGCACATTCCAGTTAAATCATGTGTTCTGTTTGGCTTCGAGGACGTTAACCACAGACATAAAGCGCAGTCTGGATTACTACCCAAAACTGCCAAATAAAGCACAAGCCACCCTCTCTAACTCCCAGAAATTAATTTTTAAATAGACTATCACGACCGTACATCACAGAGTGGAAGGTTTTATTACCCACCAGACGTTACACCGGCCGTGGGAGGAAGCGCCGCACACACTTTGACAGCCTCTGTGACTTGGAGGACAGCGATGCTGCCATCGGCCAGACAGACGGCCACCATGGAGGGCACCGTGGGGTTCCACTTCATATCCATCACCATCCCGCCTGCGTCTTTCTGGAGCTTGTGGTAGGTGAACGGGCGCTTCTGCTGCTTTGCCTTTATGGCACATGCACAAAGGGCAAATAAATTCATACAGAGACACTCTGTAGTCAGAGGAAATTACTGAATCTGTGAACTTTTTCAAATGACACTTCACTTTTTGCTATAACCATGAAAAAGATTTTGCTCCACACAGTAAAACATTTTCAATAGGACTTTGCAAACAGCAACTAATAATTTCAGGCATTCTGAGGGGCTCCCAGGAGGAAAAAACACAAAAGCAGCACAATCAATAAACAGACACTACATTAAGATCTTGGCTCTGCTTCTCCTTTTAAAGCTTTTCATTTATTCGAAAGGCGAAGAGACCATTTTCCATCTGATGGCCTGTTCCTCAAATACTTACAGCAGCCAGGGCTGGGCAAGAACTGAATGTGGGCATCTCCCACATGGATGGCAGGGCCCAGGCACACACCCCCTCACCTGCCGCCTCCCAGCGAGCACAAAGCCAGCGCCGGACTAAACTGGAGCCTACCCTCTATAAAACAGTGGTAGGAATGATCAGGGGCAAGGTACATAAAATAGCACAGCGCCTGGCATGCAGCACAAATACCCAACAGTATCCACTACTCTCAGTCTTAGGCTGCTGGGAAAGGAAGAATATTGCAGAAAGACCCTGGAGTCCCAAGATGTAACCACTTTTAACATTCTCTGTTAGACCCAAACCATGAGAACTTATAACATTATCTAGTAACTTTAAGGCTTTGGGCAGGCGACCCAAAACTCTCCGGTTGGCTCGTATGTAAAACTGGGGCCAAGTGGGACGGGGGTTAACCCCCAAAGTCCCTTCTGTAAGAACAGGAGTCTACACTTGAGGACGCAGAGCAGCACCTGGTACACCAGGCAAAAGCATCTGGGGAAGGTGGCATTTCACACCCCCGTGCCTGGCTTCCAGGCCCAGCTCCCTGCTAAGGTGTGCGATGGAAGGCCACAGGTGAAGGCCAAGTGCTGGGATCCCTGCCATGACTTGGGGTCCAGGCTCTTAGTCCTGCCCGGGCCCAGCCCCAGCCCCAGCCCCGGGCCCAGCCCCAGCTGTCAGGCGCATTTCAGGGAAGAGAAACAGTCAGTGAAATCTCTCTCTTCTGTGTCTCTGTGTTTCTACCTTTCAAAAACATAAATGAAATCTTTCTTAAAAAAAAAAAAGGATTTTTTTTTTACTTCATATTTTAATCTTGAAAAAACTTCAAGCATCAGCTGAAGAAAGCTCAAAATTGTAATTCAACACGGGAAGCGCCTCGGCTGCCTATGTCAGCCTCACAGCTTACCAAAAGCTTACCTCGTTTGAGAACGTGCGAACATCAAAGAAAGCAATGATGGAACCATGCTCGCTGGACATCATACACACGGAGAGGGTGAGGTCATCACAGCTCAGCGCCAAGTGATGCACTGGGAACTTCATGGGGACCGGCAGGCTCTGCACCTTATCAACTAGGGAAAGAAAAAGACAAAACTGAAGGCATGTTGTAGACACAGAAGCACAACTCCTCCACTCCCACGGCCCTGGCAACAGCGCTGTGTCTGAATAAACACAGCCTGACCCCTAGCCAACCAGACAGGCCCCAAGCACTCAGCACTCTTCCTCGTGCGCCTGCGGACTCTAACCTGGGCTTCTGCCCTTGCTGAGTATCTTTCTCCAACAAGGCTCCAAAAGTAAACATTCCCATTTATCCAGATGGACTGCTGTGCGGAACCAGAAATCTACATGACAAAAACTCCTTTCTAGGGGCTCGATCCCAAGTTCAAGGGAGCAAAACTAGGAGCTTAGGGCAAAAGAAGCAGAGGGCCATGCGGTCTAGCAGAGCAGGCCTCTACTGGGAGTCAGAGACAGGCTCCACAGCAGCGTTGGTTTTAATATTTGCGAGGAAAGAACACAGCGATGCATCACCACCCCTGTCTCCGTTATCCAAGAACTTACCTACTTTATTGGGATCATCTCCTGGCTTGTTCTGAATGAGCAGGTGTTTGGTAGGGAACACCTGCAGGCCAGTGGCGCCCCCGGCAAAGAGCAGCCCGTACTTGTTGGACACAGCGAGCAGGTGGGAGCGCTCCTTGGGCAGCTCCTCCGGCGAGTCGAACACTCTCACCTTCTTCAGCGCTCGGAATTGGAAATCCTGTCACCAGGGCAGAAACGAGACGGACTCAGGCTGAGGTCATACCTGCAGCACCGCCTTAGCCTCCACTTCACAGCCGGGCCACAGGAGCCAAGGCCACGAAGCCGCTCACGTGCTAAAACGCCTGCTCTTTCACTCTGTCCAATGAAATAAAGAACAAAACTCCTATGAAGCCCTCTCTAGCTTCCCAGTGCATTCGTAGTCTGAAGCCCCACCCCACACCCGTCCCAGTGTCCCACTTGATGGTGTAGACAGTAATCCAGCAGAGCACCAGATGCTCATTAGCGGCTGACAGCACCGCCAATGCCACCGGGGCAGCAGTCAACACACACAGGCTGAGAACACCGGCCTGCCTGGCTCGTCGCAACTGCTGAGCGACACTCCACTGCAGGATATGGCGACTCTCCGGGTACTGGGGACCTTTAGGCAAAGTCGGGCTGCTCCAGTGGGATCCGCCACAGGGGTCCAAATCCCGAAACACCGGCTGCTAGACCGTCCACAGCGGCAGGCAACCTCACACACTTCCGCTTTCCTTCTAGAAGGCCTGCCCCGCCCCAACACTGCCAGCTTGCATCTCCTTCCATGTCCATGTGCCCTCCCTGATGGCACAGGCCCAGTCGCCAGAAGACAATGTTCTGTGTGTATCACACCACTCACCACTAAAGCCACATGAGATGTGTATACACACACACGTTTCTATTGCTAATTCTCAAAACAGAGGTTAAGTAGAAAGAATATGAACCTACTCTGTGCCTATATTTCTAAAATATATCCAAGTCAGAGTTGTCTAGGCTTCATTCTTAATATTACATTCTTTTCTTTAAAACAAACAGTTTACTGGCAAGTCACAGAGGGGGAGACCCCGCACTGGTTCCCTCCCCAGCCGGCCATGACCGCCGGGAGGAGCCAGGAGGAGCCAGGAGCTCCATCCGGGTCTCCCCAAAGGGGACAGTTGTCCAGACACTTGATCATCTTCTTGCTTTTCCTAAGCCACGACCAGGGAGCTAGATGGGATGTAGAAGAGCCAGAACAAGAATCAGCAGCCGTGTGGGATGCCAGCTCTGTGCCACACACCAGCCCCACATCAGCTTCTCTGGCTGCTTCATAGAGGACGCTTCACACACCCACATGCTCACGTGCTCGGATGTGATGTTTGCATCTTTCTGTCGGATCAGTAGAAACGTGAAGACTTTGAAAAGTTCACAGAAAAAGGAATTAAAGGGTAAGCATGCTTTGATTCAGAAGAAATTTTTGAAATTCATGAAGTATTACTATAAATGCTTTCCATGAAGTTTCTGAAGACTAATACTCTTAATCCCAAATGATTTACAGTGAGCAAAAACCTAGCTTTTCTAGGTAAGTAATCTTAAAGATACATAAACCTTTAAGATTCAATTATGTGATGGGCCCAGCCCAGTAGCCTAACGGCGAAAGTCCTCAGCTCTGGTTGTTGCAGCCATTGGGGTGTGAATCGGCAAATGGAAATCTTCCTCTCAGACTCTCCTCTTTTCTGTATATCTGACTTTTCAATTAAAAAAAAAAAAGATTATGTGAAAAAGCAGAGTTAGAGAGAGCTTCGATCCACTAGTTCACTCCTTAAATGGCTGCAGCAGCCTCCAGGTCTCCCACACGGCCACGGGCTCCCCAGCACCAGGACCGTCCTGTGTTGCTTCCCCAGGAACATCAGCAGAGAGCTGGATGGGAACCGGAGCAGGCGGGACTCGAACCGGCGCCCATACAGGACGCTGGTGCTACAGCGAGGGCCCCCTCATTCTCCTCTTGTCACGTCTAACATCCTGTTGGGGTCTTGGTGGGTCAGAGGAAGGACCCGCAGGAGACTCCAAACCACGATCAACTCAGGGAACGTGGGGAAGACTCCGGTGAATGTGGATGCGATCAGAAGCATCCGGGCTGATTCCGCTCCCACCCGTCTCCTTTTGGGGATTCCTAGTCGGACCGCGGCACCTGCTGCTCGGGGAACACCTGACAGAACACCAACCGGGCCGGATCAGGAGCCTCTGAAAGGTCCCTGGTGCCCCCAAAGCGTCCTGCGCGCCGCTCCGGCTCTCAGCATCCTCACCCCGATAGAACACACGGAACCGCTGCGAGCGCGTCACGCCGAGGTGCCGGGGGGTGGGGGGGTCCCTCGTCCGAGCCTTCAGATTTGGGGTCCAGCTAACCGAGTGCTGGCTCAGTGGAGGGTCCCCCCTTCTCAGCTTCAGGCTGGGAGAGCCTGGGCCAACCGCCAGGGTCTCCCCGGAACCCGGCTTGCGTCCCTCCAGGCGGACGGCTGCGGCCACCACCACCCGCCCCCCGGAGGTCCACGGCCACGCCAGGAGGCCGCGGCCAGCCTCTGACCTTCATCTCCCGCTCGGGGATCACGGCATCCATCTCGTCTCCCATCGCGCCGCCCGCGGCCTGGCCCACCAACTCCAGCACGAGCCCAGGCGGCCCCCAGCGGCGCGCGGCCGATTACGCAGTTCCGGCGCGCTGGGCTACCGGTTCGCGTCCGCGTCCAGGAAGCGGCTGGAGCAATTCACGTCGCGCGCTCGCCCGGACGCCGCCTCTCATTGGTCGGTTCGGGCCGCGGGGGCCGGAGAGAGCCCACGCGCCTGCGCCTTGAGCCCTGCGTCCGTCCCGCGCTGGCAGCTGGCGCGGACCTCCCAGCGGTGGTTGATTTTCTCACGGATTGGACGCAGGAACTTTTAGTTGCAGGTGTAAAAGTTAGTCCGCTAGTTGACAAACGCTCACAGCGGGGGCGGGAACAGAGGCTCAGCACCCAAGTTCCAGAGGGGAGGCTAAAGGTGACCCAAGAGCAGCGTGACTAACTCCTTTCGGGGCCACGGGTCCCGGAGCAGCGGCTCCCGCGGGCTGGTTCACTGCCCCCTGGCCACGGGAGCCCCCAACTCCCCCTCATGGGCGGCAGGAGACCCCAAGAAAGACCTGGGCGCATGGGTGAGAACTGGCCCCACAGCCCCGCAGTCCGGTATGGGGTGCTGGCTCGCAGGCTGCGGCTTCTCGCCTACTTCCTGTTCTCTCTTAAGCTGACCTGGTCCCCCAGGGGCGATCGCTGTCCCTCTGTGGCCAGGAGGGAACACTGAAAGGTTGCAATTAGCATTCGAATTCAGGGTGTCTGGCTACAACACAGCCCCGTCCTCCCTGCAGTTAAGGCTCCACTGACCGGCCTTAGGGTCAGTCCCAGAAAGGGCAGATTCGGTCCCTTCACGTTTGGCCCAGAACCTGTTTTCTCGTTGCAAGGATGACGTGTGGACTCCCATGAGGTAGTTGTGAGGGGTAATGGGAGGTGGCCCCTCCAGACCTGAACACGGGGCACGCCCATCTCTCCTGGCATTCAATAGAACTTGCCAGTTGGTGAAGCACAAACGTATCAGCCCAGACTTTGAGAAGTTTGTATGGTTTATTTCAAATCCGCAGGAATGGTCTCCCACCCACACACACTTTACACGCGCGCGCACACAATGACATTCATCAGAATCTGCGCAACAAACTCTTTTAAGTCACAGGGACAAAGCCATACTTGACGGTCCCCACATTGCTGGTTACATTCGTTAGATTTGGTCTTTTCAGAGAGAAGATGTTTGAAGCTGAGTGAGGCTTTAGCCAGAGAGGCCTGCAGTCATCCCAGCTAAAAAGAGGCAGACCACCCTTCCCGGCCACTGCCCTGGAGACCCCTCCGGCCAGGGGCTGAGGTCCCAGAAAGAGAGACACCTCCATCCAGTGAGGGCACCCCTTTCCCGCCCTTGCCTCCCTCTCTTGCAGGGAGAAACCATGGAACCCACTTAGATAAGCCTGGCTGGTTCTGCCTCGCTTCCTCAGAGATGAACAAAGGAACCTGCATTTTCCCCAAAGAGCTCCTCCCATCCCCCAAGAGGAGGAGTCCGTGCGCAGGGGCAAGTGGTTGTTAAGTCTCACCACCTCAGAGGGGATGCAGGGAGGAAGGGAAGGATTTGAGAGCTGGATTTTTCATTTACAGGAAGGAATGTTCTGCTGGAGTTTAAACTTCAACCAGGCCTGCGCACTGGGGGCAGTTCCGCAGCCTCAGGATCAGCCAGTCGTAGCCTCAGTCTCACTGCGTGGAGCCCAGTGGATTAGCCCCACCTGGCCATTCCCTATGTCATCCCTGCTTTAGTCTCTCAAGCTGCCTGTAGGGGCAACACCTTGGGCCTTTGACAAGGAGTTCCTAAGACGCTTCTGGAAGCCCCCAATCTTTTCTACTTAAAGGTTCGCAAAAGGGGCTCAAAACTCCTACACAGATTTGAACCCAGGGCAGTCACCCCTGTCTCCTCCACTTCCCGTCACCTCACTGTCATTGTGGGCAACTCAGTCCTACCCTCCGTGAACTGTCAGTTTCACTCCTAAATCCTTAGCCCTCGGCCTGCTGCAGGTGTTGAAGAAATATGTTCCGTGAACGAGTGGCTCTCGGACCTGAACGGGGTGAGATAAAAGGCTTCAGAAGAGAGGTGGGGGTCAAGGCTGAGGGCCCCGCTGGGGGCTGGGTGGACGCCTTGCTGCAGGAGTTCACAGGAGCAGTTCTCCAAGGCTCACCCAAGAGGCTGTGAGAAGGCACGAGTGCCGGGCAGGCCTGGTCCCAGTTCCAGAACTAAGGGTGGCTGCGAGGTGCTGGAGGGAAGGAAGGAAAGCCTTCCCCCCGTGTTGGCCTCCTTCCCACTCTCATCCCTAACACAGCCCAGAGAAGAGGTGAGCATGGGCCAGGGCTCCCCTCCAGATAAACCCCACCACCACCACTTTAGGCAAGGCCCTTCAACCCTGCAAACCATCAGTAAGATAAGGACTGGTCCATCGAACCTGTGGGATAGAGGAGGGCTCTAAAATCCTAGAAATCCCTAAGGACAGACAGCAGGGGGGCCCCATCCAACCCCCGAGCTCAAGGCTTGGAGCCACCTGGATGGGAAAAGATAAGTTGGAGGAGCAGTGGATACTGCATGTGGTGGAACCAAGTGGGGGGCTTAAAGCTTATACCAGGGGGCCAATGGACAGGCGTGGAGTGAATAGACAGGTGGTGTGAGCAGGGAGGGAAGGCCGCTGAGGGACATGCAGGTTTCGAGCAGCCTGGGATCAGAAAGACCCAGCTCCTGGTCGACAGCGGGACTGGTTTTTGTGCCGTGAGCAGTTTACTCTTCATTCCCCCATCTTTTTGTGGTTCTCACCTTCTCCCTACAAAGTGAAACTGCCTGGAGCTGATCTCTGCCTCAAGGACACTGGCCACACCTTGACCTGCAAAGCACTTTGCTGCCCCATGATGGACAGTGGGGCAGTATCCTCACTGGAGGCTACATGTAAAGGCGTGGCCAGGGAGCAAGGCCAGTGGGTGCCTTCTGGCCCCTGCTTTTCTTCAAAGCTACCACTGTCCCATTGCTGAGAACAAGAGGTGTGGACCAAGGGCCTGGTGGGAAGCGGGGGAAGTGTCATTTAAGGCAGTGAGGCTTGGAGCAGCAGTGTCGTGGAGGACCCAGGTGTGCTGGGGGCAGGGAGCCGCTCAAGGAAACTTGAGCAAAGCTCATGGTCTTGCTCTTACTTCCGGGGTCTTCGCAGAGAAAGCTGAGGTTCACTGCCAGACAGGACCAGAAAGCTGGGACTCAGGGCCCTTCTGGAAGAATGGGCTGCAAGGTGGGGAGTACAGGTGCCCAGCTTCCGTGTCCTGCCCTCAGGGTTTGGACTGCAGGGCAGCCCTTGTGCACAGGGAGTGGGGAAGGAGGGAGGAAGAACGGGAGGTTCCCAAACCCAGAACCCTCGGAAAGCAGAGAGATGGATGACAAACCCACAAGGACCCGACAAGCAAGACCAGGCAGGAGGAGCAGGGACAGAGGTGGGTCCAGGGGCTCTTCAGGGCAGGCTGGCAATGTCTCTCTCTGGGGGGGGCCCTGTTGGCCTGGGGCTGCTCTCGTTGGCTTTTCCTTCAAACAGCATGACTCTAGTTTGGAGGCGGAGAAAAGGGAAAAAAACAAACAACAAGAAACAACACAGGGTTAGAACTCCTTTCCTGATCTAGAGAAAGATCAGCCCATCCTTCACATCTGCAGTCCTTGACAGACGCCCTGGCAGCTGGCCTCCAGGGGTCCTCAAGGGCGCCCACGAGAGCAGTCATGTTATTAGTCCCATTTCACAGAAGGGAAAACCGAGACCCCAAGCAGCATTGTTGAAATCCTCTGAGCCGCACGGGACGTCCAAGGCAGAGGAGAGCCGGGGTTCCAGACCTCAGATTCCTACACTCTGGGCCTTTTTGCATCCACACCACCTAGAGTATGCCAAGGGGGGCTGGGCCTTCATCCCACTCTACACTCTTTCAGATCTTTCTAAAACCTCCAATCTGGGAGTTGAGGGGACAAGTCCCGTGCATCACTTTTGGAGGGAAATGGCCCAGATGCCAATGTCAGCCCCGCTGATTCCCAGCAGGGTGATGCAAGCCTGACCCACAAGCTCTCACCCTCAGCTTTCCACCTGTGAGGAGAGATGCTAAAAGCGCCCAAATGCACACAGGTCAGTTACTCAGCCTCCCTCGGCCACCCTCGGCCCTGGGGAACTCCTTTGTAAAATGAGTCAGGTGTCTGCTTGCACTAAAGGGAAAAAAAAAAGTGAGTGAGTGACATAAGCTGATGATCGTCTCCAGGGACTAGGCATTTGTCGTCAGCTGGGCTCAGGCTGGAGTCCAAGATAAAAACAAAACCTGGTCAATACTTCACAGGAGTGGATGAGGGACCTTCAAAAAGTTTGCAGAGGCAAGAAGCAGGTGTTTAGCCTAGCAGTTAGAACGCCTGGCGTTGAGTCCTGGCTCCAGTTTGCCCCAGCTTGCTGCAGTGTAGTCCTAGGAGGGAACAGCAGTGCTGCCAGTGACGGGGTCCCTGCCGCTCACATGGGGGACCTGCATTTACTTCCTGGCTCCTGCTTCTAACCCTGGCCACTGTGAGCACGTGGGAAGTAAACCACCTTTCTCTCTCTGTCTCCCTCAAATACATAAGAATTTATTTAAAGTTCATGAAAAATGGAATTGAAAGATGTTTATTTTGTCGCAAAAAAAAAAAAACCCTAAAGTCTGTGCATGCGTTTCAGCCTCAAAAATTAATGGAAACGTGCACTATGAGAAAATGGCATGGGTTTCAGAATTTTTGCACAAAAATTTGTATCTTTCAGCCCCATTTTCAGTAAATGTTTTGAAATGGCCCCTTATTATTATCACCTGTGCCCTGCACAGGCAGAAGCTCCTGACCTCAGGTAACTTGCCTAGGGTCATTTTGGTAGGAAGTAATAATATTCACACTTTCTCTTTAGAATTGTGTTTTTAAAAATTTATTTATTCAGAGGAAGACAGATAAGCAGAGCTTCCATCCATAGGTACCCTCGCCCAAATGCCCACAGTGGCCAGGGAAGGGTCAGGGCCAAGGTCAGAAGGTGAGAACTCCAGCCAGGTCTCCCATGTGGGTGGCAGGAAGCATCCACTTGAGCCATCACCACTGCCTACTATCTTCTACCCGAGTAGGAAGCTGGGATCCAGTGCCAGAGCCAGGAATGGAAGCCAGGCTCTCCAACATGGGGTGCAGGTGTCCTGACGGCTGAGCCCGATGCCCACCTCCCAGAGAGTGGACTTTAAGCTCGCCACAATCACACTTGGCTAGGAGAGTGGCTTTACCAGGAAAGAGACGAGCTCAGCAAGTTGCGATGACAGACTTGGTCCCCCTCACCTTGGCTCTCACAGCTGCCATTTGCTGAGCACAGACTCCGCCAGATGGACTTTAGCACAACCCGTTGACAGAGGAGGACAGAAGGACGAGAAAGAGCCAGCGCCTTGCCCAGCAGGTCCCACAGCCAGCGACCTCCCTGGGGAACGGCCTGCAACACAGTGACTTTGCTCTCAGAGGCCCCAGAAGAGGAGCAGGGGTACTCACAGCTTGAGGACAGCCGAGCGTTTCCCCAGCATCATGTTCACGAAGTCTCGGTAGGAGATGGTGTCGCTGACCCCGCCGGTCACCTCCGAGATCATCTTCTTCATCTCCAGGTGGGTCTTGGGGACCCCCAGCTTCTCCATCATCCTCTTCAAAGACATCAAATCTGCAGCAGGGAGGGAGACAGGGAGAAGCAGCTCTGAGCAGTGGGGGCAGGCTTCCAGGGCTAACAGGAAGCCAGGAGAACCCCATGCTACAGCCCTCACCCACGGCGGCAGCAGGAGATCAAGAGTGGCCCTCAATTCGGAGTTCCTCCCCCATCTTAAAAGATTGATTTATCTTTATTGTAAAGGCAAATCTATATAGAAAAGGAGAGACAAAAAAACACCAGTGGTTAGAGACCCAGGCTTCTAGTGTCAGACAGGCGTGGTTGGAAAGAAGCATTGCTGTGTATAGTTGTGGGGTCTGGACAGACTGCTTTACCTCCCTGCACCTACGCTCCCATCAATGGCGGGGCAGTTAAGGGGCTCACTCAGACGGAGGATGCAGGAAGCACCTGCCTAATGGAGACACCTGGAGCCCTGTTCTTCATAGGATCTGATCTCTGCGGCTCCCCGCCACCAGGGCGACCAGATGCCTTCTCCCCTGCCACCTGCGGATTACATGCCCAGTGAGGTGGGCTCAGGGAGTCGGCCTGACCCCAGCATTTGAAGCCCCTCTCCTGGGTGCTTTATGCGACTGAACACTCCCCACTGGTTCCCCGGGTTTCCGCCTCACCCCAGCTGGAGGGGAGAGGGAGCCAAAAATATCCCACAAAGCAGGAAAACTAACAGAGGAACAACATTCAAGACAAACAGGGAGGCAGCAAAAATCACTAGCGCCCAGGCTCTGCTGCTGGTGGCGTCAAGGCTGAGGCTCTGCGTGAGGCTCATTCCTTTGGATCGTTCCGCAGCCAACAATGGGTCAGCAAAAGATGGCAGGCGGCAGGGCAGGGCTGGGGGTTAATGTCAGGGCCGCAGGCAGTGATGGGGCCCGGCACTGAGTCAGGAGGCCGGATAGGCGGGGTGCGTGCCAGATTGTCCAGGGCCTTTTAGAAAGTGCTGGACAGCTTCTGCAGGAAAGGCAAAAGGGCCCGACACACACATCAACTGTTGGAATGTGGGCTGGGACACGCTTCCCAGAGGATGACGTGGCCATGCCCCAATGCGCCACCCCCGCCGAGGCTTCACTCTAACGAAACAGCCAGGGAGGGGGACCGAGGGTCACACACAAAGACCTCCGCTCAGGGTCATCAGCAGTAATGAAACTGGGAAGGCAAGAGTGCCTACAAGGCGTCGGCTGAATCATTGAGTCTGTTCCTAAAATGGAATATTATGCAGGCAGTAACCAGGTTTCAAAAGAAAAGTCCATCACAGGTCAAAATGCCAGACTTTGTTCTATGTTTTGAAAGGGGGTTCTCAAATTGTATAAAACAGCATTTGTGATTAGAATAAGGCAAACCCTCAATGAAACCGTGACGGCAGTTATTTCTAGGAGATGGGATGTGGGGGATGCATTTTTGTCACTGGGCTTTGCTCTGTTGCCTCAAGTTCATTATGATGGAAGTCTATTAATGTGATTCTTTTTTAAACTCCCAAGGGGGTGACTGGGGCGGGTGTTTGGTGCAGCAGTTAACATGCAGCTAGGGTGGCCCGCATCGCACACCAGTGAGCCGGGTTCAAGTTCGGCTCTCGCTCCTGAGCTCAGCTTCCTGCTCACGTACACCCTGCAGGGGCCGGCCAACCACCTGAGAAACCCAAGCTGGGTTCCCAGCTCCTAAGTTTTTGCCGGGTCCACAGCTGGCTGCCGTGGGCACTAGGGGCGTAAACCAGGGGCTGGGAGATCTCTTTGCCTCCATCTCTCAAATAAAACAGAAGCAAGGGAGGGAGGTAAGAATGAAAGATAGAATAAAAATCTGCAAAAGGTAAAAGAAAAGCACAAAGATCCAGGGGGAAAGGAGTCGAGACGCACTGGATGTATAATGACACAGAGGAAGGAGGACCCACTAGAAACCAGGGGCCCCAAGCAAGTCCTTGTGTCTTTCTGAGCCTTGGTTTTCTCCTCTGGAAAATGGGGTGAATTAAAGCTGCCTTAGCTAAGCCATTGTACTGCTGGGGGTCGTGAGTGCCTCAGGGCAGGGCCTAGCTCGCCCCCTCAAAGCCCACACTTCAAGTCTACAGAGCATCTGTCACCTCACAGCCACTGCACCGTGCAACAGGCTTGGGGCAAGGAGGAGTCCTGTTGTCTCCTGCCCTGGGCAGGACGTGGACCTTGGGCGGGAAGGTGAGGTGTGGGCAGGGAAACAAGGCTGGAGGGGGAGGTGCAGGGACAGCAGGAAAGGCTGCGGAAGTCGCAGGGTTGGCAAGAGGGGCCTGTGCTGGGGTGTGCTGCTCACTCTCAGGGGACCACAACCCCGCCCCTAGGCAGAGGAGTCAGCGGGGACACCCAGGACCCTCCAGCCCCTGCCCACCCATTACTTCCTCATCAGCTCACTCACCAATCTCGCCTTCATTGTTGAGGTCGAACTCCATGTACTTCTCTGGAAAATCACAGAGCAGAGTGCGGCATTAAGCTTAGCAGCTGTGATTCTTCAGGGCGCCCCACTGGCTCCCTCCCCTCACACCACTGCACCCCACGTCCTCATCATCGCGGCCTGTGCCACTGTCTCTGGGCACAAGGAGGGAGACACGCTGTTGGGAGCCACTCAGATCTTCAAGAGGGCGCAGGCACCTGGTCCTGAATTGACCGAGTCAGAGTAAGTACAACAGATTCCTGGCTCTGGGTTTGAGAATCGGGCGCGCTCAGGAAGGCTGGGGGGCAGCAAGTACCGCAGCCCACGTTTCAGGAGTCCCTGTGATTCTCAAAGAAGAGGAAGACCTGCGGTCCTACCCTGGCTCTCAAAGGCAAAGAAACTTCACCTACAGACTCCGAGTTCAAAATCCCCTACCAAGGAGGTCAGGAAGACGTCCCAGTTCCAGCGAATTCTGACTGGGCGCATGGCCTTGGGAAGGTCACCCTGGCTCAGGGAAGCAGGGTCTGTGTGACATGGCAGAGCAGCCAGCAGCAAAGGCCAAGGTGGACCAGGTGGCCCGCGAGCACCCTGCCTGCTTCCTTCACATCATACTGCTGGTCTTGGCAGTTCCTGCCCACCCATTCCCTGACCCAGATCACAGCCCCTCTACCTGCAGTGGTCTTCCCACATCTCCAGCCTGGGAGCAAGGAAGAACCCCCGCCCCCCGCCCCCCGCCAGCCCCTGGTCTTTGGCAAGCAAGCGCATCCGCCCAGCAGGAAAGGTGGGCCAGGCCCCAGCTCTTAACGTAGCCGGCTGCTCTCCTCTGGAGCAGCTGCTGGCTGGGACCCAAGCCCCAGGGCCCCAAACAGAGGAACCTTTATGTGCCCCTCTTCCCTACATGGGCGCCCAGGCCTCTTTTCTTTTCATCCCATGCTGCCAGGATCCAACAGTCAGAAACTCGGCACCCCCCTGCCTCCCCCTCGCCCCACGGTGGTTGTGACACAAACGTCCATTCTCCACAGGGGCTCCCCAGACACTGTGCCATGCGGAGGGGGAGGCAGGGGCAGCCCACAAAGGGCTGATTGTGCACTGAGGCCCGGGGAGCAAGCAGGACCAGGGGAGCAGTGGACAGGAACTGACCTGAGTCCCAGGGGGAGAAGAGGGCAGGGCCAGGTTGAGGCTGGTAGGCCAGGGACCCACGGTGGCAGATGGGAGAGGCTGCTCCCCTCACAAGTGACCACCGTCTGGAAGCCTTAAAGGTCTTGCGGATGGAGCAGGGCCACTGACCAGTCCTCTGGGCCCAAGCAGTCAGGTGGTGCCAGGGCCCAAGGGGCTGGCACCAACTCACCTTTGAAGGCCGCAAGCTTTTCTGGCAGATTCTCCTCATCGCTGAACTTCTGATCACAGAGGAACTCCTAGAGAGACGAGAGGCAGGCAGCAGCTAAGCAAGGGGTCAGGGCACACGTCAGCCTGGCAGAGCCCCATGGCCGGGTGCTGCCCGAACACGCACAGGCACCTTGGCTGCGGGCAGGGGGGAGGCTCCCACAGTAGCTTGGGGGTGGCACTAGGTGGGTAGGTGAGCCACAGGTCCTGATCACACATAGCGTTAACTGCTCTGCTTGGCCACCAAGCGGAAGTCACTGTCACAGCTCCTTGCTGAATCTACACGCCTGAGCCTGAGCACACAGCTCTCCCTTCAGCAGTCCCAGCTCGTGGCTTGGCAGGTCACTTGCTGTCTCACCTGCTCTCCCGTGGGTACAACCAGGGTTTTTAATCCCTGGCCAGCCTTCCCTGGAGAGACTCAAGTGGGAGTCAGAAGCAAAGGGGTGGGGCTGGGATGGGAGGAGCAGTCAGTGTCTCACCCGTCTTACAGATGCAGAAACTGATGCCCACATGGCCAGGACTTCAACTCAGCACCGTCTCATTTACAGCCTGCATTTTTCTTTTCACCTGCATGCTTAAAGCTAAGCAGATCACAGACGGCCAGCTGGCCAAATCTCCGGCCTTAAAACTAAAAGCTAGCACAGAGTGAGCTGGTGTCGGGCTGTGCACATTGCCAGGCCCTTCCACAGTCACCTCCCAGCAGCTGTCACACATGCACCCAGAACTGGGGAACAGAGGGCGTGTCCCTGTCTGACCGGCCAGACCCTGCAAGTCTCCTGTCTCCTGCACCTTGTGGTCCTCTTCACCACCAGGACTGCTTCTCCATCCATTCATTCCCAGCCTGTCTTTTGAGGGACCCCATTCTACGCTATGGCAGGGGAGACCAGGTTGCATCTTACAGTCTGTGTTTAAATGGATGGCCAGTGTTATCCACATCAGGCCCTCCGGCCAGCCTGAAATCCCTGCTGTCATTTCCCATCCAGGGATGCCTCTTCCATGTCAGAGAGCTCGCCGCTTTTCCAGGCTGTCGTTTAGAGGGGCTTCAGATGGGTGAGGGCATGACGAGAATCTGACATGACTATGAGGTGATCTTCAGGGGCTGACATGTGGCACAGCAAGCTAAGCTGCTACCTAAGCTGCTACCCAGGACACTGCCATCCCCACTGGGGTGCCGGTTCAAGTCTCAGATGCTCCACTTCCAATCCAGCTCCTTGCTAATGCACCTGGGAAAGGCAGCAGAAGTTGGCCCAAGTGCCTGGGCCTTGGCTACCCACATGGGAGACCCGGAAGGGTAGCCAGGTCCCTTGCTTTGGCATGGTTTATCCATAGATATCTCTCTCTCTGTGCCTTTAAATAAATACATATATATTTTTTCAGCAGTCCTTGTTTGAAACTCAAGTCTCTCCTCTCTAGCTGTAAAGTGGGCACAACTACACCACCTTGGCGTGCAGCTGCCTCAGACGGCGACAACCCCGGGGACACTGACTCAGGATGGACAGGATCGTGAGCATGTGGCCCGCCAGGACCATCCTAGGGCTCATCCGCACTGACCCGGCACCCTTGGACGGCAGGAAAACTCCGCCTGGTGCATGGCTGCCCTCCCTGGGTTGTGGGGTGGGGCAGGGGATCTTGTTGCCCCCTGGCTGTCGGTGAAGCGAGGACTGTGGCAGGCCCAGGAAGCCCTTCCAGCCAGGGCATCTGACTGAGCGGTTAGGCCTGTAGGCAGGGTGCCAGCGGCCTCTTAGTTCTTCTCCCCAGTTCCAACTGCAGCTGTTCATCAAGCACACCCCAGCAGGCTTTAGTAGCTGGATCCCCACCGCCCCCACAGAAGAGCTACCTGGGGTTCCTGGCTGCCGTGGGCCGCAGGATGGCAGCGCTGTGTCTGCCACTCAGATACATTTGCAACAAATCCCTTTCGCCACTTACAATCCCTACGTTACAAGTGAGAGCTTGGGGACCAGAGAGGTTCAAGCTTGGAGGTGGCATCTGGGCGTGCCATAGCCCGTTCCTCCTGCAGCTGGGCAGGGGCTGCTTGGGCCCCATCTCGCTGAGGCTTCAGGACCGAGCACCTTGAAGCTGCAGCTTCAGCCTCATTCCACGGCCTGGGCAGGTGTTCTTCCTGCAGTCAGCGACTTCCTTCCCCTCCGGCTCCCTCTCCAGCTCCTCTCCCCTACCCCCTACCGCATTCTTGAACCAAAAGCAGGACAACAGACTTTTGTCTGTGTCCCTCTCTCCCAGCCAAGAGACCCAGACCCGCCCTGTCTGTCCCACAGAGGGACACATTTATGTCCCAGACTTCAGTGAACTGCAGGGAAGAAACATGAAAAGGAGAAGGGTCCTGGGCTACGGCTGCCAGCTTTATTGTGCCAAGCAAAGGCTTTTTAAACAATTCCCATTGAGTGCTGCCACCAGTTCAGAAAAGGACATCTCAAAGGTAGGAAGTGCGTCACCTCCTGAATTTCCAAACAGAATCCCGTAAGCTTAGGTCCCACGCAGCGCATTGCCCCTCGTCCATCGCAAGCTAGAAAGCCTTCAGGGCGAGGCCCACCCCCAGGAAGAGACCTGGAAAGCCCCACCCAGCGCCCAGGAGCCCAGCCTGCAGCCCAATGCAGGCACCTATCACGCCTACGGAAGCCCCCCTTCTTGGGTCCCTGCAGGCTGATGGGGTGTAACAGACCAGGAGTGTGGGAGGGAGGGGAAGGGACTGGTCCCTGCTCTGAGACAGACGGGCACAGAGACCCACAAGGAACTGGGTGAAGGGCACAGCACAACTAACTGCCCATGTGGTAAACAACTCCATCTCGCTGGTCCGCGACTTGGGCCGGGCTTCTGGTAGCAGGCACAGCGGCCCAGGGCCCGGGTCGGGGAGGCAGCACGACGGCCTTTTCACCACCAATGCCAGTTCTTGGTCAACACTGACTGCCCCCCCCCGATCCTCCTTTCCTTTGGGTCCCCCTTCCTGCCCCTGCACCTGGCCTGGTTACCCTGCCCCCACCCTTGCCCCCACACATTTGAAGCTCACTCCGGCCTCCAGATGCACACTCCAGCTTCCTGCCGCATCCGTGGAACTCTTCGCCTTCCTTCTCCTCCTCCCACTTTCATTCAGTGTCACCTGGGCCTCAAAGCCAAACCCGCCCACCTGCTTCAGGCTGCAGCCTGCGTGGCCACAGCCTGTCCCATATGCAAACACGGAAATCACACCCTGACAACTGTTTGTCCCGTGCCTGCTCCCTGCCCCAACTGCTGCAATGTATCTTCCACAGAGCAGGTGCTCACTTCACAGGCACAGGGCTGAGAGACAGAGAGGACCAAGAACTCGCCCCACGCCGCACAGCCAGCAAGCAGCCAAGCTAGCCTTGAGATCCAGGAGGACCTCCACTGGAGAGCTAACAAGTGAGGCAAGTGGGCCCCGCACAGCAGCCTAGTGGTTAAATCCTTGCCTTACATTCTGCCAGTATACCACACAACACCAGTTCGTATCCCAGCGGCTCCACTTCCCATCCAGCTCCCTGCTTGTGGCCTGGAAAAGCAGTAGAGAATGGCCCAAAGCACCCGCATGGGAGACCCAGAAGTCCTGACTCCTGGCTTCAGATTGGCTAAGCTCCAGTTACTGCGGCCACTTGGGGAGTGAATAAGTAGATGGAATATCTGTCTCTCTTTACCGTAAAAATCGGACTTTGCAATTAAAAAAATAAATCTTTAAAAAAAAAAGAGGAGGAGGAGGCTGAGAGATTATTTCTCTGCGCTGGGTTGTAAGGGGACGTGTTGACCAGTGGCCTGACCTTCTACAAACACCTGCTGGATGACTGCAGAAGGTGCCCAGCTCTGCCCAGAAGCTACTCTCTCAGCTCTCACCCTAAACGGCCAGGCAACTTTGCCAAAGTCTGTGCTGTGGGTGACAGGAGGTTCACTTGGAGACTGGACTCACATTTTTCCTGAGAGCCAAAAACGACAAATGCTTGAGCCGCACAGCGACAGGGGTGGGCGAAGCAGCTGAGTCACCCATGCATGGGTAGGCAGCCCTCCCGGCCTGGGGTGGCTGTACTGACCATGCCCTTGGCAGAGGCAGGGGACACTGTGGCATTGGATTCCTGTGTCCTGCTGCGGCACAGCCCGAAGCCTCTCCCTCTAGGCACCGAGCCCTCCCCACCTCTGCCCAATCTGCCCAGCGTCCAGGGTCAGTCATGCGCAGTGGGCAGCTGCTCCATCTGTTCAGACTCCAGGACTCCTGCTGCCCTGACCGTGGGTCGGCAGGTGGAAGAGACAGAGAGAAAGGCTGCCCAGCCCTAACAAAGAACAAAACCAACAGAAAGAGGGCACACTGAAGCCAGGAAGCCCAGGTTGGACTCCACTCTGCGGCTCTGAGAAAATGACTTTGTCTAGGGGTCAGCATGTTGGCTTACTTAGCTAATCTTCCCCTTACAAGCACCAAGACTATCACATAACGGCACCAGCTGCTCCACTTCCCATCCAGCTCCCTGCTTGTGGCCTGGGAAAGCAGTTAACAACTGCCCAAAACCTTGGGACCCTGCACCTCTGTAGGAGACCCAGAAGAAGCTCCTGGCTCCTGGCTCCAGGCTTCAGCTCAGGTCCAGCCACTGCAGCCGTTTGTGGAGTGAACCAGTGGATGGAAGATCTTTCCGTCTCTCCTCTCTGTAAACCTGCCTTTCCAATGTGACTGCTTGCCTGAGTCTCAGTTTTCTCATGTGTGGGAAGAACAAGGTTGTATCCATCTTCTGTGCTTGTCCATCTACGCTATGCGAGAAAACACGGGTAACCCAGACCCTGGTGCCGAGTCAGCACAATCAGCCTCAGGTGTTTGTATTTCCTGGCAAGTCGTCACTTCCCCGCACAGGCCACTGTCAACCACCAAACAGCTGGGCAGGAGGACTCCCGCACTCTGACTCGGGCCACTTGCTATTTCCCTCCCCGTCTGAGCACGTCCATCTGACAGATGGGACAGCTGAGACTCAGCGAGCTTGCTTGGTGCCACAGCTGGGGTCAGGAGGGCAGCCGAGGGCACGGTTTGGCCCGATGTCACCATGGGAGCGAGGATGTGGGGGACACAGGTGGGGGCTGCAATCAGACCACCCAGCCCCAGCAGGTACTCGCTCTGTGCCCCTCGATTTTTTCAGTCTGTAAAATGGAACCCTAACGTTTGACCCTCCTCGCTAAGCTCCTGCCAGCCAGGCTCCAGGCACACTCTCCAAACGAAAGCGGTTACAGCCATGTGGAGGGCCCCCACTCCTGCTGACAATGTCCAGGCGTGGCCAGCTGCTCCCTGCTGCCTCCCTTGGTCATCAGCACACAGAGGGAGTCCAGTTCAAATCCTCCTCGTGCCCAGCAAAAGTAGTTGCAAAGCCAGGAGACTCTTACAGCCCCTGCTGGGTCCTGGCCTCTGGGTCACAGCCCCTGGTGACAGCTCCCTGTCTGGACTCCCTCCCGGGCTGGGACCGCCACCTCCTGCCGAGGCTCCTGCTCTGGGCGTGCTCCTTGTGTACAGGCTGCAGCAGAGTTTTGAGGTGGGTGGACATGACCGTGTTGGAGGTCATCCAAGGAGCTGCTGGCTGCAGCCCTGAGTAGGCAGGGGCCCGAAGGACAGGCAGCCCCATGCCAGGTTCTGAGGCAGCCCACAGCTCTTAAAGGGCCAGGGCCAAGCCGCCGATGCCCTGCCTGGTGCCTGGCAGGTGGGCAGGAGCTTGTCAAACACAGACTCACATTCCCACCCAGTGGCCCCAGGGCCTCGTCCGGACACCGTGTCCTCGTCAACACAGAAGTAACTAAAGAAAAACACCCCTCCAGCCAGCTCCGTCAGGGGAGTGGATCCTGAAGAAATTCCATCTCCAGCTGCCTGGGACATGGTCACGGCGAGGTCACCACCGGCCAGCCCTGTGGGGGACACAGAATCCTCGGAGGCTCACGTGGCTCCTTATCGCCATCTCCTTTATAATATATTAAAGAACAGCAAGAGAGAAGGGTGCCCGCAATGCCAACTGGGCACACTGACCTGGGCAGAGTCGGAACACGAGTTCCAATGACACAGCAGAAGAGACACACTGTGTAGTCACTGGGCCAGGTCTCAGAGGTCACCACAGCTGGGGAGAGGGTAGGGGATACAAGCGCCCCAGGGCAGCGACACTGACACTCAGCCTGCCCTCCCAGGACAGGTGGCCCACAAGAGGCTAAAATGATCCCAAGGCCCTTAAACGCTAGAGGGAGTGCCGAGTGCCCTTCATTCGACCCAGGAGGCCTGGGACTTGGGGACAACAGCCAGCGATCCTTATCTACACAGCAAGAGGAGGCCTGTGGCACGGCTGGGCAGTGGCCATCTTGTGGACATTGGCCACAAAGGGCCACGGGGCGGGGACAGCGTCTGGGGGCGGACAGAGCTGGTTTGAAGCCTGTCTGGATGACTTAGGACACCTCTTTGAGATGTCCTCCATCAGCCCCTGCACATCTGTCTGCTGGGATGTGGCAGAGATGAGTCCCTGCCCTGACGGCACCAAAGGGGGCCCCACCAGGCGGCCCCTGCTCGGCCCCAGGGCCTGCTACTCAGCCCTGGCGTGGCCCTTAGGCCCTGTGGGGAGTTGAAGGAGACTTCTTCTGCTGCCATATAAGGCAGGCCTGGCTGGCCCCAGGGTCACTCACCCTGGGAATGCCAGCTATGTGGGGGGAGCAGTATGTACTCATGGCCATGGTCCCGCCTGCCCACCCTGCCCGGAAGTGCTCATATGCACACTCACAACAGAGGTCCCAGAGGTGGGGGAGGGTGGGCTCCACAGAAGCTTCCAGAAAAAGGTCACCGCAGGACCTGTCACGAGGTTAGAATGAACATTTAACCAGCTACTGTCCACAGCAGGCCCTGGCCTGGAGCTGACACATTCTAGGTGCTTGAAACATGGGAGCAAAAAGCCCAAATGAAGCCAAAACCCATGCATTTGCAGAGACCAGCCACCGGCCCTACTTCCATCACAGCACCTCCCAGCCCACCGCCACCATCTCTGTTTTGGTTCTTGAATTCGTTGGAGCAACATTGGGAGGCCTGGGCACCCCGATGCCCTCTGGCCTGCACAGGGAACTGAGATGTCGGCCCCTCGGGGTCCCCAGATCTACCAGCCCAGCTGGGCTCAGACCCAGGCAACAGCCACGGAAATGCCCACACACTGCCAGGTGCAGCAGCCAGTAATGTGATGTGACCTTCCGTGCCATTGTGTCATTATATGCCCATCTTGCAGTTCTCTCTACGTGGCCACCAGCGAGGCCATGCAGCCCAGGGACCCCCACCAAAACACTTCAAGAAGGCAATGAAGCTGCACCTCAAAGTGGGCAGAATGGCTACTGCCATGGTTCTCTCTCTCTTGATCCCACCTACCCGGGGACCCTCTGTTGCAGCCGTCCCCCTCAATGCTGCGGTGATCTTACTGTGACCACGTCCCAGGCAACTGGAGATGGAATTTCTGCAGGGTCCACTCCCCTGACAGGGGTGGGCCCTGTCCTACTGCTGTCCAATCGATCTCGTGATGGCTATGACACCCCACCTTTCTGAGCCAAGCCATCCGCTTCCCCAAACAACTCCGCCCTGCCCTACACCTCACCTGCATTCCTAGGGGGCACATGCTCTGAGCACTCCTGGCCAGGCCTGTCACCTCACCCTCCCTCTCCAGCCATCTCTGACACCATGTCCTGCTGGTCGTGGGTGGATCCAGCCAGCTCCCACCCGCCCCACTCAACAGCCTGAGTTCAGGGTCCCAGGCTCCTGTCCAGAGGATGGGAGCAGCCAAGACCAAGGCCAGCCTAGAGCGGAAGGAACTGGCAGGGGGCACTGCTGGGATAAGCAGAGAACCAGTCAGCTGCGATAAAGACGAGATGCCACTCAGGCCCATGAGGGCAATGGTGAGAGGGCCTCGGTTTCCTTGGAGCGACTTGGAGGTCCCCAGAGCTCTTTGGGGACCCCCTGTAGTCGGCAGAAGGAAAACAGAGGGGTTCCCTGGTGTAGGAAGTCCACAGAAGGGATCAAGACCAGAGCTACACCTGGAAGAAGCGTCACCTGGCACCCTTGCCTCTCCTGGGGCTCTGCCCAGCAGCTCCTACACACGGGCGGAGGCCCAGCCTCACTCACAGGGACACACCTCTGCCACCAGGTGGAAGGGGCCTGGGAAAACTATGTGCCCTTGGGTGCTAACCCTTGTAACCCTACATAACGCCAGGTGCTGTGCCAAGGAGATTCCCTGGGCACTCCCGGCCACCCTGCTGACCCCACGAGGCTGGCACACACCAAAGATACCAGCTCCCAGCTCTGGCCTTGGGAGCCCCAACGCCACTCTGGCTGTGGTCCCTTTGGGTTCTTGCCAATCCACACGGGGCCTGATCCCCCCTTTTTTATCTTCTAGAATCTACAAACGGTGCTCAGGCAAACTTTGAGCTGCCTTCGCGAATCCGGCTACAGGATTTGTTAAGAAAAATGCCATAGGCACTGGCTAGGATGACAGTGCTTCTTTGAAAGTTGGGGTGAAGGAGCTGGGAGAGGGGCAGGCAGGAGACCAGAGGGAAGTACCAGCGTTTGATCTATGGGGGAGACAACACGGGCCTGGGGGTCCCTCTTTCTATCAGACCTCCCCCAGTCTGGGCAAGTGCGGAACTCTGAAGCTGCCCCACCTCCCTTGCCGGAGAGTAACAACTTGCAACTTGAGCCTACCGAGAGCTCTACTTGGAAGACGGAGGCTAGAGGGCTAGGGGCCCAGGGAGGGACCCGGGGAGGCGAGGGTTGGGGGGTGGGTAGGGGAGAAGGGAAGGGGTTCGCCCCGCGGCAGGGCAGATCCGGGCGTACCCGCGGGACGCCAGGCGCCGCTTACCCGGTTAATCTCAGCCAGTCTCCTCTCCTGCCGGGCTTTGAGCAAACCAAACGCCTTCCCTCCTGCAGGAGACAAAGAGAAGGGCCGGGAAGCGCGGGGCCCTCACCCGCTCCCGCCGCGTCCTCTTCCCGCGCGCCGCGAGCCCGCCGAGCGCCCGGCGCGCACAGGTGGCGGCTGTCGGGACGCCGGGCAACGGGGCCGCTGTGGGGCCGCCGGCGCCTACCTTGAAACCTGTTGCTGAGCGCGACCGACATGGTGAGCCCCGGGCTCCCGCCGGCTGGGGCTGCGCGACGGCGGCGAGCGGCGACGCGGAGGAGCGGGCGCCTGGCCGGAGCTCCGACTGCCTGTGAGGCAGCCCCAGGGCGGCCCGACACACCCCTCGCTCCCGGCCCGCCTCCCCCTGCACTCCCCGCCCTCCCCTCTGCCGCCGCCCTCGTCAAAGCGGCTATTATGCCGGACGCCCGAGCCCGGGGCGGCCACCCCTCTGCCTCGGAAGGCGGAGAATGCACCGCGCCAAAGTCTCTTTGCAGGGCCCAGCCCAGAGCGCGCTTCCAGGGCGGAGTGTGAGGAGCTGACGGAGTCCGGGGAACTCGGCCCATCACTGCAGGGAGTGCCGGGGGCTCACGGCGCAAGAATGGGGAACTAAGCTAAGGGGAGGCGCGAAGCGTTGTCTGAAATGAGAAGGAACTGTCCTGGGTCAGCAGGTGCCAGGTACCCAGTCATGGCCTCACAGGATGTGTCGGGAGGATGGGGGGGTGACATCTGGAAGCCCTGTTTCTCCCCCGCCCCTTCCATCCTGACTCCTAGGATTGAGACCCAGGACCATCCACTGACTGGTCTTTTTTCTAAGGTTGCTTTGGGGAAAGAAGCAGTTGACTATCCCCAGGGAGGGGCTGGGAGGAATGGGTTAGGGCAGTTCTGGGGTCAATGCCTGTGGCACGCAGTTTCCTGGCCCCTAGGCGTTCCCACCTGGGCTTTAGATCCAGCAGCCTGCCCCGTCTTGGCAAGATCCACACTGCCGTCCCCTCATCTCACCAAGCAGGTGCTGTTCTAACTTTGATTACATTTCAGGATGGCTTACAGCGAGGGGCCATAGAGCTTGGGGGTTCTGAGCCTTGGCTGATGGGCTACCGTGTTCCACGTGGAGGGCAGAGAAGCAGCTGCTGCAGAACAGGGGCCCCACACCGTGGCTTCCTGGTCTAGGCCAGGGTCCTCTTGCCCTGGGCCAGTTGGGTCACCCCACATTCCATGGCTAAGCTGGTGAGCCACATTGCAAGCCGGATGTCCCCGCTGTTACCATGTCAGCCCCACCTTCATGAGCAGCAGAAAGCCACATGAGCAACCGTGTCAGGTATGTCACTGGAATGTAGAGGAAACCTGTACTCCAGGCAGCTGGGGATGTGAACCCCGAATGCAGGCATCCAAACGGCTGGGTGCAGACAGCCTGCGTGGAGGCAGGCGTCCAGCCCCATCCTATAGCCCAAAGACCCCTCCCCTTCTCCACTGCATCCCACCCTGACCCCACTCCAATCTCCAGACCAGCCAGAGAGCTGCAGCTCCCAGCCTCTGCACCTCCCCTCGTGGCCATCCCCCAGATCACTCCCTAGCCAGAGCTGAGGGGTCTCCATGGAGAGAGGCACCCCCCTTCCTGTCCCCTCAATCTGGGGTCTTGGATCCAGTCTCCTTAGCAGGTGTTGGGGGAACCTGACCCCAGCTTGGCGGATCTTTCCAGCAACACAGGAAGCAGGAGGCAAACTCCACTTCATCTGCTGCAGGCCCAGGTACATTCAGGGAACAGGGAGTCTCCCCTCCCACCCAGCGCAAGCAACAGCAAGCCAAGCCACTGAGCAAACACACGGACACAGCCCAGCCGAGGCCCAGGGGAGACAGGGAGGGAGAGCGGAGCCGCCCAATTCTGGCAGTCTCGGGCTTCCCAGCTGCTGGCCAGGTCTGTGGCCTGGCAGCCTTTCCCAGCCCAGGGTTCCAGGAGACCCTCCCAGCCGGCTCCATGGGGCTCAGGCCGTTCTGGCCGAGAGCCCTGACCTTGCACTCCAGAATCCCACCCACGAGCCATACTGGCCAGACCCCAGACTGCTCCCACCCGCCTCTCAGGAGGCCTCTTCTCCCTTGCTGTGCCGCTGGACGCTTTGGAGTTCATGGGCCCCAGCCTGAACCAGAGGTCAGCTAAGAGCCTCTCTGCTCTCCAGCACTGCAATTCTCCCAGCCTGTCCGGAGCCTGATCAGTCCTTTGAAGCAAGGAGCGAAACTGGCTAGGGGGTGACTGTGGCCACAGGACCCCAACAAGCTCCTTGAAATGGCAAAGTTGTGGGCTTTGCTTTTGCCACTTGCCTCCCACTGCGTGAGAGGGGGACCTCCAAACACCTCCCTGACCCATTCACAGGTCCTAATCCAACTGGCCGCCCACCCATAAGCCACGAGCGAACACACACCACCCAGCTCAGAGAAGGGGCCTTTATTTCCACATTAAACAGAAGGGGCCCACGCTGCCACCTGTCCCCATGACAGAGGCAAAGGGAGATGTGGGAAGGGGTTGGGTCCACAGTGCCAAGGCCCTGTGGTCTGCAGGAAAGGGAGGAGCTGTGCCAGGAGGAAATGCCAGGGACTCCTGGGCAGAGGGCTGGGCCTAGGCCTGGCCACAGGGGGATTCCTGGGACAGGACAGACTGGAATGTCAGCCACGCGTCCACACCCTGGGGCCTCCCCCGTGACAGGTGGGGCTATGGGTCTGGTGCAGCACGTGTCCATCAGAGGTCGACTGGGTCCGCAGGGCACCAAATGGTGTTCCTGGAGGCCTGGCCAAGCCCCTGAGCCCAGACCCCTGCAGGTCTTGTTTTTTTGGGTGGGTCACAGATAGAAACAGGGACAGGGCCCAGGATAGATGCTTCCTCCGGTGGCTCACTGGTGCCTCCAGCATCCTGATCCCAAGGGCCCAGAGCCCAAGGCCAGCACACTCCCCCTTACACACATGCCAAGCCGCCGTGCTAGTCTTGCAGGTGTGCATGGCTGCTGCTGCGGGAGCGGCCTGCCATGGGCCTGGGGGTCCCACGAGGCTGTCGGCCTCTGCTTCCCTGCTGGCAGCCCTGCTCAGGGGACCTGTTCTCTGGTTGTGCACTGTGAGGATGTCACCCTAGAACTCTCTCAGGCATCCACGGGGCCTTGCCCATGGCTGGCTCTATCCCAGGCATGCATGCAGGGCATGTAGGAATGAACTGGAACGTATGTGGCTGTCATACATGCAAGTGTACACCCTTGCATCTGCATGCGTGCCCCGGAGCTTATGTTAAGTGTGTGCTATGGTCCTGGGGCACGGGTGTTGACACACATTTGGGGGTGTGAGTGTATGGAGAACTGTGTGTGCACTCATTCCTGCTGACCGTGTGGGAGGGAGGCTCCAGTACGTTGTGAAAGGAGTGCTCTCAGTGGACTCCAGGTGTGGGCTCTCCTGCACCTACTGGGGCCAGCATCTCACTGGCGGCTGGCACAGCTCTCAGGCAAGCTGAGCAGAATGGCCTCCAGGTTCTGCTTGTCGGCGCGGACCTCGGCCAGCTCCCTCTCGAAGCCCTGGATCTCCAGCTCCTGCTGCTCCGCCTGCTCTTCCAGCAGCCTCAGTTTCTTCTGCAGGGCCCCCGGCGCATCCAGCTGCAGCCTCAGGCGTTCCAGTGCCCACTGGGTCTCATTCAGGGCCTGGGCTGGCGTGCGGTGGGTGTCCAACGAGCCTGCAAGGGGGTGGGGTGGGACGTGGAGAGGCTCAGACTCCCCCCAGCTCAAATCTCCAGAATTGCAACTGTCCTCCTCCTGGTGGAGAAAGAGGGGAGCTGGGGAACTGTGTGGCGAGGTGGGTGAAGGCACCCCTGGGCGCACCAGGGCTTATCTAAAGGGGATCTACTGGGATGAGCATATGGGAACAGCAGTTAAGCTGCCACCTGGATATATATAAAGACAAAAAAATAAAACAAAATATATTTTTTTTAAAAAGTGAAAAAAAACACTTGTCCCTGGCCCGAGACAGGGCAGGAGATGGGAAGCCATGGAGGAGGGGTTAACAGGAACCCTAGGATCGGACCTCACAGGGAGACCCCTGAGGTGACTCCCGACAATCAGGGCACAGCCCTGGGCTCCCCTTACCCAGGCTGGCAAGGAGCTCTGCCAAGGCTCTGATGTCCTCCTCCAGGGAGACGCGGGATTCCCGAATGTGCTGCTCCATTTCATTCAGCCTGGCCCCCACCTGCAGCACAGACAGCGGTGGCCTGAGCAGCCCCCTGCAGGCTCCCCGGGGCCCAAGGGTGGGGGAGGGCTCCCCTCACTTGCTCAACTTCCCGCAGCTCTCGGGTGTGTGCTGTTGAGCTCAGCATCTGGTGGGAGGCTTGTCGGAGCGTGGCCTGTGTCTGGCTGGCGAGCCGGCTGGCGTGGCACTGGCGCTGTTTCCCTTCCCGCAGCAAAGCCTTGGCGAGCTATGGGCAGGGGTAGATTGGGGAGAGGATGGGGCAGCAGCCAGGAGGGGAGCGGGCGTGAGCAAGTCTTTTGTGGCAAGAAGACTGTCAATGAATCATTTGCTCACTCTGCAATTGTGCCTGGAACATGGACAAGGTGCTAAGTGCAGTGGAAAAATGCCAACTGCTTTACAGGTGGACAAACAGGTGCAAGGCGGGAGGAGGGAGCAACTGGCTCGAGTCCAAGAGGCAATCCAGCCCAGGGCTCCAGGTTCAAATCCATGGCCTTCTCTAGGCAGCCGTGAGGACAGCCCATGGAGTGTGACATTGGCCATCACAGAGCGGGGAGCAAGGAGGAGCATGGCTGGTTAACATTTGGCCCTGGTAAAAGGTTAGGTGGCAGGGCCAAGCAGGCCTAGATGCAAGACTTGTATCCCAACTCCTGGCTGGGTCTCACCGCACTCACCATGAGGAGCTCAACAACACGGGGACCAATCACCAAAGTAAAGCTCCTGGTGAGAGCCGGGGATCCGGCAAGCGACTGGGAAACGCAGTCAGGGGCACGGGGCAGGGACACGCCTGCTCTCACAGCCACGGCTCTGACCTTGCTGTTCTCTCTGGCCAACAGCTCTGCCTCTCTGCCTTTCTTCTTGGAAGCAGAAGAGAGAGACACCGCATGTCCCAGCATCCGTTCCACTTGCTTGGTCTTCCTTTTTGTGTCGGCGAGCAGCCTGTCCTTTACCACGCCTGCCTTCCTCTGCAGCACCGTTTGGTCCTTGGGCCGGGGAAACCGAAGCTTTATTCCTGCCAACCCAGCCAGGGGCTATGTCAGTAGGCTGCGGCCAGGCCCCGAGTCCCCTGGGCAGCCCCAGACACCCCGACGTCGGAAGTGCAGATGGGCAGCGGCTGAGCGCTGTATCATGGCTTAAGGGGGAGGATCAGAAGTGTCCGAGACACACAGCTTGGGCTGAACTTCAGGCTGTGCTGGCTACCAAGGGCCCAGAGTTACGCAGCACCCCAGGCCAGGATCAGTGCTAGGCCTGGGCAGCCACACACCCAGCACCCAACTCTCAGCTCAGCCCCGCACTTGTACAAGCTCTGGGGCCACGCATGGTGACAGACAGGGCCACAGTGGAACACGAGTGGGTGAGGAAGGAGACCAGCGTGAGACACTCCAGCTGTCGGGACCATAGGCTGCAGGGACTGAATGTTCTATGGATCTCTGAGCTCCCAAGTGGCCAAGACAAAAGGGGAAACGGTTACCACTCTTGTACCAGCAGACGACTCACTGTGTAAAGGAAGAGACCCCTTTTGTCCCCTTTTCTCCTCTCCCTTGCCCTCTCAGACAAAGTTGTAAAAAAACTGTACCCTAAAAGTTGAAAAGGCAGGTTGTAAATAGAAAGCAGCGTTCACCTCCTTAGGGGTGTTAACAGTACAGAACTGTTCCATCGGGGAACTCGGGAATTTGGCAGTTTGCTCCTTGTAAACCTGACTGATGGTTCTTAGGGCACATCCCCCAGAGGCCTAACTACAGGAGAGCACTCATACACGCCCTGAAAGCAGTCGATGCAATTCCAATGAAGGACACCAGGAGGCGTCTTCACCGCCAGCCAGCTCAGGCTTGTGACATTCTGACGTTTGCTCCCTAGGGCCTCAGGAAGACCTTGCCACAGTGCTAGCCGCTAATCAAACCTGGGCTGAGCCAGAGTGCGGCACAGGGGTTAAGCATCCCACGAGAGTGCTAACCCGCTGTTCTACTTCCGATTCAGCTTCCTGCTAATGCGCCTGGTAGTACAGCAGAAGCTGGCCCAAGTGCTTGGGCTCCTGTCAGCCTTGTGGGAGACAGAGCCTGGCTCTGGCCTGGCCAGCTTTGGCCATTGTGGCCATTTGGGGAGTGGACTTGGAAACAGATCTCAATCTCTCTTTCCTCTCTCTCTGGTTCACTCCCCAAGTGCCCTAACAGCCAGGACTTGCCCAAGCCACGGCCAGGAGCCAGGACCTCTATCATGGTCTCTTACAGGGGTGGCGGGGCCCCAAGGATTTGGCCATGATGTGCTGTTTTCAAAGTTGTGTATCGGAGCTGGCATTGTTTCACGGAGAATAAAGCTGCCATCTGCACTGCCAGCATCGCTTGTGGGCACCGGTTCAACTCCCAGCTGCTTCACTTCCCGTCCAGCTTCCTGCTAATGTGCCTGGGACAACAGTAGATGGCTCCTGCACCCACACGGTAGACTTGGGAAGAGGTTCTTGGCTTCAGTTTAGCTCAGCCCTGGCCATTAGCGGCCATTCGGGGACTAAAGCAATGTCTAGAAAACTTATCTTTCTATATATAATTCTGCCTTAAAAAAAAAAAACTACCCGAAACAAAACAAAAAACTAACATTGAAAAAGAGGGGTATGCAGTCCTAGGAAGCTGGACCAGATGTGGAGAAACCAGGGCATGAACTCTCATACGGGACATGGGAGTGCCAAGGCACGGCTTAACCACAGCTCCCAATGCCTGCATGCCCCATGCACATCCCTTCTTAAAACTGAACTCCAGGGCCTGGCACTATGGCTCAGTGGCTAAACCCTTGCCTACTGGGATCTCTATAGGTGCTGCTTCATGTTCCAGGTGCTCCACTTCCAAATCCCTGCCTGTGGTCTGGGAAAGCAGTCGAGGACGGCCCAAAGCCTTGGGACCCTGCACCTGTGGGGAGACCCAGAAGAAGCTCCTGGCTCCTGGTTTCGGATCAGCTCAGCTCTGGCCATTGTGGCCACTTGACGTGTAAACCAGCAGACAGAGGATTTTTCTCTTTGTCTCTTCTTCTCTCAATAAATCTGCCTTTCCAATAAAATAAATCTTTAAATAAATAAACTCCACAGCCAAATTCAACACCAGCCCAGGCCAGTCAAGCTTGTCCCAGGTAATGGGATCCCAGCCAGAGTGGACCTGACCAGCTTATTATCTCATCTTGCCCTGAGGGCCTCTGCCAAGGGGTCCAAAGGGAGGGCCAGATGCAAGTGCATGAGTCGGGCAGAGATGAGTAGCCAGGGGAGTCTGGGAGGCAGGGGAGAGGCCACCGTGACTGAAGCCCACGGGATCGCACTTCAGTCCAGCCAGGCTGGCCAGGCTGAGGCACAAGTCCAGCTGCCACCCTGAGCACCTGTGCATCCCAGGGCCCAGAGTTCAGCACGATGATATACGTACCGTCCAGGTTGGCCAGCAGGGTCCTGGCTCCCATGACCGTCACCGTGGCGGCCTGGATGGACGAGGAGGCCCGGGTCAGGGCAGCTGTGGCCTCCTGGCGCAGCTGGAGAGGAAAGAAGACAGACTGGGTCGCTGGCCTACCAGGAGCACCGTCTGGAGGTGAGTGGGGTGGGTCCCACGTGGACCTCACTGGGACTCTGCCAATGGATGACCCTACTCAGCAGGAACACGTGACCTGCTTTATCCCGCCACGCTAAGCTTGGTGACTTCAGACGCTAAAGGCAAGATGGACGCGGGGACACTCGCGGTCAGTACACTGCTGTGCCTGAGCCCGTGCATGAGTGACGCTGTGTGGCACAGAACCCTCACTCATTGCACGTTGTCGCAGCCTCCCACTTCTGCCACAAAACGGGGCACCTCCATAAAGCATGAACATGGCTCTTCCCACAGCAGGATGCCACTCAACCACATGGCAGTGCAGGTGACTGAGGCTCGGAAACACATGCCAAGGGGAGGCAGCTGTACTTGTTATCATGTGAGTTCACTTTGGCAAAACTTCCAGAAGGGACAAACCAAGGGACAGGCTCCTGCTTGGGGCTGGAGCAGGGCACAGGGAGTGACAGGGTCATGGAATGGCAGCCACCACGGTGAAGGCAGGTACTGAGTGCACCCCTGGGACTGCCCAGGCTATGCCACAAAAAGGGCTGAGCGCTACCATGAAATACATCTTGATCTTGTGCTGAGCCTCAGCGGTGGTGGGAGGAAGGAGGAAGAGGAAAGTGGGAGAAGCATTGGGGGGCAGCCCCACTCCGGGTCTGGTCCCGACTCTGCAGTAACTTGCAGAGGTCACTTCCCTTCCTGGCTCCCACAACCGGGATGAGGGGACCAGACCAGGACCAGGTCAGCAATCACAGCAAGGCTCCAAGATGTGTGCCAGGCAGTGGGCCCAACCCTTCTGGTAGCTTCCCAGCCAACCTGCTTCCTGTCCCAAGAGGGAGGCTAACGGTGCGCCTCCTGGAGAAGCCAGCCCTGCAGCAAGGTGGGACCTGGATAATGCCTGCCAGCTGCATTGGTGAGCCAGATGCATCGGGTTTGTTCCCTGAGGCTGGGCTGGTAGAATGGTGAGCTGAAAGGAACCTGTGGGATGGGTTCCATCACACTGGTCCACTTCCCAGATGGCCACAACAGCCAGTGCTGGGCCAGGTTGAAGCCATGAGTCTGTAGCTTCTTCGGGGTCTCCCACATGGGTGCAGGGGCCATCCTCCACTGCTTTCCTAGGCACATTAGCAGGGAGCTGGATTAGAAGTGGAGTAGCTGGGACTCAAACCCACATGGGATGCTTGGAAGCCCGTATGGGATGCTGCTGGATTATGGAAATTGGCTCAACTGGCTGCAGCATGGTGCCAGCCCTAAGAAGTTCTACATGGCTTTTTCATACTCTAATAGGTTGGGAAGTGCTGGAGTAAGCTAAACTCACGCTGTAATTCCTGGTCTTTTAAAGCTATCTCCCCTTAAATGCCAAACTCCAGTTAGGCAGCCGAGTTCCCGCCACTGCTCACCTGGGTGCCCACTGATACCTGGCGAAGCGCCCGATGGAGGAGCAGCACAGTGGTAAGTGGTCCTGAGGAAGGTGGCGGGGCTGCTATCTGCCCACCTGTGCCCCGGCCCTATCCGTTCCCTCTTCCTGGGAAGTCAGGGTCCCTAACCTTGGCTCGTGTGGTTTCAGAGTCTGTGGAGACTTTGGGGGAGGGTGGGCATGAAAGGGCTGAAAAGAACTATTTCCTGGGTCTGTTGTTGTAACACAGCATCCCACATGAGCGCCAGCTCGGGTCTTGGCTGTTCCATTTCTCATTCAGCTCCCTGCTAATGTGCCTGGGAAAGCAGTGGGGATGGCCCAGTATTTGGGCTCCTGTATCCAACCAGCCTTTGCAGCTGAAGTGAACCAGCAAATGGAACACCTGCCTCTCTGTGTCCCTCTCTGCAACAGTGCCATATCAAATAAGTAAAATAAAAAATTGGGGAAATAACAAATCAAATGAAAATGTGAGAACTGTTGCTTCCTGCCACTCTCCCACTCCAGCCACCCCTGACCCCAGATCACCCGGGGGGCAGCCCTGACCCCTGCATGGGCCCTGCTCCGAAATCCGAGAACTGACCTGCACGAGGGGCTCCATCTTCTGCAGCGCTGCCTGTGCAGTGGCCTGGAGGGCTCGGGTGGCCTTGGCGGCCACACGCTCTCTCAACATAACCATCTTCTCCAGGGACCCTGCTTTCCTGCTCACGTCCCTGGCCTTGGATTTCGGAAGCTGCAGGGAGATGAGGGAGGGGTGGGGCAGATCCACTACACAGGGAGAAGTTTTGGGCTGGGTTGAGCAGAGGGCCAGCTCCTGGATACAGAGTCTTGTATCTGCAACCCTGAAACCCTTTAACCGCTCTGCTGTCCCAGGACTGTGCGAAGCCCAGGGACGGGGACAATGGGGCTGGGACCCTGGGCGCAGGACAGGACAAGAACAGTCAGGCAGGGTCACCCGTCCCTGTTGCAGCCTCATCACCAATCTCCCACTGCTTGGCCTAGGCAAGCGGGCTGACCCTCTGAGTGGCATGTCCGTACTGCTAAGTGAGCCTCTCTCCCCAGAACCTGCAGCTGAAACCCTGGGGCTGGGTGGGCCTCTGAAGGCAGAGCCTTCCAGAATGAGACAGAACCGGGCAGGTGCAGCCCTGGCTGACCTGAGCAGGCTTCCAAAACCTCAGGGCAATCACACGTTTGTGACATCAAAAGTAGTTTGCCCCTAAACAAACTTATCTTTCCACCTGATTGCCTGAGAGCCTTTTTGAAGTCTGTCTCCCCGTTCCCCAGGATGGCCACTGGGTCACCCACGTACAAGGATCACTACCAACAAAAACTGGCTGGGCCCAGACACTGCCAGGTCTGCCTGGGATTATCGCAGTTTCAGCAATTGCCATACTGTCATAAAGAAGACAGGTCTCCTATGTGGGGGGCCCCACTCGTCTCCCCACCCCCGAGGACAGCCCAGCTGACCTGTGATCCTGGAGCTGCCAGCCAGGCCAGGCGCGGGGCTGCATCTGTGTCAAGTTGCTGCACGGTGGCCAGCACTCTCCTGGCTTCGGCCAGTGCCTCTGCCACAGCTGTGCCCAGTGCTTTCTGGGCCTCCTGGGCTTCCTGGTACCTGCAAGGAGACAAAGTACCTCTTGGAGGAGGATGCCCCGCGGCCACGCAGAGCCCTCCCAGCTACCCAGGTGGCAATGTGCCTGGAGAGGTGGGTCCACAGCAGCCGTGCCAAAGGCACTGAGGGGACCATGGTTTTCTGTTGCCTGCATCTGCCCCTGCTCGGCTGTCGCCTACAGAGCCACAGGTTTTGCAAACTTCATAGAAGCAAAGAAAATGCTCAGAGTTGTGGAACACGCAGGGTCTCCAGCTCTGCTCTTGGCTTGGCCACACATTTGCTGGAGAGCTTGAACCTGTGGTTCTCGCTTGGGGCACAGAGAACCTTCCCCCGAACCCCTCCAGAGCTGCATGACAGCCATGGGGCCTTGACTTCACACGGCCCACAGTTTGGTCACCAACCAACTAGCACAATTTCCTGAGCTGGCCAGTTGCCCAGTCCCTGCTGTACCAACCTTCATCACCATGGGCACTGCTGGGGTGGAGACCCCAGCTTCCTTCCTGCCCCTCCCCCTTCTCAGCCAGTGTGACCTTGCCCTGCAGGAGTGGTCACGTGGCCCCACGCCTGCCATGCAGACTGGCTCAGAATTGGGCACCTGATCCAAACTGAGCCAACTGGATTCTCTCATGTGAGAAGGTTAACATGGGGGACTCAGCAAGGTGCGGAGAGGCCCTGCACTGACCCTGGAACCAGCGGTGCCCAGCCCCACGGGCCCCAGAGCTCGGCCAAGCCAACCCCACTCCCATGGGCACATGCGAGGTCTCACCTGTCCTCCAGCTGCCGCTGGGTCTCCAGGGCCAAGCTCCCCTCACCTAGCCTCCGGAGAAGCGTGGAGCTGGCATTGGAAGCCACGAGGGCTCTCTGGGCAGTGGCTCCAATCCTGGCAGCGCTGGCTCTGTGGCTGTGTGGAGAACACACGGACGGGGCAGGAGTAGGGAGCCGGACCCCGAGCCTCTCATCCTTCCTGGGGTCCAGCCATGAGGTCAGGGACTCCTTTTCTTTTTTAAAAAGGATGTATTTATTTTTATTGGAAAATCAAATCAGATTTATGGAGAGAAGGGGACACAGAAGAAGAGCTTCCTTCTGCTGGTTCACTCTCCAAGTGGCCACAACAGCCAGAACTGAACTGATCAAAAGCCAAGAGCCAGGCGGGTGCAGGGTCCCAAGGCTGTCCTGGACTGCTTTCCCAGGCACCAAGCAGGGAGCTGGATGGGAAGTGGAGCAAGCAGGCACCCATGAGGGGTGTCGGCGTGACAGAAAAGAGCAGCCTAGCCTGTTACACCACCAGGCCAGCCCGTTTTCAAGATGTTAAGTTGCAGAAGACCGGGTGGGTGTTGCAGCAGCGCTGCCGCTTGGGAAGCCTGCAACGGGATCACAGCGCCGGCTCAAGCCCCTGCTGTCTCGCTTCTGATCCAGCTTCCTGCTAATGCATCCTGGGAGGCAGAAAATGACAGCCCGATGCCTGGGCCCCTGCCCCCCACATGGGAGACCAGGATGGAACTCCATTCCCCTGGTTTCAGCCTGATCCAGACCTGGCATATTTATTTGCAGAGGTAAGCCAGGGGATGAAGATTTCAATCTTCTCTCTGTCACTCTGCCTTTCAAGAGGATTAAAATGAATATATTTATATTTTCACATGTAAAAAAAAATACATGTGCACACCTCGACGATGACCAGCAAAGAACAATTAGATAAAGAAAACAGGGTTCATTTGTGCACTGGCGTATTACTTAGCCAAGAAAAAGGAACGAAGTATTGGCACACCGGAGCATGGCTCAGCCACCAACACACAACGCTGACTGGGAGGATCCAGGCACAAGACACCCCTTGCGTGAGACTTCACTGAGCCGAAACACCCAAAGCAGGCAGAGGCATGGCAGTGGATCGGTGGCCACCAGGGACCCCGGAGGTTGAGCAGAAACGGGAGGGAGGTTCCCTGTACGGGCTTTGTTTTGGGGATGGTGAGATTGTTCTGGAATTCACTGGTTATGGTTGTGGCTCTGAGTCCACAGGTAGGAATGAATGGCGCTGCTGCAGCCGCACAGATCCCGCCAAAACCGACGGCTAGAAAAGGTGCCAGCCACCCTGACTTGGGCCCTGAACCCAGCCAGGCAGGCACCTCTCAGCCTCAGCTGGTCCCAACTCCTGGGTGGGGCAACTGCGGGGCTGCCCCTGGCCCAGGAGCCACTCAGGAGAAGGGCTAAGCTCCCTGAGCCAGGGACTTAGGGGCTTACCTCCTGGCAAAGGCACGAGCCTCCATGGCCAGATGGCTCCAGTTGGTGGGCTGGCTGGCCCCTGCCCCAGGACTCGCCTTTCAAGAAAAGGGGCAAAGTGGGGACACCAATGTCTGTCAGCAAAGGGCAAGGACCACCTGGGCAGAGGCCGGCAACACCTGTGGTCTCCTTAAAGCACAGTGCCACTCACGAGGTCTGTACCCAGGCAGAGGCCCGACACACAGGCGCCCTTCACTCACACTGCACGTTCATTGCCCACTCACAGGGAGGGCCCCACCTCCCCACCCACAAAGGGCAGGTGTGCTGATGTCACTGGGTCAGTGGGCTGGGCAGGGGCTGGGGCCAGAGCGAGAGGGGGTGCCCCCGGGTATACCAGAGAGGCCAGGATGGCGGCCGCACGCAGAATCTCCCCGTGCGAGGCCGCCAGCACGCCCTCCAAGTCCGCTAGCTGCACGCAGGTCTTCTGAGCTCCACCCAAGGCACAGCTGCTGCTTCTGCTCCGAGCCCGCACCTGCTCCTGCACCGCCTTCACAGCTCCCTCGAGGCCCATCACCTGTCCCAGGAAGGCTTCCCGGGCCCCTGCAGGAAGCCCACAGCCCAGGGGTCACACAGCCATACAGTCTTCATATCACACGCCCCTCTTAGGGTCTTCCCAACACAGTCAAATCCTCTCTCCAACCCTGAGCATCCACATGAGTTCCAAGTGAAAGTTTGCCCATTTTACAGATGCCAAGACTGAGGCCTGGGAAAGGCAAATAATGATCCGAGATTGCTCGCATGGGAAATCAGCCACATCCAAGGGACACGAGGGCCCTCCACCCTTTCCCCAGTTCAGTACCTGGGGCAGTGCCCCAAGACTGACCTGTCAGGGCAAGCTTGTAGGGTGGGGAGAAAGGCTGATATCGCCCAGGGGGTGATGTGAGAGCAGCCTGAAGGCTCCCCGGGGGAGGGGGCGAATGAACAGCTGGCCTCTTCCCCCACCCCATACCTTGCAGCAAGTGGCCGCCCTGGTAGATGTCCCCTCGTGGCGACTCCCCCTGTACAATGTCCAGCGGCCCCCAGGGAGTGCCACAGTCAGACTCTTGCAGCCATCCCTCCATCAAGGCCAGCCTGGCCTTCAGCTTGGCCGCCTGCAGGGGACAGGGGAGAAAGGGCGTGTGCCAGGCTGTGGCCTACAAGTGCTGCACCCGCACCTTCCTTGGCCTCTTGGTCCACCCTGATGGACACCAAGTCCTTCCCCGTGCCCCATCACCCCATCACCCACACAGCCTCCACCTGTCCCATCACCCCATCACCCACACAGCCTCCCCTGCCCCATCACCCCATCACCCACACAGCCTCCCCTGCCCCAACACCCCATCACTCACACAGCCTCCCCTGCCCCATCACCCCATCACTCACACAGCCTCCCCTGCCCCATCACCCCATCACTCACACAGCCTCCCCTGCCCCATCACCCCATCACCCACACAGCCTCCACCTGTCCCATCACCCATCACTCACACACAGCCTCCCCTGCCCCATCACCCCATCCCCACACAGCCTCCCCTGCTCCATCACCCCATCACTCACACAGCCTCCCCTGCCCCATCACTCCATCCCCACACAGCCTCCACCTGTCCCATCACCCCATCACCCACACAGCCTCCCCTGCCCCATCACCCCATCACTCACACAGCCTCCCCTGCCCCATCACTCCATCCCCACACAGCCTCCACCTGTCCCATCACCCCATCACCCACACAGCCTCCACCTGTCTTATTACCCCATCACCCACACAGCCTCCCCTGCCCCATCACCCCATCCCAACACAGCCTCCCCTGCCCCATCACCCCATCCCAACACAGCCTCCACCTGTCCCATCACCCCATCACCCACACAACCTCCCCTGCCCCAACACCCCATCACTCACACAGCCTCCCCTGCCCCATCATCCCATCCCCATACAGCTTTCCTGTCCTTTCTTACGCCCATGGACGCTGGCTCCACTCTCTTAAGCACACAAACAGTTAACTGCCTGTTCAGAGACTTGTCCAAGCCAGGTCTGATGCCAATGCCAGCCACGCCCTGGTGAGATGCAGCTGAGAGGAGGGGTCATGGGTCCTGAGCCCAGCCTCCCTTCCACAGCCCCGGGGGGGCCTGCAAGCCATGAGGACACAGCCTTGTGATGGCCAGCTCTGACGACGACTCATGGGAAAGCCGAACCATTGAGCAGAGATGACTGATCACCCTCCTGGACCTCGGGGTGGATGCCTGCGTGTGTCCCCTGCAGCTGGCGCACTTACATGCCCCTCCACTCTCCAGCGTCCTTAGCTGCCCTGCTGGGGTCCAGAGAGAGCAGGCAGGCCTGGACCCCCTGTTTTGGAGTAGGAGAGGGACCCCGAGGATTCCTAGGGCTGCTACCTGCCAGGAGTGTGCAGCAGGAAGCCCCGCTGTGGAACCCCAGTGCCCCGACTCCTGATGCCCAGCAGAGCAGGGCTGGTGGGCTCTGCAGGTGAGAACACTTTCCAGGGCCTGGCACTGAGCTGGCGCTCGCTGAGGTCCCACCTGGGAGGGCTCACCTCCTCCTGAACCAGGCCATAGCAGGAGGGGCATTCCTGGCAGCGGGCACCGTCAGCCGTGAGGAAGAAGTTGTCACGACAGCGGTCACACTTGTACCCCACGAAGCCGGGCTTGCATTCACATGTGCTGTTCTCGTAGCACTGGGCTGAGATGGCGCCCAGCGGTGAGCACCTGCAGGCTGGAGGGGTTGGCAGTGCAGGTGCTGAGCCCCAATGCTGGCCTGCTGACCCCAGGCACACGGGAGGGCTTCAAGCAGTGACACCCGAGACAGGCTTCCCAGGCTGGCACACTCATGCTGCTGGCCTTTCTCCCAAGCTCTTTTTTTCTGCCAAGGGCCTCTTTGCTCTTAGGAAATCATTGATCAAAAAAATCAACCTGCTGTAGAATTCATGGAATTCTGTGAGCCACCAGTGGTGGCCTCAGCAGAGTCACAGCAAAAGATTTCACGGCCCAGGCCCACAGAGGCTGAACACTCCGCACCACACCCCATCCCTCCACACCTCCATGGCCACTCTCACGGGTCCTGCGTGGTGTCTGACCATGACCTCTCCCTAAACCCCAGCTTCCCCACTGCATGCAGATACCAGGCCCCTCTCCTTCCCCCTGCCAGCAGCAGCACCCACCCTCTCCTCCCCGCACCCCATGGCCAGCAGGAGCACCCAGCCTCTGTTCCCCACAGCCAGCAGGAACACCCAGCCTCTCCTTACCACGGCAGCCCTTAATGGAGAAGCCAAAGAAGCCCAGCTGGCACCTGTCACAGGCCAGGCCTGTGACACCTGGGCGGCACGGGCACTGCCCAGTCTCAGGATGGCACTGATTCCCATGGGAGCCCAGAGGGTGACACTGGCAGCTGTAATAGGGACAGATCTGAGTGTGAGGCCAAACTCTGAATGCTCCGAGCCTTGCCTGTCTGCCTGTGCCGGCCAGGTTCTCCCCATGCCACACAGGGCAAATGGCCTCCTCCAAACAGCTGGGCTCTGGGAAGCTCAAGAGTGCCCAGGCGCTACTCAAAAAAATAAAGTAATAAAGTCCGTGGAGTCCAAGTGTGCTGGTGGAACCGCAGCCCTCTGGGGGAGACCCTGTGCAATCAGCAGAGCAAAGGCCCTGACAAGTCCTGCTAAAGAATTCTGACCACCTTCTTTAGTTCTCCCTGTCTGCTACCAACACCCACTGAGGCGGGCTAGAGGACAGGTGTCACCAAGGAGAGCAACAGAGTCCATGCTGGCCACCTGCCCACCTGGACCTCTCTGAGGGCTGGCTGGGTCAGGGGTCTGATGCCCAGGAGACTGTCCCTTTGTCACCCTCCATGCCCAGGACCTGGCAGTGGGTCTGAAGATATACCCCATACCAGCCCGGTCCCTGGAGGCGCTTGCCAGCCATGCCCCGCCTACCTCCGGCAGCCCCCGCCGGGCTGGAGGTCGTAGAAGCCAGGGAGGCAGTGGCTGCAGTCCCGTCCAGCCACGTGAGGCAGGCAGGCGCACTGGCCAGTCACGGGGTCGCAGGGCGTCTGCTTGCTGACCGAACCCCCAGGGTGGCAGTTGCAGGCTGGGGGTGGGAGGGATACAGATGGAGCCTTTCCTGCTCTGGGAGCCCAGCAGAGGCGCCAGGGCAGCCCCTTCCCCTCAGAGAGGAATTGGTTTTCAGCACAGATCCCTAACCCCTCCCTGGAGAAAGGCTCAGAAACAAACCCAAACCTTGGTTCATCTGCAGACAGTGAGAGTCCACTCAGGGCCACGGGCAAAGTCACACCACCCTGCTCTCCTGTGCGCCACAAGGGCACTGCCTCACCCTCGGCCAGCTGCTCGAAGGCGGCTGTGTACAGCCAGAAGTGGCGGCCGGTGCGTTGGGGCCACTTGAGCCATTGGGGGAGTGACCCATAGGATGAAAGATCTCTCCCTCTCCCGTCAACCACCCCCCACCCCCAGCCACTCAGACTTCCACATTAATCAATCTTAGGAAAAAAAACTGTTAGAGGTGGGCAGGGTGCGTGTGGGGCAGTGTGGGCGATGCTGGGACTAACCCATGCTAATTCTGAGCTGCTCTCCCGCTGGACTCGGGAGGCCTGCTGCGAGGAGCTGGGCTCAGAGGGCTGAGAGCCAACGCAGGCAGTGGGGAGGGCACAGCAGGAGCAGGGCAATGGCAACAGGCCCTTAGACCTCTCCAGGTGAGGACAGAGCAGGGTGAGACCTCGCCCCAGGCTGCCCAGCCCAGCAGAGAAGCCTGCTGGCCCCACTGGCCACCCTGCCAGTGTCCGAGCCAGGGCAGAGCCACCGTGTCCGTGCCGCAGGATTTGGGGGTGGATACTCACGCGTGCACTTGTACGTGGGCTGGGGGGCCGAGGCGTTCCCAAAGAAGCCCTCCTGGCAGCGCTCACAGTGGTCGCCTGTCGTGTTGTGCAGGCAGCGCAGGCAGCGGCCAGTCTGCGGGTCGCAGTTACCAATGGCGTTCAGGTCCACGTTCCCACTGCACTGGCACCTGCGGCAGGGCTGGGGGCGCCCGGAGAGCCCCAGGGGGTCCCCATAAAAGCCATCATCACAGATCTCACAGCGCCGCCCTGCGTGTGGGGTGGGGGTGGGGCGACAACCATGAGGCACACAAGAGCACAATGGGCAGCGAGGCACAGGGGGCGTCCCTCCAGGCCCCTTCACAGGGCAGCATGCTGGTGTCTGCCTCAGTCATGTCCTGGCTGGGCTGCGTCCCTGGGCCTCTCCTTGTTGGTTAACTGTCAAGGACGCCAGTGGCCAGGCCATGGGATGGCAGCGAGGGCTGGGCAGGCCACTGGTGCAAGTAGTCAGTCTAGGCCCAGTGCAAGTTGTCACCAGCCTGTCACTGTCACTACCTACATCCCTGTCACTACATCCCTGTCACTGTCACCACCTACAGCGGCACCTTCATCACACCTCCTCACCACTACCACCACCATCATCATCACCTCACTCTCCTGACCACCCACCTCCTATGCCATCCTTCCCTCCCTTCATCTCTCTCCATCACTGCGGCCCTCGGTCAGTGTCACTAAGAGGGCCCCTCTGCCTCCTGGGTGCCCCCAGCCTCAGGAACCCTTCAGTTCACTTCCAACTCCACCTCGTCTTGCAGCTCTCAGCATCCCAGGGCCTTGGAGGGTGGTGGCTGGGAGGGCAGCTCCGGGCACAGGCAGAGCTGGGCAGGACAGGCCTGCGCAGTGTGCTTCACTCAAGCCACGGTCTTGCAGTATCCCCCACCCCCATCTCTCTCTCTCTGCCTAGCTCCTATGCAACAAGTACCTGGAGTTGGGGTGGAGAGGCACAGTCCAGGGAACAGCCGTGGCCTCCCGGGTAGCCGTCCTGCTCACCTGCACGTCCATGGCACTGCTGCCACGGTTACAACTGCTAGGTACTGTTACGCACACGACAATATCGACGTCGTCGTGAAGACACCCGTGTGCTCGACACCCGGCAGTCCTGGGCAGGCCCAGCTCACTGGTGAAGGGCTGACGTCGAGTGAGCTCGGGAGCATGAAGCTCGTGGCATCTCCCCCGACACGGGGCGAGCACTGCAAGGAGGCACCTGAGCCAGACACGTGAACCAGCCGGCCCAGGAGGCAGCATGGCCCGGGCCCCGGGAGAGGGGAGGACGGGAGGCAAGCTGCTACCAGCGCTGATTTAAGGCACGCGGAGCTGGCAAGGAGGGGGCATGCGGAGGAGTGATGACCACATGTGCCGAGGCAACGCTTGATGCTAAATTACACGCAGCGCTCGGCTCCCACGGCCAAGCCTGTGCTATCCATTTCTGCATGATAAAAAATTAATAACGTGATCTACGAGGGTCCATCGAGTTGGACATTTTAAATGGGTGAATTGTCAGGGACTTAATGTTTCAAGAAACTACTAAAAGAAAAGCCCCAAGTCTGGAAGCGGGAATGAGGACAGGCGAGAGGCCGGGGAACACGGTGCGTGTGCGTGGGCTGCGTGCTGTGCGTGTGCGTGGGCTGCGTGCTGTGCGTGTGGACGCATGGGCTGCGTGCTGTGCATGTGGACGCGTGCTGTATGCTTGTGCACATGCACGCGGGCGCTGTGTGCATGGTGTGGTGTGTGCACGGCACGGTACGTGTGCATACGCATACTGCATGGGACACAGCGTGTGTGTGTGACAGGAGCACCTGTGACTTTTGTCTCACACACAACAAGACATGTTTAAAGACACAGGTGGATTCCAAGGCCTGCTACTTCAGCTGTGTGTTAAGATCTCCTGGGGCCGTCTCAGGAATGCAGAGTCCTGGGTTCTGTCACGAACCAGGCCCCACAGGCCAGGACCCAACAGGGGTACTTCAGAGCTCACCGGCAAGTGCCTCATGGCCCAAGTTGTGCAGGTGACCCATGGCTGCCCAGGGCCCTCACGATGGGATTCTGTCTCACAGGCCATGTCTGGCATCGCTCAGTCAGGCTGTGACCCCCCCCTGCCATAATGCAGACCCGGGACCAGCCTCGGGGCCCAGGGTGTGGCCGGGGGCGTCGGGCTTGGGTCTGCTGGAGCCGCTCACCTCTCTGGCCTGGAGGACAGCGGGTACACACCACCTCCCCGCTCTCCGGGATGGTCGTGCAGGCCGACTGGCCGGGGCACGGGCAGGGCTGGCAGACGTCGGCTCGGCCCAAGAAGGGGTCGCCATAGAAACCTGGCAAGCAGCGCTCACAGGACAGGCCCTCGGTGTGGTGGTCGCACTGGCAGATCCCTGAGGGTGAGACACGCGCCGTCTTACAGCCTGCAGACAGCAGGTGCCCCGGCCCGAGACACCCCCAAGTCCGGGGCTGGGGCAGTGGGGGCTTGGCTATGCTCAACAGGAACTTGTGGGGGGCTCAGCCTCCTGTGAGCTTCCTCTCTAGAAGCTTCCTGCAGCTCTGGATGGGGAAAGGCCAGGGAGGCTTTACCTGGGCTGGACTAGTAATGCCTGCCCTGGACACCCAGGGCAGCAGTGGAGCAGCCCAGGGGGGCAGTGGGCTTCCCAGTGTTGAGGTGGAGGCAGGCTTTAGTCCTGCCCTCTTCTAGCACCTTCTGGCTGCATGACCCGGAGAGAGGTCTTTGTTCCGAGGTGGTGGTTGGGGGCTTCTCAGGGGTGAGGACAACACCTGGTGGTTGTCCACTGACTGTGGCGTCCATGCTGGTGGGAGGTGCAGCTCTGCCACCTACTGGCCATGCGATGCCCTGCACTTTTGCTGCCCTTAGCTCCCAGTCCACAGGGACTGCAAGGGTCGCAGAGGACGCGGCTGGCCTTTCTCTTAATCCCAGCAGTCCTGAGGACGGACTGGCGTTTCCCAAACCTCCTAGGCAGAAACGCTCAACTCTCCCAGGAAGTGACAGCGTGGCCAGGGTTGCTGCCCACAGACACCTGTCTCGGGCCCACTTTTCGAAGGAGGAAGTGACCTCAGGGAGGGGCAAGACCCTGGCATGGCCACCGGCCACTGTCACCTGTCATGCTGTCACTGTCATGTTATGCCTTTGTCCCTCAAGTCTTTCCTCATTCCTGGAAACGTACAGAGCAGCGCTGGACCAGGTGCCAGCACACAATCGGGTACTATTTGTATCAAAATGTGAGCCGGGCAGGAAGCAGCGAGAACAGCTCCCCATGGCCCGGTTAGGTCCCCAGGGAGTGGGGCCAGGGGAGCCTGTGCAGACAAACTCTGCTGGGCGTTAGACGGGGAAGGGCAGGAGACTCACCTGTGTCGGGGTCACATGTGCCATGCTGGTTACAGGTGCAGGGGACACAGCTGGCATAGGGCCCGCCTTGTGGAGTCTCTCTCTTGTACCCCGGAGCACAGGATTCACAGAACTGGCCCAGGTACCCCTGGGGACACGAGCAGGTCTCCACCCAGGAGGCCGCAGGGAGGGGCCCGTGCTGGGGCTGGGCTGACGGGAGCCGGACCTCGGTCAGGAACACGGGGCCTGCAGAGGGAAGGGAGGGGGATCCGAATACACTCCTCCCCGCTCCACCCAACTCCCTAAAGCTTTGTTGATCACAGCCACCACAGGCCAGGCACACAAAGATGGTAGTGTTAGCAGACACTCATGAAAGAAAAGAGAAGAGAAGAGAAGAGAAGAGAAGAGAAGAGAAGAGAAGAGAAGAGAAGTTATTTCTTTGAAAGTCAGACTCACGGAAAGAGATTGCCCATCCACTGATCCCCTCCCCGAATGAATGCAACAGAGCCAGGCTGGCCAGGCTGAAACCAGGAGCCAGGAGCCCCATCTTGGTCTCTCACATGGTGCAGTGGCCTGAGCACCTGAGCCATCCTTCACTGTTTTCCCACTTCATTAGGCAGGAGCTGAACTGGAAGTAGAGCAGTTGGGACAGGAACCAGCACTGGCACGTCAGTGCTGCAGGTGGAGCTTTATCAGCTATGCCACAGCTGCAAGCTCCAATTGTGGCAGTGCAGGGGTGGAGGGAAACCAGTGCCATGGCACGTCTGGTTAATCTTCTACCTTAAGAGCCAGCATCCTACATGGGTACCAGTTCATGTCCTGGCTACTCCACGTCTAATCCAGCTCCCTGCTTCTTTCCTGGGTAAACAGCACAAGATGGTCAGAGTCCTTGGGATCCTGCACCCACGCGGGAGACCTGAAGGAGGCCCTGGCTCCTGGCTTCAGACCAGTGCAGTTCTGGCCGTTGCGGCCCCTTGAGAAGTGACTCAGCACGTGGATGATTCTTCCGTGTCTCCTGTCTGTACATCTGCCTTTACAATAGAAATCAGTAACTCTAAGAAGTAATCAAAGGGCCGTGCTGTTAAGCCGTAGCCCGTAACGCGGGCATTCCGGACAGGCAATGGTTCAAGTTCTGGCTGCACCACTGCAACCCAGCTCCCTGCTAACAGTGCAACCGGGAAATGGGGAGGGCGGCCATGACCTCGGGCCCCGCGAGCGCGTGGCGGAGCCGGAGGAAGTCCCCGCCTCTGTTCCAGGCTGACGCAGCTCTGGCTGTTGCGGGAAGTGGATCAGCACCTGGTAGACCTCTCCTCTGTAACTTCCTCTCTGTAGCTGCTCTTTAAGTAAGTAAGCCTTTATTTTAAAAGTTCATTTTGGTGGGAAAGAAAAACACAGAAATACGGGAGACTTCAAAAAATTGATGAAAACTGTATTTTGTAAAACACTTCAAAAGGGACTTGAAAATGGTTTTGCACTCAAAAAAGTAATCTTTAAATTCTGTTTTGTTGGGACCTTTGCCTTATATTTTTACATATGTGTATAGTGGATTCCAGCTGCGCTGACTATTGCACCAGGAGCCCAGCCAGCCCAGCCCAGCCCAGCCAGCCCAGCCCAGCCCAGCCCAGCCCGGCCAGTCCAGCCCAGCTCAGCCCAGCCCAGCCCGCCCAGCCCAGCCCACCCAGCCCAGCGCTGCCCAGCCAGCCCAGCCCGGCCAGTCCAGCCCAGCTCAGCCCTGCCCAGCCCAGCTCCAGCCCAGCCAGCCCAGCCCAGCCCAGCCCAGCCCAGCCCAGCCCAGCTCAGCCCAGCCTGCCCAGCCCAGCCCAGCCCAGCTCCAACCCAGCCCGGCCAGTCCAGCCCAGCTCAGCCCTGCCCTGCCCAGCCCAGCTCAGCCCAGCCCGGCCAGCCCAGCCCGGCAAGCCCAGCCCAGCACAGCCCAGCCCGGCCAGCCCAGCCCAGCACAGCCCAGCCCAGCCCAGCTCAGCCCAGCCCGGCCCAGCTCCAGCCCAGCCTGTCCAGCTCAGCTCAGCCCAGCCCAGCTCCAGCCCAGCCTGTCCAGCCCAGCCCGCCCAGCCCAGCTCAGCTCAGCCCAGCCCAGCCCGCCTAGCCCAGCCCAGCTCAGCCCAGCCCGGCCCAGCCCAGCCTGGCCCAGGAGTTTCCAGCTGGAGGCACACGCAGCCATGACTGACCAGGGAGTGCGGGGCTCGGCGTGGCCACGTCCATGCAGACACGCAGGGCGGTGAGGTTGGCCAGGAGCCGCTGGAAGTGGAAGGCGGCCAGCGGAGGCCCCTCATCTTCTGAGGTCTCCTGCAGCCTGCATGGAGGGAGGCGATGTGAGAGAACTGTGACAGAATGGCAGTGCCAGAGGCCAGCTGGCGCACAGCTGCCGGGCCACAGAGGCTCTGCATGCGCCCGTCCTCGGACACCCGCACACTAACCCCCTTGCCCAGGATGGGGACGGAGTGGTCACTCACAGGAAGCTGAGCTGGGCCTCCCTCAGGGAGCTGGACAGGTGAGAGCGCCTCAGGGACACGGCCAGGCCCGCCCCTTCCAGCCTCAGGTGCAGCGGCGGTGGGGTGCCCCCCGGGGGGGCGTGGAAGGTGAGCGTGAGGGGCTGCCCGTAGCTGAGCCGTTGGTCGCCCAGGAACGGCTCTGTGGAGAACAGAAAGCCAGTCCAGGCCTCACACACTTCTGATTGGCAGTTAGATGTGCAAGCCAGCAGCACCAGGAGCACATGGCCGTGGCCTGTCCCTACCCTGCCGCACCCATCCTGGCATCCCTACAGCTGGGTTTTCCCAGCGACATTTGCCAGGACAACCGGGTCCATTCACAGTGGGGACAAACACCTGGTGTGTGACCTCGGGGCCTTGCTGCCCATACATAGTGAAACTTTGTCTCATGTGCAAAACGACTGCCTAGGAACTGGCACAGTGGCATAGTAGCCTAGTCCTCTGCCTGCAGTACCAGCATCCCACATAAACGCCATTTCGTGTCCCCGCAGCTCCACTTCTGATCCAGCTCCCTGCTAAAGCACCCGGGAAAGAGCGGAGGACGGCCCAAGTGCTTGGGTCCCTGCACCCACATGGATGACCTGATTGGAGCTCCTGGCTCCTGCCTTTGGCTCAGTCCAGCTTTGGCCACAGCCAGTAGGTCGAAGCACTCTATTTCTACATCTCCGTATTAATAAATAAAAATTTACATGTGTTATAATTGCATAAAATTACCTGCAGGCTAGGCTTATGAGGAACCTAGGAAATACAGCTGAATTCCCTGTTCACACTTAGATTTTATCCCCAAGATATCACATGTGTGCGAATAATTCCAAAATCTAGAGAAATTCAACATTCCAAACACCTCTGGCCCCAGCTGTCTGGGTAAGGCAGGCGGGTCTGTGTCAGCTGACTGCTCAGGCCGGAAGCCAGGCCTGGGAGCAGAGGCAGCAAGCGGCCCCCAGCATCCGGCTTGTGGCCGGGGTAGCCAAGGTGCGCAGACGGCGGGGAAGAGCAGCCACGCTTGCTTGGTGCGGTATCCCACCGCCGTGCCAAGAACAAGGCGCGTGCTTGTCTGTGAGCTGGGAAAGCAGCGTGTCATTTCGGCCATTCCCTCCTGTGGGAGCAGAAAGGCTCCGATACATGCCTTGGGAGAAAAATGCAAGGCAGAGGCCACACTGACAGTTCAAAATCTAAATTTTTCCCCACCTAGAGCCCCATAACCAGCTGGGGGAAGGCGGGAGAAAGAAAAGCTGTATTTCAGCATGCGCGTAGGCCCTCGACCCAGGCTCCACGTCTTCACCCTGCTGTGGCTCCTCAGCTTCGGCCCCACCCGGCCACGGCAGTGCCTGCACGCTGGGGAGCCAGGGGACCTGCTCACCTGTGCGCTCACACCCCCCAGCTGGCTGCCCCACCCTGCAGCACAAGGATGCCCCAGAAGTCCTGGACCTCCAGCGGCTCTGAGGGGCTATCCCCCAGGAGCCCAGGCAGCCCCCTGCTCAGCCCCTGCTCAGCCCCTGCTCCCCTGGCTCCCTCCCCAGAGCCCTGCGCTTCCTGGCAGCAGTCTGCAAACTCCAAGTCAGTGGTACACATCACTCTAGCCCAAGAATCCATCCCCGAGCCTCCCCCACCCTGAGTCCTCAAGATCCTGACCCCCAACACACGCACACAGGACACCCATGTCAGTCACCAAGGGGCGGCAGGTGGCAATGTGCCTGCAGCCAGTCCCTCCCCTCCGTGCACCGACCCCGGGGCCTGCAGGTACCTGGTGCTTCGAGCACAACCTCTTCTTCCAGGCTCAGGAGGATCCCACTCGGACTCCACGGTAGGGGTCGTGCCGGGCCTCCTGCACGTCTGCTCCGCCAGCCCCCAGCCCCTGCTTGGACAAGCACAGAGAGGTGGCCCTGTCAGCAGGGGGCCTCAGAAGGGGGGCCAAGCAGGGAGCCCCACTCCACGCTCAGCTCTGTCAGTCGGTGGGGCCGCCTGCCCCGCGTGAGGCCGGAGCGCCCCAGTATTGGCCAGGGTGGGACTTGGCGCTATCGGGGTGGTTTCTGAGCCACTTTTTTTTTTTAAATCCTGACAATGTCACAAGTTCGCAACAGTGGCTTATAAATTTGGTCAACAGCCATCCATCTGTATAAACAACCCAGGAAACCAGCACACTTTGGGGGTCACTGGAAGCTCCCAAAAGTGTAAAGGGGTCGAGCCACTGACTAGAAGGCTTGAGCACCGGGGTGGAGGGCAATGGCAGATAAGAGAGATGACATCGCGTAAAGGAGGTGACGTCACTGAGCTGCCAAGCCCAGGGTTCGGCCCAAAGTGAGCAGGCCATCACAAGACCAGGACCTGCACCTGCCGCCGCCCCCGAGTCCCGGTGCAGCCCACACGCGCCCACCCCGCATTCTGAGCGACGTCCAGCAGAGGGCGCGCCGTCCCACGTCTACCACTGCAGGCAGCTCCGACTATCCATGCCCATGCCTGTGCACTACCCGGTAGGAGTAGCCCTGCCCCTGGGGAGGCGGGGGAGCCTCTCACCCTGGCGGAAGTCAGACAGGATGTGGTGCACCTGGAACCCAGCGGCGGCCGTACACACCTTGGAGTGGCCGTAGCAGAAGCAGCTGCTGCAGCCGGCGGGGTTGTGGGGCTGCAGGTTGAATGTGCCCGGGCGGCACCTGTAGGGGAGGTAGGGCAGGAGTGTGGTGGCCTAGGGAGCCACCGGAAGTGCAGACACAGAGAGCGCCTGGGGCCCCATGGGACAGTTGTCATTGCAAGAGATAAAATGAGAAGCTGTGGGCAGCACCAAACTGCAGGCCACACCAGGAGCTCCACTCTCGGGGCCAGCACAACGGCTCAACTCACTAATCCTCCGCCTCCAAGGGCAGCACCCCATACGGATGCTGGTCCATGTCCCAGCTGCTCCACATCCCATCCAGCTCCCTGCCTGTGGCCTGGGAAAGCAGTCGAGGATGGCCCACAGTCTTGGGACCCAGCACCCACATGGGAGACCTGGAAGAAGCCTGTGGCTCCTGGCTTCGGATCAGGTCAGCTCTGGCCATTGCAGCCACTTGGGGAGTAAACCAGCACATGCAAGACCCTTCTCTCTGTATCTCCTGTTCTCTATAAATCTGACTTTCCAATAAAAATAAGTACATCTTGAAAAAAGAAACTCGGCTCTCAGCCCACAGGGGTTGGCCATGTCCTGTCCCTATGTCCCCTTTTCTAATGCTTGTCTCACCAAATTTACCTTCCTAGTCGAGGCGCTCTTGACACGCCCACAAACACGTGAGGAAATGGCCCTGTTGGGGCGGGCACCTGTGTTCAAATGCTGAGGCACCAGAGGCCGTGGGAGGTGCTGTGGGCATCCCGCCTCCGCTCAAGGTCAGGACAGCAGCCACCCCACCAGCCCAGCCGCACTCCTCCACGCTGGCCCCATCTGTTTACTTACGTTCCAGGGTCACGGTTCAATCCCATGGCCCTGCACTTGGCCGTTCCGGCCCGGGAGGGAGGGGGCTCAGCCAAGTCAGTTCCCTGTCCTTGGGACGCCGTTCCCGGCTGTTTGTCTTGTTTGTGAGCGGTTTCTGGCTCTACAAGATGTCCCCTGCCCTGCCCCGGAAACGACCCATTCCCCCAGCAGCCGGGGTGGACTGGGACGACCCAGTCGAAGAGTCTGGCTTGCAAAAAGCCCGGCGGCCCCAGCTGGAAGTTCTCCCAGAGCCCAAGGGGGCAAACTGAGACTGGGCAGCCCAGTCCTGTCCAGGCACCTGGGTGGACACACATCCCCAACTGCACTCGGGATGAGAGACTGGGCAGGGATGAGGCCAAGGGACCAACCGCATGGGTGGTGCAGCTGCAAGGCCAAGAGGACACAGTGCAGACCCAAAGCAGGGAACCCCAGGCTGCCTGCCAGGCCCCCAGCTGGAGCCCCAAGGCCACTGAGCACGAGGAAGCCAGCCGGCCTGGGGGAGTCTCTCGGTCATGCCCCATTTGTGCCAGGACAGGAATGTAAGCAGCTCAACTAGCAGACTCTTCCATTGGCAAGGCGTCCACAAGGACGCTGAGGTCACAGTAAGGCTGGGCGGGGTCCCAGAACCCCAGGAGCGATGGGAAGGTTGTAACAGAGCTCCATTAGTGATTATCTGCCCTAGGTGTGAGCGATGGGAGGTGACGGTGCTCCATTGGGGATGTCTGAGCTGAGATGTGGCTCCACAGTCTCCAGGGAGGACTCGGGGGGAGGCAACTGTCTCCCCTAAACCCCCACCCTGAGTCCATAGTCTTGGTCCCTGGTCACCCCTAGCCAGCTTCCCTCCTGTCAGCTCACCCACCTGTCACACAGGTGGCCTTCCACATTCTCTTTGCAAGGGCATCGCCCACTGTGGGGGTCACAAGTGCCCAGGCTGCCGGCGGCATGGCAGGTGCAGGGTCTGTGGAGAGACGGGTGCGGGAAAGAAACAAACGACACCCCGGGGGCATCCGGGCTGTACTGGCTCTCTCCTCTTGCTGCGCGCAATTCGGTCCGTGCCCACGCTGGCATCCTTGTGTGCCCTACCTGCAGCCTCCCTCACTGAGCGAGTGGAACCCTGGCAGACAGCGATCGCACTTCCAGCCCGTCACACTGGGCCTGCAGGCACAGGTGCCCTCCTGGTCACACTGCAGGTGCAGGGAGCCTGGGGGAGGCAAGGCACGGGGCGGGAGTGGTGTGTGTGTGGGAGAGGGTGTGTGTGGAGGCAGGGCTGGCATGGGGCCAAGGGACCTGCTCACCTGCTGGGTGGCAGTCGCAGGGCTGGCATAGTGCCCGTGGGTCCCAGCGGTAGAAGTTGTCCCGGCAGCGTTCGCAGTGGGGCCCAGCCGTGTGGTCACGGCAGTGGTGACAGCGCCCACCGTGGCCGGTGCTGCGGAAAAGCTCCAGGTCGAAAGTGCAGTCCTCAGAGCGGCCGCTGCAGTTGCAGGCTGCGGGCAGGAGGTGGGGCCGGTGTGAAAGGGGCCTCCCTGTGCTGGACCAGCAGGCAGCTCGGGGAAGGGCTGGGCCATGGTCTGAGGTGGAACTCAGGCCCAGCTTGATCAAGGATACGGAAACCAACAAGCTGCTTTACCAAGATAGGTCATTCTGGAGCAGAGGTGCCCTGTGAAGACTCAGAGAGTCTGAGCAGTCATGGGGGGGTGGGTGTGCGGTGGGCAGGTGTGGTAGCCAGGGGCAGCTATGGAGCCAGTCGCCAGCCGAACTGGGGTCATGCCCTGGTTCTCAGGGGCAGAGAAGGGGAGAGGGGAGACAGGTGGATTTGCACCAGGGCTGCAGGTGGGGGGCCGGGAAGAGGGCGCCCAGGTGCCCAGGGTAGAAGTGACCGGGCCAGGACCGACATCCCACTGTGCAGGCACACACGGGTCCCACTCGCAGGTGGAACAGGGCACTAGAGGGCTGCCTGGGCTTAGCAGGAGAGCATGTGCTAAGGCCCTGCTTCGGGGCCGCCGATCAGGACGCAGGGGTGTAACCATGCGGCGGGAGAAGCCGTCTGGCCTCCTGTGTCCCTTCCACAGGACACACAAGCCACTGTGCTTCACTGCCTAGCAAAGACTCGTGGGCAGGGGCGGCCAGGGACGGGGAGAGGGGGAGGCAGGCCAGCCGTGGGTCCCGGGACAGACGGTGCTTTGGCTCGCAGAGACGCTGTCCCCTCCCCTCCCTGCCCTGCCCTAGCGGCCCAGGTCCAAGAAGACAGCAAACCCAAGAGGTGCCCGGGGGCCATGCCTGCACAGCAGCCCGCGTGTGAAGTCACCGTTCCCACCAACTATGGCAGTGCCAGCCAGACCTGGCACCAGGCGATGGCGGCTGGGTGTGGGTGCCTGACACAAGACGGATGACTGCCTGGAGAGACCTGGGGCAGCTGGAACAACTGCCAGGAGGAGTGGGGACAGCAGGGGACCCCACCCCCGTCTACCCCCACAGGAGGAATGGTGGCCTCAGCTCCACTGGGGAGCTGGGGTTGGGCAATTGCGGCCACATCATACAGGGCCTACGACATCAAAGGGCTGGGAGAAGGGGGCAGGGGACTCATGGGACAGGCAGGGGCAGGTCACCCCCCACCACGGACATGGAGCAGCCTGGCTTTCATTAGCAGCTGGGGTAAGAAAACAAAGGCAGACGTGGTATGTGTGTGCGGGGGGTGGGTGCGCCCTGGTCCTCCCACAGTGGCGCCTTGCTGGGTAGACTTAGGCTGGGGAGTGGTTTTGGGAGGAATTGGGGAAGCATGTCCCACCAGGAGCAGCCCCCACCAGCCAGGCATCGGTCAGGGGTCTATTTGCCAGGCCACTCACGCAGACACTCGTGGGCGGCCTCAGCCGTGCCCCGGGCCCACGGGCGGTCCTGGAAGAAGGGCAGGCAGCGCTCGCAGTCGGGGCCGGTTGTGTTGTGCTGGCAGTGGCACACCAGCTGGCCAGAGGCGTCAGGGCCGCACGAACTGGCGTGCCCGTTGCATTTGCACCTGGCAAGGTAACATGGAGGATGCTCACGACCAGGCAGGCAGCCCCATGTCGGGTGTGAGCCCCAAGGCCCCCACTCATCAACAGGCTCACAACGAGCACCTGCTATGACCTACCACGGGAGGCTCCTGCCTCTTAACATGGACATGATTATCCCACGAAGGAGGAACTGAGCCTGGAGAGGCTCCTAATACCCAACAAGGGCATCCCTTAGAGGCGCCAGTTCAAGTCCTGGCTGCTCCAATTCTGACCCAGCTCCCTGCTAACGCACCTGGGAAAGCAGCAGAGGGCGGCCAAGCACCTGGGCCCATGCACCCACATGGCAGACCCAGAGGAACCTCCAGGCTCCTGGCTTTGGATCAGCCCAGCTCCACTGTTGCGGCCATTTGGGGAGTGAACCAGCAGATGGAAGATCTTTCTGTCTCACCTTCTCTCTAACTCTGTCTTTCAAATAAAGATAAATAACATTCAAAAGGATCCGAGGCTGGTCACCACAGCCCCCATGGGGGCCAGCTTAATGACCTACCCTAAATCCCAACCCAGTTTGTGTCTTCAACAGCAGCCCCAGCTCACATCCCCACACCTGCATTAGAACAGGAGTCAGGCAGACAAGCATGGGCACAGAGGCACGGCGGGCGGCTACGCTGTGAGTCCGGCAGGGCCTGCCCCACGTGGCCATCACCTCTTCCCCATACCCCAAATGACCAGATGGAAGCTGCTTAGGGGACAGTGGCCGCGGCTTCCAGCTCCGGGCCTTGCCCTGGACCCAGCAAGGGGCTTGCTTCTTCTTGCGTGAGCCTCACCAGGGAGGCGGGAGGGTCGCGGTCACCAGGGAACCAGGGGCCAGAGCATGGACAGACACCGCCTCCCCAGTTCTGGGAGGGATGACACACACAGCACCTGGTGTGAAAGGCTCCAACTAGGAGAAGGCAAGCAAGGACACGAGCCACCTGTGCGCACCCAAGGACGGCCTCCCCAGCCAGCTGCTGCCGGCGGGTGGCCCAGCTCTGGCAGCCGGGGCCCAGAGGTCTGACGGTCAAGGCGTTGGAGCTCACGGTCTCTGCCATCCTCACAAGACCTTGTGTGGTTTGAGCTGACACACGTGTGCATGTGTGTGTCCGGGGGGGGGGCGGATTCCTCACCAATACACTCCATCAGGCAACCCAAGTGCAGACATGGGGGCCCCAGCGCCTCCTGACACAGCCAGGTGTCCCCCATCCTCGGAAGCTCAGCAGCTGAGTCTCATCCTGCCCCCCAAGTGTGCTGCTTCCTGGACCTTGGCAGCTTTCCCACCCTGCTCCGGCCCAAGCTCCGGCCGCCCGCCCGCCCCAGGCTGTCCTGTCGGGGCCCAGGTCCCTAACACCAACTTCCTCCCCACGGGGCAGGCTGGAGTGTGGCAAACCCTGGGCCTCCCCTGAGTTTCCCACCAACAGACCATGTGATGGATCCTCAAGGCTCCACACCCCCCACTCTCCCCCACCTTTCTGCTGACCACTGTCCCCCAACGTACTCCACACCGGAACGCTCCCCTCCCCTCTGGCCTAGCATGCCCTTGCCTCCCTGCCGTTCACAGATGCCTCTCCTCAACGCCTGTTTCCCTCCCACCCTCTGAGATGCGGAGTGCAGCGGGATGGGGGCAAGCACAGGGGAGCAGGGGAGGGGTCCAGCTCCCTCCCTTGCCCTGGGGTTCCTCATCGCCTCCCCCCACCGCACCTACCTGCCGCCCACGGAGAAGTCAGACACGGCATAATAGTAGGATTGGAGCACTTTGGGGTCCTTGAAGATGTCGTCCCCAAACGTGTTGAGACGGTCTAGGGAGATGAGGAGCTCCATGCTGGTGACCCACTCCTGGGGCGGGCAGACAGCAGGGCGCACTCCTGAGCCTCAGCCAGGCCCGGGCCAGGCAAGCTCTGAGAGGCTGCAGAAAGTGGGAGCCCATGGCGGAGGCCTCGGGCTTGCATGAGCTAAGTCAAGCCCCTTTAGGCACCTCTAGCCGCAGGCCCCAACGGGGGGCAGGGACTCAAGGCTGTGTCCCATGAATTGTTGCTGGGGCAGGGCCGCTCCTGGAGCCCGAGCCAGGGGTGTGGGCAATCCACGTGAGGGCTTCTGACATTTCCATCCAGCTGCTGTTACAATCAGAGGCGGATTTGGCTGAATATTAATCAGCGTTTTAATTCAGCTGGGGAGCCCCCCAGCTTAGCAATCAAGATGGAAAAACGAGAACCTGGCCACTTGCCTTCCTGCCCCAGCGTGACTCAGGACAGCTGGCCCGTCCTGTCCTGGGCACCCATGGCCTCCACCTGAGAATGTTCCAGCTGGGGGTACAGGGACCTGATGTCAGCAGACCCAAGGCTGCCCAGAGGCGGCTACGCCGGTGCAGCTAGGTCACCCCACGCATTGGGGCTGGTCTTGCAACCCTGGTGACAGATCAAACAGACGGAGGAGCTTCCTGGTGGTAGAGCTGGGCTGAGGGGTCTTTCCAACCCCCAGGTCAAGGCCGGCCTGCCTGCCTGAATTTTCCCACCCAACCCTCATCACACCAGAGCTGTGACTTCCAGCTCTGACCTGTCCATCAGTCCACCAAACCACTGGCCATGAAGGGGCAGGGTCACATGAAGGGGGATGGGATTGGGAGGGGACAGGACAGGACCCCTCTGCCCCATGCTAGGGGGCTCCCTTGACGCCTTAAAGATCATTTGAGGGCAAGCAGAGGCCTTGATGTTTTATGAGCAACAGGCTGTTGCAACTTGTAGTGGTTCTAGCCAAAACCACAAGTGGACTCGGAGATGGCCCTGGCAGACGCCAGGCAGTGGCGGCTCCAGCCCTGCAGGCATGGCCGGCTCGTCCTACGCTCCCCTGCGACCTTGCCCCAGACCCCCTCGCCCCCAGCTCATGGACACAGCTTTTGTTCCGCCCACCACACGGGCTGCCGCCTCTGGGATGTCCACTGGGGGGGACGGGGCGCCTGCCTTCCTGGGTCGTCTTCCAGTCTTGGCTCCTGCAGGGAATAGCTGCTGCCTCGTGTACAATGCCCGGGACACGGGGGCAATGGGTGAAAGCTGGCTGCTGCCCGAGGCTCTCCCAGTGTCCTGCCTCCTGTGCGTGCCCCAGGTGTGTGTGTCGGGGAGGTGGGACTTGCAGCCTACACGGCTCAGGGCCCCAAGAAGTCCTGATTCCAAACCAAATCCCACTGATGACATGGGATGTTTTACAAGGTGCAGGCAGGGACCGGTATCCTGACAGAGAGGCTGGACCCTTGCTCTTGGCTCTAGGAAAGCGACCCTGACAGCTGTGGACCAGCTGACCTGAGCAGCGTCCCCCCATCAGACCACACCAAAACACCTCTGTGGACGCTGTGACTTCTGGCAGGAACCTTGGGCCATGAGGCGTCAGCTGGACCAGCCACACCTGCACAGCCAGCCTCCCACGGAGGCCCCAGATGTCCAGGTTTAGGGCGTCCCCGCCGGCAGTGACATGTCATTTGTGGTCAGTATAGTCCACAGGACCCCACGGAGGCTGCAGGGGGAGGACCCATCCCAGGCACCGCTGCCCCTGGGCCGTCATTGGCATCCTTCCCACCTGACCTTCAGAACTAGAGGGACCTAGTCCAGACATGACTGGATAGAGCCTTGGCTGTGACCATGACGGCCCCGGATCGGAGCAGGAACACGCAGTGTGTACGCCCGGCTCCGACTGCTGCACGTCCATTCGGCCCACCCCAGAGCTGACGCCCTGTGAGGCAGACACCAGCACACGTGGCCACGTCAACCCAGATGTATGACATGGAATGGAACTGCGCATTCGGCCCGCAGGCTCCCGCCTGTGACGAGGCGGCCAAGAGCCTGCCCATACTGCTCAGGGATTGACACTGCCCCGCACACGGAACCTCCGGAAATCCTGGGCTTGCCGCTCCTAGCAGCCTTGGAAACGCATGGGGCAGGCCCTGCTGACAGCTCCAAGGAGGAGATGCCCGTCCCCACAGCAGACAGTTCCAGAGAATTCCAGCTGGGAGTCTGCACCCCAGGGGCTCCCATGCACACCCCTGCAAAGTCCCTTTCCCACCCTGGGCCTCAATTCCCCACCTGAGTGAGGCAAGGGCCAGAGCCCACCCCAGCTCCACCCACCTAGCTCCACCCTGCCCAGCACCCACCCCCAACCCGCCCCTCCCATCTGCAGCCCAGTGTGCCACCCCCTCCACCCCTCCCCACTCTCCCACCTGTAGCCCCGGGCTCTCCTCGAAGTTGTAGGCGCTGGGCCGGCCCTCCAGGGTGGAGAATGCTACATTGCCGCCACTCAGCGGGGAGATGTCGCTGAACTCAGAGGTGCAGAAGGCCACACGCTCGTCCTGGCCCGGCCGCAGGTAGTGGCCCTCGGGCCGGCCGTAGGTCTTGAGGCAGGAGGCGCTATAGTACTGGTACGGCTCCCAGGGGCCGCCGGCACGGCTGCGCTTGTAGATGGCGAAGCTCTCTGGTCGGCTGGTGTGGAACTTGAGCCGCACGTAGGTGATCTCATAGGCCTTGCCTGCGGCCGTGAGAGGGGGACCCATTTCACAGCAGGGAAAGGAAAGGTGGAACCCCAGCTGGGGGAGCAGACAGCTACACTGCACAGCCATTCCTGTGGCATCGGAAGAGCCAGCAAATGGCCCGTGCTGGTAAGGAGGCCGAGAGGCCCTGCTGGTGAGACCCACCCAGTGTGCTCACAGGGGGCGAGGGGAGAGCAGGTGGCCGTGCTGCACAAAGCTAGGACAGAGTACACACTTCTGCCGCTGGGGTCCTCAGGAAGGAGCTCCCTTCCCATCCAGCTCCCTGCTAAGGCGCCAGGGAAAGCAGAGATGGTCCAAGTTCCTGGATCCCTGCACCCCTATGGGAGACTCAGAAGAAGCTTCTGGCTCTTGGCTTCAACCTGGCCCAGCTCTGGCTATTGTGGCCATTTGGGGTGTGAACCAGCGGGTGGAAGCTCTCTCTGTGTGTCAGTTATTCCTTTCAAACAAATCTTAAAGAGGCTGGGGAAGGAGTGTGGTGCTTGGTATAGCCTGGGAAGAGGAAGAACATTCTGGAGAGAGCCACGGCGGGGTTGCACACGTGTGCCTGCCTGAGTGCCACCCCCACGCTTACCCATGGCGGTGATGGCCAGGTGTCTGTGCCCGGGAAAAGATGGGCTGGGAGTAGGGGGTGCTGTCCTTTTGGAAAAGGAAGCCAGCGACATGGATGGATGAGCCGCGAGAACATTCCAGGCTTAGCCAAGAAACCCCACTTCCACACGGGCCCCCCACCAGGACAGGGGGGACCACCTGGGCCAGCTAAGGGGACTGCAGGGCGGAGGACGTGGGAGGGCAGGCCCACAGTGCCAGGAGCCACGCACAGCACAGAAGCGGGAGTGAAAACGCCGAGCGAGAAGCGAGAGCAGAGAAGGCACGTGCGGCGCCATCCGACACGGTGGGCAGCAAGGGACGGCTGTGTGTTGCCCAGCCACCTGCTGCGCCCACAACTTGGCGGGCCTTTCCCTCCTCTCCTGGTTTTTCAACATTTTTCCAATCTTCTCCCAGGAAGCGTGTTCTAATTTAAAAGCCAAGGAAAACACGTTTTGACAAAAAAAAAAAGTCTCCAAAGCCATTGCCTTGTTTTAAGATGACTCAACCTTGGCCCTGCCACACCTATTGCCTTGCAAGAAAGGCACATGCAACAGCAGAGGGGGCTGGGGGTGGCCGGAGGGGTCGGCTCTGGGATTCAGGGGACTCTTGGGGGCCTCGCCACCAGGTTCAGGTTCAATGCCCACTGGGGAGGAGGAGGAGGAAGCCAGATAAATCCTTCGCCGTCATTATGTACCAGTGAGAGCCGAGGCAGGCCAGCAAGTCGGGCGTCTCGGTTTGGTGACAACAGCCAGCATTTAGTGAGCATCTACTGCATGCCAGGCACCCTGCCTTTTTACACACAGGGCACCCCAAAGGCTCCATCGCCGTGGACAATGAAAGGACTCAGCTACAATAACAGCTGGGTCCCTTCTTGACCGTGCGCCCCCAAAGTGGCTGTCAAGAATGAGGCCACTCCCGCCTAGATCCCCAACAAGACGGGACTGGTGCCCCCAGGGATGGGGTCCCAGGGTCCCAGCCTCCACCTGCCGGCTGCTGCAGCACAGCTGAGGCCCACCCAGGCCACGCGTGGGGAGTGCCAAGCTGTAGGCTCCGAGCAGCTGGACCTTAAAGAATGACTTGGGGACAGACATAAATCCAGCCCGGCCCACATCCGGCACTAACCCAGCACAATGCGCCCGGAATGAACGGCTTATTTTGGGAAAATGGAAACAAAGCAAAGTCCTTTAATTGGAGCCATCTGGGGATCAGGGGCTTGGGCGGCGGAGGGGCAAGGGGCAGGGCGGGGAACTGAGCTGGGAATGCGTGGGCGAGCCTACCCTGCCCTCGGCAGGGACAACTGCTCCCAGCCCCTGGAGGCTGGTCCCTGGCTCCCCTGGTCTGGCCACCATGAGTGTCTGTCGTCCCTCTCCCAGCCCAGGCTTCTTGGCAATTCTGTACACAGCGAATTCCTGCCAGGAGCCGGGCTTGAGCTGAACCAACACAGCTCTCCTGTTGCTGGCATGCATTTGAGCTGCCAGTGTGTGAGACAGTCCCGTTGTCTACAGGCCGACCCGGAAAGAACAGAGCGACCCCATCCGACCGGTCACCCACTGCCTAGGGCCTTGGGAGGTCACAGGGACCAGAGATTATGGGATGGAGGAGGGGCTGGGACAGGGAGGGGAGAGGGAGAGCACAGGATGACGGCCCAAGTGCGCACTTAGCTCCCTGCCATTCGTGTGGAAGACCCAAAAGACTCTGATCTTGACCTAGCTACTTACAGATCTAAGCACGGATGGGATTCTCTCTCTCTCGGATGCTCCACCTTCCAAATAAATCCACCAGTCTTCACAAGGTCCAGAGAACGCATCACCTCATCGCGACCAGAGGTAACAAGGACACACACACGGGGGTGTGGCCACCACCACATCTGTCCAGGCTCTGTCCAACGCTGCCCCGTCTCGCCCCCCTCCTCTAGGCCGGCAAACTATTCCACTTTCTGTCTCTGCATCTGAGCACGGCAGAGAGTTCACACTTCACGTGGCAGTCACGCTGCCATGTCTGCCTCCCCTTGCCCACGAAGCCTGGCAGCCAGCACCACACGCCCTTCCTTTTCTGGGCAGTGTAGTATTCCACTTCCTCATGTCAGTAAGAACTTCTGGTCACTGCCTTTTGGCTGCATGGGTACAGCTGCCAGGCACACAGGTGCCCTCACCCTGGGACTCACAGGGAGAGTCCTGAATGTGCCCTGGGTGCCCAGAGATTACTGGGGTAGGAGACGGTGTGAGAGCAGAGCCAGTGGCATGGGAGAGAGGGAATTCTGGCAGGGGTACAGCCCGGGGTGAACAGCAGCTGGGCAGGGCCAGGGAGGCTGCCCCGCCATAAACATCATGACTTGGTCACGTGGGATGTATCTGTGAGAAGGAGCGTTGGTTCCCGGCACTGTGGCCTGGCCGACAGGGCAAGTGACTGGAATACCATGCCTCAATTTCCCTACTTCACAACCCCAGGGCTCCAGGAGCCCATGCTGAGGCAGGGAGCGCCCACAGCAGTGCTGGGCACAGCTCAGGGTATAGCTGCTGCTCTTACCTACCTAGCATTCCGGGCAGAGGGTCCTGGGCTGGGCTGAGGTGGAAGGCAGGTGGGTACGGGGGTAGGGGGGCGCGGCTGTGCAAACAGGTGTCCTGCACGCAGCCCAGACGGGGGCCGACGCAAACAAAGCCAGCCCCATGCAAGTGTGACCGCTCTGCAGAAACCAAGAGCAGGGGCCACAAGAACACACACAGGAGGGGCGAGAACGCAGGGCGGGCCGGCGTTCTCCAGGCGCGAGCCCTGGGCTCAGAGCATGGCTGAGACCCAGAGCCAGGCACAGTGTCAGCCCAGTGGTGGCCCGCAGAGGACAGGGCCCATCTGGGCTGAGGGGGAGGCAGATGGGCCCCAGACACTCCTTATCCCTAGGCTTAGGGTCGTCCCCATTCCTGCCACTCCTCGCTCTGTCCTGGGAGGCACAGAGAGGCGGCCAAGGCCACTTCCGTTGGAAGGGGAAGGGAAACAGGCTAAATGGGGTCATTCCTTGTACTCCTGACCTGCTAGGGACTGCGGGCGGTGGGGCATGTTTCAGGCAGAATTCTCGAGGAGAAGCAAGGGGGACACAGCCCCCAGCACCAAGCCTTCAGAAGCAAACATGAGTGCCCACTGGACACAATGGAGCTAGCCATCACGGTGCGAGGCGGGCCCGTCTCCCCTCCTGCATGAACAGACCACATCACCTCCTTCAAGTGTGGGCAGGGCCCCGAGAGGGTAAGGTGCCACCCGCTCTGCCATCTTGGGGCTTGTCTTGTTCCAGCTCCGCCCCATGGCCCACAAGCCTGGGCTCAGGGAGAACCAGGACATTTGGGGGGGGAAAGGAGGGCAGGAGCAGCCCTACCCTCACCCCCAGCTCCCTGTTCTGCTCATTGAATGGGGACCCAGGGTCCTCCTGTGGTTCTAGAACCTTCTCAGCAAACCAAAAGGGTGCAGACAGGAAGGAGCACCCACCCACCCCTGCCCAAAGCCACGCTGCAGTCCCAGGAACAAGGCTGCAAGTTGACGGTCCTGGACACTGAGGGACTCACAGTTCACTCCTTACGGATCCCATGGGACCAGGAGCCACCTCCACGTCTCAGCTTCCCTGCTGAGTCATCTTGCTGGACAAGGAGTTGGGGGTCTGTGGCTGGTGCCTCTCCCACACTCTCCAGCCACCCCGGGGCCCTGGGTGGCTGGGGGGAGCTACCAGACCTGCTGTGCCCTTTCATCCCAGACAGGAAGGCCCGGCCCAAGCTCTGGACCAGATGGCGGGAGCCACAGGGGCGCTGGGAAAGCAACGACCTCCAGCCCCGGCCCGGCAGCCGCGCCTCCTGCCCCTCCCACCGGCGGTGGGAAGGAGGGGGGAGGAGTGGGGGACAGTGCCCTCAGAACTGGCCCTGAGTGAAGACAGAGACCAAGAGACTCCCCACCTCGCTCGCCTGAGCCAGGGACCCCACAAGGAGCCCAGACCCCCCACAACGACACCGCCCAAGCCAGGGCTGTTCTTGCCTCCTAACCAGAGCCCAAGGTCTCGTGTCTGTCCCAACAGCGTGGCCTGCCCTCGGGGGCCGCTCAGCCCACACTAGGCTCCACTCAGCAGCACTGAGTACCCAGAGGGACCCTCACGGCGCCCGCTCTGGAACCACCCCGGGAGGTGCGGAGGGGGTCGTTGGCCCAGCGTGTGCTGCTGCTGGACCCAAGTCCAGAGCCCCTTGAGAAACGCCCACCCTGCTCTTCCTCTCAGAGCGGGCAGAGGGTGTGGGCAGGGCCAGGCAGGCATCACTCATTGGCTTGATTTTTGGCTTGCTGTGTGGGCATTTCAGAAACACCCCCGCCCCATGTGCCTGGTGCCACATAGTGGTCAAAACACCAGCCCTGGGAAAGCCATCCTGGGCTGCGGGAGTGTGCACGTGTGCATATTAGAGCATGCTGCATGCATAAATGCATACACACAGAAGCATACTATGAACATACATGAGTGAGTACGCACATACATGGGGGTGTGCACGCCTGGGGCCCCCTGGCCTCGGGTCGCTCGCTGTGACAAGATCAGGCCCACCTCCCTCTCAGGAGTCCAGGCGGTGTCCAGGGGGACCCCACAGCCCAAGCACAGGGCTGGCCCGCAGGCGGTGCCCAGGGGGACCCCACAGCCCAAGCACAGGGCTGGCCCGCAGGCGGCACCCAGCAAGTGGGAACCGGCCCCAAGCCACTCGGACGACCTGCCTCTCCCTGCCAAGTCTGTGCCGGGCTGGGCCCTGTTGCCCCCGAGGTCCACCAACACGGGACAGCCTTCGTCAGAGCAGTGCATCTGCCCCTCCTGGACGCCTCCCTTGTGGCCTGGGGGTCCTGCCAGCCCCTCGAGCCAGCTCTCTGGCCTCCTCTTCTCATACTGGTTTTCCCGCCCATCTGGAAGCCCCACTCTGTGGCTCAGACAGGCCAAGGGGTGGGGGCACAGAGCTTCCTGGGGCTCACTGTCCTGGCCCCCTTCTCAGGAGTGAACCCCCTTGTGGCTCGCAGAGCTCACACGGAGGACTTCATGCTCTGCCTGCTGATCCTCGGGGGTGCGCACACCCAGACTGCCACAGAAGATCCCTGACCTCAGTCTTTCCATCTGAAAAATGGGTGCAGTCCCATCATCCCTTATCCCAATTCCAGACCTCAGCCTCGTTGAGAAGGGTGACGTAGGGTGCATGTCCTATCTGGTGGGGACATCTGCGGTGGGTCTGGAGGCGCCCAATGGATTTGAATGAGCGTCCAGGACCCAAGTAGGTGCACCTTCACCCTCACAATGGCAGACTGCCTCGGAATGGCGTCAGGTTGGCTTGAGTAGCCAAAAAGAATACTTGGAGAGGGCAGCCATCTTGCTCCATGGTTGGATGCCCACCTTGTCCAGGGGCACACCTGGATGCCCGCCTCACCCAGGGGCACGCCGGGGCCCGTTTCCAGCTCGGATTTTGGATCCCAGCTCCCCGACCCTGCAGACTAGGAGGGGAGTGGTAGTGGGGTGAGTGGGCTCCTGCCAACCCTGTAAGGAGAGCCGGCGGGCACACACACCGCGTCCTTTGCCCTGGCCCTGGCCCAGCAGCTGCCCGCGGTTAGCAGATGGGGGCAAGCTGTCTTGATCGCCGATCACTCTCCTCGCTACTTCTCAAGTAAAAATTAAAAACAAAAACAAAACCGTCAAGTTGCCAAAGCTTTGCGAGATTTTACAGGCGGGGCTGGGAGGTGGGAAGCTGCGCTGGGCAGGGTGGCAAGGGGCCGGCAGCTGCCCAGGTCCCTGCAAGGCTGGGCAAGGCAGGGCAAGAGGGTGCGACTAGGTGGGGACGCCCAGTCCTCATTGCTGGAACTGCCAGGGCTCCTGGATAATGGGGGCAAGGCGGGACAGCCAGAGGCTTGGCCCACCGGCCCAGCTACCCACGGGCACCGCAGAACTGGCTCCTGCTGCCTACAGGGCCTCAGCGCTAGGCTCAACCCCTTGGCTCAGGTGCCCAAGCACACACTCGGGCTGCCCCTGCCCCTGTAGGCACAGCGAGGCCCTTACCAGCCCACCCACCCTCAGAACGCCCAGCACCCCTCCCTTCTTGCCTTCCCCAGTCCCGCAACAGCTCTGGGGAGCAGCACTTTCCTGCACACAAAGCCACAGCTCCCTGGGGCTTCCTGCCGGTCCCAGCCCCACGGGGTGCCCCCAGGTCTGTCCCAGCCCACCGCGGGAGACCGGGTCCGCAGCGCTTACCCAGGCGGAGCGTGATGTTCACGGAGGTGGGGTACTGCACGCCGAAGGCCATGGACGGGCTCTGCCACCAGGTGGTCTCGTCCTGGCTATGGAAGTCGTTGAGGAAGGAGGCGTTGTGGTGGCGCAGGGGGTCGGCGGCGTCGCAGCGCTGGCACTGCGTCCCCGCGCCCGGCACGCCCACGTGCGGGCAGAAGTCCTCGGGCGGGCTCCCGCACGTGTGCGAGGCCTCTGCGCGCCGGCCGAACGCCGCGTTCTCGAACACGGGCATGCAGCGCTGCGGCCGCCCGGCGCCGTCGTAGCACGCGCCCATGTCCGCGCCCGCCGCCCGCGGCGCCGCCAGCGCCAACGCCAACAGGAGCGCGGCCCCCGCCATGCCCGCAGCCCCTGCCATGCCCGCGGCCCCGATGGCCGTGCCCGCAGCCCCGATGGCCGTGCGCGCAGCCCCGATGGCCGTGCCCGCAGCCCCGATGGCCGTGCCCTCAACCCCGATGGCCGTGCGCGCCCAAGGCCGGCTCGGCTCGCCAGTGGACGCGGGCGTCGCTGGTCGGACCGCCTTCCCCCGGCGGGCGGGACCCGCAACGGCCGGGGAGGGACCGAGGGCGGGCGGCGGTCCCCCAGCGCCCAAGAGGCGCGTCCCTGGGCGCTCACCCCCACCTGGTGGACGTGCCCGGGAGTGCCCGGCCCTGCTGGGGGACCAGAGCCCCTTTAAGCCACACTTTCTTCATCCTTAAAAATGGGGTTAGGGCCCGGTGCGACGGCTCAACGCATAAATCCTCACCTTGCACGCCCGGGATCCCATATGGGCGCCAGTTCTAATCCCGGCAGCTCCACTTCCCATCCAGCTCCCTGCCTGTGGCCTGGGAAAGCAGTCGAGGACAGCCCAAAGCCTTGGGACCCTGCACCTGCATGGGAGACATAGAAGAAGCTCCTGGCTCCTGGCTTCAGATCTGCTCAGCTCTGGCTGTTGTGGCCATTTGGTGAGTGAACTAAACTCTCTCTTGCTCTCTCTGTAAATCTGCCTTTTCAATTAAAAAATAAATCTTTTAAAAATTTATTTTATTTTTATTGGAAAGTCAGATATACAGAGAAGAGGAGAGACAGAGAGGAAGATCTTCCATCCAATGATACACTCCCCAAGTGGCGACAACAGCCGGAGCTGTGCCCATCCGAAGCCAGGAGCCAAGAGCCTGGCAGGGAACTAGATGGGAAGCATGGCTGCCAGGTTTAGAACTGGAGCCCATATGGGATCCCAGAGCTGGCAAGGCGAGGACTTTAGCCGCTAGGCTATGGTGCCAGGCCCATATATATATATATATTTTGATGGGGTTGGTGGAGGCAGCCATTGGGTCTCATGGTGAACACAGGTTAGGATGACCAAAACCCACAGGCCTGGGTTTGAGTCCCCTCCCCCTAAGATGTATTTGCTTATTTGAAAGGCAGTTACAGAGAGAGAGAGAGAGAGATCTTCCAGGCATTGATTTACTCCCCAGGGCAGTACTAGGTAGCATCCAGGAGCCTGGCAGTCTGTCCCGATTTCCCACATGGGCACAGGCGCAGGGACCCAAGCCATTGTCTCCCACGCCTCAGGTGCCTGAGCAGGGAGCCACCTGGAAAGTGGAGCCTCTGGGACTCCCAGACAGGTGCTCCTATGCGGCCCCTTCTCGGCTCTCAAAGCAAAATTCGAACCTGACCACGGTGGCGAAGGTCCCGGTCTTGTCACAAACACTGGCTCGGGGGGCGGTCCCGTCCAAGCGGACACCCAGTGCAAGCCCCTCAACCCCCCGGAATCTCGCAGGAGAAAAGCCATGGACCCACATCAGCAGGGGCTAAGGCGAGGCAGCTGCTCCCAGGGAAACCCCGAGGAAAACGGCAAGAAGCTTCCCAACAGAGCCCCAACGGTTCTTCTGCGCTCTTCCCAAATTCTCAAGGGCTGACCCTCTGGCGAAGCCACAGTCAGGGAAACGTAGCACCCTCATCAGTGTTTACCCACGTATTTAAATGTGTTTAAATGTGGGGTTGTGGCGGCAGCCTAGTGGCTAGAGTCCTCGCCTTGCATGCGCCAGAACCCCATGCGGGCACTGTTTCTAATCCCAGCTGCTCCACTTCCCATCCAGCTCCCTTCCTGTGGCCTGGGAAGGCAACAGAGGACGGCCCAAAGCCTTGGGACCCTGCACCTGTGTGGGAGACCCGGAAGAAGCTCCTGGCTCCTGGCTTTGGATTGGCTCAGCTCTGGCCATTGTGGCTGCTTGAGAAGTCTGCCAGTGGATGGAGGATTTTTCTCTCTCTGTATCTCCTTCTCTCTGTAAATCTGAGTTTCCAACAAAAATACAAAATTTAAAAAATGTATTTGATTGTGACAAACAGCCTGGTTCTGGGAAGGACTGCAGGCAGTGCAGTGGGTCCCAGAGTTTCCAGAGTTAAATCGTGGTAAGAGTTCTACATGGAGATCATCACTGATATTTAATGTTATGTTGGAAGACAAGGAAAATTAAGACATACCTATTTCACAGGGCAGGCACAGTGGCGCACAGGCTGATCTTCGCTTGCGGCGCCAGTATCCCACATGGGCACTAGTTTGAGTCCCGGCTGCTCCACTTCGGATGCAGCTCCCTGCTAATGGCTGGGAAAGCAGCAGGGAGTGGCCCCAGTGCCTGGGTCCTACACCCGAGTGGGAGACCCAGAAGAAGCTCCAGCCTTGGCCATTGTGGCTAGCTGGGGGTGAATCGGAGGATGGAAAAATCTCTCTTTGTCTCCATGTTCCAAGTCTTTTAAGACGTTTAAAAAATATTTATTGTCATTGGAAGGCAGATTTACAGAGAGAAGGAGAGACAGAGAGAAATATCTCCCTTCTGCTGATTCACTCCCCTGATGGCACAACAGCCAGAACTGAGCAATAAGGAGAGAGCTGGATTGAAAACAGAGCAGCTGGGACTCGAACCGGCGCCCATCTGGGATCCTGGAACTTATAGGTGTAGGATTGGCCACTGTGCTTTTTAAACAAGAAGTTTTTACTTATTTATATGGAAAACATTTTCACTCCTCAGATGCTCGCATCCAGCAGAGCTGGGCCAGGATGAGGCCAGGGACTCCTCACTGCCTCCTGTGTGAAGGCCAGGAGCCAGGAGCTACGTTAGGGTCCCCTGCATGATGGACAGGGACCCAAGGACTTGAGGCATGGCCTGCTGTTCTCTGGGGTCAGCAGGAAGCCAGAATTCAAAGTGGAACCAGGACCCGAACCCCGGCCCTCGAGTATGGTGTCCCAAGTGGCGTTTTAATTCTTCAGCCAGACACCTGCCCCCTAATTTATTTTTAATCAGAAGAAAAGCTTTCAGATGGCAGGAAGCACTTTCATATAGGATGCGAATGTTTGCCCATGTACTTGTGCAACGCCGTTAGTTAAAATTTTTAGTTGTGCTAAAACTCAGGAAGTTTCCATGCCAATCATTTTTCAGGCACAGTCAAGCCATGTTAATGGCATCCGCCCAGCCCTGCCGTCTCACCACCATCTTCCTCTAAGACTTTTTAAGATTTATTTATTTTTGGGCCCGGCACGGTGGCGCAAGTGGTTAAGGTCCTCGCCTTGCACGCCCGGGATCCCATATGGGCGCCGGTTCTATCCCAGCAGACCCGCTTCCTGTCCAGCTCCCTGCCTGTGGGCCAGGAAAGCTGTAGAGGACGGCCCAAAGCTTTGGGACCCTGCACCCGCGTGGGAGACCCGGAAGAGGCTCCTGGCTTCGGATCGGCATAGTATCGGCCCGTTGCGCTCACTTGGGGAGTGAATCATCGGACGGAAGATCTTCCTCTCTGTCTTTCCTCTCTGTATATCCGCCTTTCCAATAAAAATAAATAAATAAATAAATAAATAAATCTTTTTATTGGAAAGGCACATATACAGAGAGGAAGAGAGACAGAGAGGAAGATCTTCCTCTAAGACTTTTTTATCTTGCCAAAAAAAGCCCTGAAACTTTGTACCCATTTGGCAGTAAGTCTCTGTATCTTTGCTCACTCTCGCCAGTGAAACATAATTTTGACTGTTTTTATGAATAAAGAGGCCCACCCTGGGATGTATGCCTGGGCTCCAGGAGACTGGTGAAGGGTGCTGGGCAGAGCAGTGGCCAGCTGCAGCTGGCAGCGGCATAGCCGTGACGTCAGCCCCAGGACACGGGGAGGCACTGTGTGGCGCATGGCTGCTGTTGCAGAACAGGGACTGGAGGTCATCCACACTAGGGGATGCGGTGGCTCTGAGCGAGCGTCACTGCTGAACCTGCAAAGAGAGAGAAGACGACCAGCTCTGGCAGGTGCCAGGGAGCTGGAGGCAACCTCACCAGGACCCCGGGAAGGCGTCCCCGGTCAGGGTCAGAGCCCAGACTTGGAAGCAGCGGAGCCTGAGGCTGAGGCTGGACAACTGTGTGGGTGCATGGATGACCTCCTGACTCTTCAAAGAGCTCTGAAGGCTCCAGAGGCTGCAACCGAAAAAGGCAGGATGACCACGGGGTCCGGGCACAAGGGCCACCATGTGCCCCCTTCCCTCACCACCACTGTCCCCATGGCCAGCACTGAGCAGATTTCAGGCAGCTCAGGGCTGGGTGGTGATGCAGCCTGCAAAGGGACCAGCTGGGTGCAGCCACCGAGGGCACCAGGAACTCCTCTTGGGCTCAGCCCAGCTGCTCATGCCACCTGCTGTCTGGGCTTTTCCTCCATGAGCCGGACACCCTGTTGACATGGCCACCCATAATCCACCACCAGGTGGCGACATTGGCCGCCACACCGGGAGTGGCTCCTGGCGACCCCTGGTGGCAAAGCGCTGGCCAGGGAGACCCCTTCCCGGCAGCCCCCCAATCCCCGCCTCTGCCGGCTTGCAGCCTGCCAGTCTTGCCACTGTGTAGCCAGGAGCTCAGCGGAATCTAAGAGTGGGGGAGTGGGCGGGCAGAGCCAGGATCCCTTGGCCAGGGCACAGCCCCGCCCCTGGCCTGAGCTGGGGACCCCTGTGAGGGTCAGTGCAGCCTCCCGTGGGCCAGGGGGGTCGGCACCTGCACCTGCCTCCAGGGGGATGGAACCGAGGGGACGCAGGGGGAGGTGGGGTGACCGTGTCCCTTCCCTTCGGCCAGTGCTTTGCCCCCTCCCCAAAGCTGCAGGATCCCAGGCATACACATGAGGCAGCTGAGGTGTAAAAAGGGGATGTATTTGGGGGGCCTGTGATGGGGCCCCTCCCAGAGCTCAGAGTGCTCCCCAGGCATCGGGGTGTCTATACACCCACAAAGTCTCAAGACCACTCCCCAAGTGTGGGTGACAAAGGGTGAATGCAGCGGTGACTGCCATTGGGAATGAGACCCTAGTTTATGGGGAGGAACAACCTGGGATGTGAGGGCTCCC